GTTGGCTTCTGTACGTGGAACAGGGTGCAGTGTGTGTCACCACCTTGCCTTGTACCAGAATCCTAAGAAATGCCTACTGTATCAAGCAACTGGCCCATCTAGTCCAGCATCCTGTGCTCACAGTGGCCACCCAGATGCCTGTGAGAATCCTGTAAGCAGGATTAGAACCCAAGCTTGCTCTCCCATTCTGTGGTTTCTAGCACCTCATATTCAGAAGCATTCAGACACTCAGTTGTGGGTCATCTAATGATGAGAAATCAAGCTTTACACATGTGTGAACTGCTTCATAGCTAATTGCAAGCTCCTTTCCCTCTTGAGATCATGGACAAAGATTCCCTTTCATTTCTACAATTTGCCAGGCTCAATTTCTGCTTTTTCTCCATCATGATTGGTTTGTTAGGGTGTGGGGGTGTTCCTTTTCTTTTTTCCCTTTTTTTTTTAAAAAAGAGGAGAATCATGCCTCCCTCTGACAATATTTCACAAGTTAGCTGTGTTAATTTTGGACAGCCTCCCCTGAGCTGCTTTCGGATTTTGTGCTGGCACATTCTTGTTATGCCAGCTGCCTAAAGTCAACACACCTGTGTGCAAGATGGGGCTGCTGAGGCAACTGGGCAAGCATCCTAATTATTACAGGGGTGACACGAAAGTTCTGGCATGACCTCATGGGTTTACTTTAGCTGGAGGATCTGACATGAAGGAGGGTGCTTGTTTTCGCAGCTGTCAGAAACCTCCATCCAGGAGGCAAAGCATACCTGTGTCATACTCTTCCAGGCTCAGAGTAGAGACACCTGTGCAATGAAAAAAGGGGTGCTCAGAGATGCTCAGAGATGAGGATGCTTTTTCTTGCCATTTGCCTTTATCTGTATCATATTCGTTTTCAGGAGAGCTTGGATTCTTATAAAGAAATTTAGCATTGCATTCATCCCTACCTTCCTCAATTCCTGTGGAATCTTTGTGCTCACCATATATAGCTCATTTGCTATTGTGAGGATAGGCTGTAGAACAATGTGCTTTCCAGGAGTTGGTTTGGGATTTGAAGAATAGCTCCATGAAATGATGGACAGCAAGTATGTCAAAGAAAAAGGCAGGTGAAGGGACAATTAAGACACATAGGTTTACAGTAAATACAAAGGGTTGTTTCTTGCTTCTGAGGATAATCCTGCTCAGAACAGACCCGCTGAAATTAGTGAACCTAAGCTAGTCATGTCTATTAATTTCAATGGCCTTACTCTAAAGAGGGATAGCAATGGCTAGAACCCAAACGTTCTGTCTAATGAAAGGAGTGCCTCTGTTGGAGGAACACTTCTTCCATCAGAGAAATGTAGGATGGTCCCTTACCTTACTCATTGACAGAGGAAAGACATCACCACCACCCCAAAAAACAGAGAGGATAATGGGAGGTGGTTTACAAATCTGTAATTATTATTGTTTTAATCCAAATTTAATTCACACGCTTGGAAACAAATGTTGAAAGAATTGCTATAATTTAAATGTAAATATAGTACATTTCACCATAGTGGGGGAGGTTGTGATAGGTGATTGATGTTCTTACTCAACCTGGTTTTCATTTACGCAGTGTTAATGTACAACTTCAAGGCCCCTTGTTAGTGTTCCTTATCTTTAAGGAGGACTTGGGCTGCATTCACATGGTGGTTTCTTCTATTTCTCTGTTGTTTCCCTAAGGGCTCATCCACACCTTTGTTTGTCCTGTAATTTCAAGTCACGGGTCCAAAGGGTTTTCCTTTTGTCCCACTGCTTTCCCCTGAAAAACCTGCTGCTTGATGCTGAATCAGGTTTTCCACCTATTGACATTTGTACTGATTCATCAGTAAACAATGGGATTCCCCAGGGAAAGTGGTGGGACAAAAGATAAATGTCTTGGACCCATGGCTCATAGCTACCCTAGAGAAAGGGGATTTTTGGGTCTAACCCCTAGAGAAAGGGGATTTTTGGATCTAACCCCAACCATTACTAACTCTGCAAATAAAGTTTCTACTAAGCAGGTGCAAATGAATCCATGGAATTACTCTAGCGTAAGTAGGTTGAGAAGCCTTAGTACATTACTAAACTGGGCAGGGAACTCATGAATTCTGGCTCTGAAGAATCTCTTCCGACCACATTCTCCTCCCTGCATTCGTAGTTATACTAGCTAGGATAAACATTGCAAGAGCAATCAATCTTTTTTGCTTCAGGGAATCACTTGATCATCAGCTGAGGTCAGGAAGAAATTCCCTTTCTCCCCCTGACCTTGACTGAATATTGCACCGTTTGCCAAAAGTATGACATGACTTTCGCTTGCCTCTAGGATACAAGAGCCTAGCCAGTGCTGGAGGCAGGAAAACTTAATTGCAGAAATTAAAATTAGAGCTTAATGTAAGTCTTCCTCCCCCACCACACACAAAAAATGTTTAGCTCAAGCATATTTCCCTTTGACAAATGCAAAGATACAAATCTGTACACTTTTTAGGGATACGGTGCCAAATTGTCGGCTTTTGAGAACTTGGCTACACATCACCACCATTGCATGGCTGTCTCTGAAGGTAACGGCCTTCTCCTCCCGGTAAAACAATGTAGAACACATGATGGACACCATCACACTGCAAGCTTCTCTTTCTCCATCAGCAGCTTGCAACAAACTGGAATGAGAGCAAGGCCGACTTCACACAAAGCTATGGTGGATAACTAAAGGACCTCCTTGCCTGGTATGAACCTGCCTGGACCCTGACATGGTAACCTATGGCATGATTCAGGACAGATAAAAGGAAGCCCTTCTTCATGCAGCGCATAGTTAAACTCCCATAGGAGCCAGGGATGGCCAACAACTTGGATGGCTTTAAAAGGACTGGACAAACTCGCAGAGAAGCCAATCAATGACTAGCAGCCACATTGGCTATGCTCTGCCTTCATGGCCGTAGGCAGCGATGCTTCTGAATACCAGTTGCTAGAAGCCACAGGAGGGGAGAGGGCTCTTGCACTCATATCCTGCTTGTGGGCTTCCCATGAGCACCGTGAGAAGAGGATGCTGGACTAGATGGGCCACCCAGTACTGGTTCTTCCTATGTTCTTACACTTCTGACAGAGGTTCTCACACTTCTGACAGAGGCTCAGAGAGTGACAAAGAGAGACAGGGACTTCTGTGTGGTAGCCCCTCTGTTTATGGAATGTTCTTCTTGGGAGGAGGCCTGCCTGGTTCCAACTGTGCCATTTTTTCAATGCCAGGCAAAGACACCCCAGCATTCGGACCACACCAGCCATAGGATTGTGCTGCTTATGCGGTTTTATTTGAAATTTTTAAAATGTTGGTTGTTAATAACGTAGAAGCTTTCTCAGAAGCAATGCACAAATTTAATAAACCTAAGCCTATGAAGCCACTTAGAAATTTTATTGACAATTAAGCAGTATATACATTTTGTTAAACAAACACATGCTTCTCCTTCTGTGGCAGAACAAATCAATCACACAGTTACCTTAAAGATTGCCTCTTCCTAAGACATGTTTCCATGTGCTCTGAGATCTCAGAGAAGTCCTTTTCAATGCCCCCTTCCTTTCTGAAGCTTGGCAAAGGGCTAGGAGAGACAGGGCCTTAGCGGTGGCTGCCCCTTTTTGTGGAACTCATTCCCTGATGTCTGTCAGAGTTTCCCTCCATTGCCTTTCAGAGATCTGGTGGAGACATGGCTCCTTAAGAAGTAATTTTCTGTCCAGGTTGTGCTGCCAGGAAGCAGTTTTCATTCATTTCTTCTTTGAGCTGGCTTTTTAAAATTATTATTATATGAGTGACAATTTTATTACCTGGTTCCAAATGATTTGGAAACTGCCTTGGGTTTAAATTTAAAAATGACTTGGATTTCAAACACATTTGCCTGGGGTAACTGAATTCCAGGTGCCAGTTCCTTGCAGGGGATGGTCTCCTAGGGGAAAGAAGAGCCACATGATATGGGTGACAGATGTACACAATATGTGCAGTCCTTGGTATGCAGGACTAGGCACATGGCATCTGAATAGCAAATTCCTCAAGAAGAAGGAGACACCTAAAGTTGTGTGTACTCTGCTGTTAAAATAGAAATTGCATTCTGTTTGCAATACAAATTCTGTACTAACAAAAGCTGGTCCCCATCTGAAAGCCTGGAGAGCTGCTGTCGGCCAGTGCAGACAGCACTGAGCTCGATGGCCCAATGGGTCTAACTCAGTATAAGGCAGCTTCCTGTGTTCCAATTTCACCAGTGTAGCCAGGCAGTTGCAGCCTCTTGATTTTTTCCAGAACCCAAACAATACATCATGGCTTGGCTTCCACGTGTGCAATTATTTTTAATCAATAACGGCATGCCAGGCATATTCTGTGATTAAGAAAAGCTGTTTTACAATGAACTGCAATTACAGAATTACTGTCAGCTTTATACCAGTATGGATTTTTTGGTGGCCGGGGAGAGAGGTAGGGAGGGAGAAGGCAGTCCAAAAACAAAACAAGAAGGGAAATGGTTGGTTTTTTTTATTGCTTGCTAAATGAGCCCAATTGCTCACCTGCATAGCCAGATGTTCTCACTGTCCCCCAATGCAATAAGTTGCAGCACAACTCCCCAATGCTTTCCGTCTTTCCACCAAACACAACTAGAAGAAATATATTTTGTAGCCCTGGGATAGGTCTCAGTCCTCTGTATTGGTATCTCTGGTAAACAATGCTCAGCATCGTAAAACAAAGCCACCGTATTGCATGTGGTGTAGGGGTTAGAGTGTCAGATTAGGACCTGGGAGACCAGAGTTCAAATCCCCACTCGGTCAAGAAGCTCACTGGTTGTGCACTTGGGGACCAGTCACTGCCTCTCAGCCTAACCTGCCTTGGGATTAAATGAGGAGAGAACCACATTTGCCACCTTGAGCTCCTTGGGAAAAAGGTGGGCTAGAGATGCACTAAATAAAATAATAAACATTTAATAATAGAATTGTAGAGTTGGAAGGGACCACAAGGGTCACCTCGTCTAACCGCCTGCAATGCAGGAATATTTTGTCCAACATGGGGCTCAAACCTATGACCCTGAGATTAAGACCCTCATGCTCTATCAACTGAGCTATCGGCCCTAGGAGTCAGCCACCACTGGAATGACCTATGTATGCATAAGACCTTCGCTAGCCAATGACTATCCATGTAGACAATCCTGGGTTAGACAGTCAGGAAGTCTCAACTGCACTGGTGCACTTATGTAAATATAGACTCTGGACTCATTGGTCTTTAAGCCAGCACCCCTGTTTAGATGGTGATGTGGATTGCACCCCTTATTTCAAAATGTGGTAAGTCAGTCCTGGTATATTTGAGGGTCGCTCCTGCTCATCTTGTTGAATGGGTCCCTGGACATCTGCCCTGATAGTGGTATCTATTGCTTATACATAGGCTGGTGGTTGCCACAAAGCTCTTACCAACAAAGTCTCTACAGCCCTGTTAGATATTCTTCTAATCAGGAAATGATGAGCACAGAGGAATGGGGACTAGTACCCATTCCCTACGCTTGACTCAAAGGTTCTGTATTGTCCAGAAAGCCTCCCCAAACAATGGAGGCTTCCTGCTTCCTGCTTCCAGCAGATCTAGACGTTGAAGTAGATGGTCCCTTGGCCTGATCCTGCAGAGTTCTTATTGTGTTAACTACCTCTCCGCACATTAAAAGCACTGGTGTCAGCTGGTGGACCCTCTTGTGGAGGAGAAGGCAACACTGGTCATCAACATTGGGGAAGTCACATGTTCTCAACAGGCGGGATATGTCTCTTTCCATCAGATTTCTGAATGGGCATATTTAAAGTCAATGCTACAATGGAGCAAAGCATGGGGCCAACATGCTCATGTGGGGCACAGTTGTGGCTTCCAAACACTTGGCAGCAGAAAAATGAAACGGCCTGTTTGTAGTACCCTCTGTGGCCCGGCTCCCAACGCTGTCCATGTATGTCAACGCATCGACTCAGACCAGTTTCAAAGGAGCTCTGATTTCAAAGCCTGGTTGGTTTGCTCCATCAAGAAACATTCTTTCCATCATAAGTCTTGGCTGTCAAGACAAACCTGGGCCTTTTTGATTAATTTCTGCCCGGGGAATTAGCAGAGGGAGTTTTCTTGGGGCGAGAGAGAGAGAACTCTTGGAGTTCATGTGAGATGGAAAGTGTCACTGCAGCTCAGCTTCTTGGAATTGTTCTCCAGGAAGGTTTTCGTGGAACCCTTAATCTCTTGCCAGCACACTGCTAATTGCACCCAACTGTTAAAGCGTCACCCAGCCAGCGACAGCCAGGGCAGCAAATTTAAAAAGCTGAGAATAACGGAGAGTGGGGCTTGGCCAAGAGGATCCCCAAGGGATCTGACGGAAACCACAAAAACTGCTTACAAGCCATATATGAAAAGACAATCGCTCTGCAAATGCCCCCAGCCGGGCTCACACTCCATTGACACTATCCTGTTTTTATTATTGTCATTTCATTATTGTTTTGTTCCTCTTCCCTCATTGGTGATGAACTCCATATGTCCTCTCCCTCTCTCCCCTCTGTTCCTTTGGCATGGGCGAACGGTTTCCTGATTTATGCTTGTTCCTTCTCGTTATTTGATTATTCAGAGCCACATATAATGGGAAAACATTATGCGAAATTGAAAGCTATCTTGGAGACAAACAAAAACACAGCTGGGGGTGGGGTGGAGGGGATTTGAGAGAGATTGAAGAAGATCCTATTGCACATTGAGCATCTACTAGGTACAAGTTGGGAACACTAGTTTCTTGGAATTGCAGGTGGAGAGAGTTATTGCTTGAGAGTTTCCCAGAAGAGGCATCTGGTTGGCCACTGTGAGAGCAGAATGGTGGTCCAATGACAGTGATGCTTCTGAATAATTGTTGCTGGAAACATCTGGGACATCTGGTTGGCAGGAGGCTGGACTAGATGGGGCTATTGACCTGATCCCACAGGGGTCTTCCTATCCTGTGTCTTTACTGAAGAAGAGGTACAAGTGGAAGAATTTGTGAATGCAGAGCTTGTCATTATAAGACATGGTGCTGCCCTGAATTCATCATGTGAGACTGTTAAGAAGAGAAAGGGTTGATCCACCGGTGGACAATTATGGCTCCTACAACAAACGCAGTAGAATGAGGTGGGAATGCACTGGTACAATCCTGACATGCTAGAAAGAATGGGTTGACTACAGATGGAGATGGCCTCTTTTAGGTTTTTTTTTAAAAAAATGTTTTTCAAGTATTGGCTAACCTGCGGCCCTCTAGATGTCTACAAGTCCAATCGGTCCTGACTATTGATCAGACTGGCTGGGGCTGATGACACTTGTGGTCAGGGCTCGACCTTTTAGAGGCTCTGAGTACTGAAAAGTTTGTGCCCCCCCCCATATGTAATTCAAAAATAAAAACAATACCAAACCACAAAATAAAATCTATTTTTTTGAAATGGCACAAAACTTACATTTATGCTGAAATGGACATACATGAGTGTCATATTCAATACGTGACAGGATGTGATTTCCTCGCATTATTTTGGTCAATGTTAGGAGGATGCCCTACCTGGTTTAGATGAAGATAAGTATGGATGGGCAAATCTGCCCACTTCAGTAAGTCTCTCCGTTTCAGGTTTTTTTCCCAATCTTAAATTCAGCTCTCCACATTTTCACATGATTTTGCATCAAAAAATAAAAAGTTCTACTGAAACTTCAGTAGTATTTCACTGTGAATTTCTCTTAATATACACATTTTTTGTATGCAATTTTCCTTAACGTACACCTTTTTTACAAAACGTTTCCCCCTAATATAATGCATGTTTTGTACACATTACGACCAAATTTGAAGAAGTGTGAGTTTCAATTCAGTTCCCCTATTGTTTTGGAATTTGGTAGATTCACCTTTAAATGTCAACTGAATCGGAGGTTATTGGTTTGTTTTTGTTTTATTTTGTATTTTGTGTTCTCATATTGTACTTTTATGTTGTGAACTGCCCAGTGATCTTCAGATGAGGGCTGGTATACAAATGTATAATAATAATAATAATAATAATAATGATGATGATGATGATGATGATGTTCTCCAGGCCCTTCTCAGGCTTAAAATGGTGTCATTCTATGGTGATCCTGGCATTTCGGAGTAACCTAATTTGTGTCCCCAGTTTCTCAGCCATTCCTCTGCTTATCTGTAGACACTATCCAGAAGGCATGCATCTGTAAGATGTTCAGTAAACTGATTCTGCTATATCTGCATCATCCTAGTATAGGAGAAAGTCAGACAGGGTTGCCTGGTGGATTATGGCAAGCACCGTTGACAGCACACCTCAAACCCCTTTCGACTTAATGCTGAACAGATATATATCTCCATCCATCACAACACAAACCAAACGGCTAACAGCAAAAGGCCTCCTGTCTTAGACTTGTTGAAAGACAGGTGGATCTGTTGGTTGCAGAGGCTTGGAGATTTCTGGGTTCACAGCCTGGCATTCCTTGGATTTTAAACCTTTGGCTTCCTCTGGAATGCAGTGCAATTTGTGGAGCAGCCTTCCAAAAGCAAGAAGTGCATTGCAGAAGCTAAGACTGAGTGTAGGTGTGGGAAACACTCAAGCTGAATGGGTGGCCTTCAGCAAGTCATGCTTTCAGGTGCATGATATTACGATGAGACAAAGCATCTTAGCAGGAGAGTGGACTGGAAGTGTCACCAACAATATATTAAAAAGCTGTTTCCCACGGGATATCAGAACACACACAAACTCAAGATGGAGATGCACCGATGAAAGGGTAGGTGTTTTCATGCAAGGGTTGCCTCAGATCCAAGTTGCCTCTGCTCTGTGTCTTGAATAGAGGTCAATGGTACGAGAACAGAGGAGCCAGACTCTTACTCCAATTCTTCACACAGCCACTGTGAGAACAGGATGCAGGACTAGATGGGGCCATTGGTCGGATCCAGCAGGCTCATCTTACATTCATCTGTTCTCCAGACTATGAGTGTGGACCATGATTCAATTGTCATTTAAACGCAATCCTACTTAATTCACACTTTCCACAACAATCCACAAACCGAAACACAACCATCCTTTGAAATTACCACTTCCCTGTATGTTACACATCACTGTGTCATTTGGAATTACCTGGTCTTCTGTACAAAATGGAACAGATGTGTTAGCATTCTTCATTGTTGTTTCCTCTGAATATGACTGACACACACAGTTTGCTTTCAGATCTTTCATCTTATAGACTCTTAGAATTGTAGACCTGGAAGGGACCACAAGGGCCATCCAATCCAAACCCCTGCAACGAAGGAATCACAGTGAAAGAATCCCTGACAGATGGCCACCTAAGCTCTGTTTGAAAACTTCCGAAGAAGGACAGTCCACCACCTTGCAAAGGAGTTCATTCCACTGTCAAACAGTTCTTATCCTCATAAAATTCTTCTTAATATTTATTTGGAATCTCCTCTCTTGCAATTCATTGGTTTGGGTCCTAACCTCTTGAGCAGCAGAAAGCAAGCTTGCTCCATCTTCCACATGACATCCCTTCAACACACAATGTCAGAATGAAATGCTCATGGACTGTGCTGTGCTTACCATATTTTTCTCAGAAGGAAACCCCTATTGACTCCAGCGTGTCTTCCTTCCATGCAAGGGAAACAAAAAGCTGGGTTTGGGGAGAAGCAGCAATGGTGTGGCTAGTTTTGCAAATCTGGCAGGGATGTAAGGGTAAATCTGGTGGGTTGGTATCTGTCTCTATCACTCCTCCGATGCACTCTTTCAACACCAAGATAATGGCAAGACATCACCCCACAGATAAGCAAGACAATTTGAGAAGAGAGGGATAATATTTCTTGATGAAATTGCTGTGCTTGCAGCTTGCAGGAGTTTGTTCTTTCCAGGAAACAAAGCCCTCCAGTGAACTTGGGATCAAACCGATCAATACTTTCTTCTTTTGCAACTCAGCTCTACAACGTCAGACCTGGATGCGATGCCTGACAGCAGCAATACACGACCCAGATCTCTTAAGAGGTGATGATATCTTCTTGCATTACACTAAGTTGCTGCAACCTGCCCTCCAGAAGGAAAGAAGCACCCAGGGACTTCTGAGGAGAGCTTAGCAACAGTTGAGTCAAAGCAAAGTAAACCATAAGGGAGGAATTCCATGTGATGCATTCCTTCCTCTGCTGTCCTTCCAGACCACACATCTCATCACAGTCAGATATTAGTGTGGTGTAGTGGTTAGAGTGGCAGATTAGGACCTAGAAGACCAGGGTTTGGCCATGAAGCTCACTGGATGACTTTGGGCCAGTCGCTGACTCGTAACTGCTGAAATTCATGGACCAAAGTTAGCCATGTCTGTAAATTTCAATGAGACCACTCTGAGTATGATTACCCTTGGATACAACACATAGGTGATCAGTTTTGGCAGGTAGTACTTCCCTTGTATTGGACAAGCAAAAACCCAACTGCCCCAGGCCCACTTCTGCATGTGTTCACTATCAAGGGCCCAATCCTGCACAGGCACAGAGGTTGCTTAGGGTCACAGCACCTCTCTCCATGTAAATCGGCTCCTTCTTCGACATCTCTTTTCAAACCCAGCATTACGCCATGCAAAAGGAAGGCAGAGCCCCTCCTGCCAACTCCCTCCCATTGGCGAAGAAGAAGGAAATACCTTCCTAACATTACACTGCTTAATCCTCCACCGCTAATCTAACGAGAAACAATGTTTGACAGCAGCCAAAAGATTATTAAATTGAAAAGTAAAAGGCATCGCCGCCCATTGTGATGGAGCCAAAGGCAACAGCACAGAGGACTGTAAACTTCAGGAAAGCAAGGGGGTTGTCCCTCCAGAAAGCCTGCAGCATCGAGTTGCTGGAAGGAATAAAGGGGTGTCCTCAAGATCACTTAATGCAGATGGGCAACCCTGAAGAAATTTGAACTAGCCTGGTTTACTCATAGTCTTAGACTGACAAAGGGACAAGGACTGTACTACAGTGATAGTGTACATGCTTTGTGGGTTCAGCCCTTGGCATCTCCTGTCTCTGTCTGAAACCCTGGAGAGCTGCTGCCAGTCAGTGTGGACCAGGGGGAGCCAACACAGGGTCCTTCAGATGTCATTGGACTGCATGCAAGCAATTGTTTCCATGGAGAAGGTTCTCCACACAACCAGGAACCCTCCTTTAGCAGTGTTCCTGATCGCACACAGAAAGCCCTATGCACGAATGTCAGGGTCAGCCAATGCTGTGCTTTCCAGATGCTCTGGGACCCCAACTCCCATCAGCCCCAGCCAGCATGGCCAATGGTCGGGCATGATGGGAGCTGAAGCCCAATACCATCAGAGAAATACTGAGTTGGATGAATCAATAGCCTTAGTAGAAGACAGCTTCCTACATCCCCAGAAGGATGGATTTTTTAAAAAACATTCTTTCACTTTAGAGCTATCATAATAAAGCGGGGATTTGATCCTTCATTAATGAGTGTAACAGCTTAAAAGAGCATGACCTTGGGTGAAGTCATTTATATACTACTTGCCCAGCAAGGGAAAAAGAAAGGAGCACTTGTATCTTTCACCTTCATTTCCATCTTCTTGCAAACAGTGGTGCAGCCTATTCCTGCATATGCTTAATGGAAGAAGAATATCACTATAATTCAGGGCAAGCAGAAGTGTGGATGAGCCCTCGGTGCATATCTTAATGTTAGCAGATATTAGGAGTATAGCATAGCCATAAAGGAAGATGCCTTATACAAAGTCAAACCATTGGGTCCATCAAGCTCAGTATTGTCCAAATCAACTGGCAATGATTTCATAGAACCAGAGAACTGTAGAGTTGGCAGGAACCCCAAGAGTCATCTAGTTCAACCTCCTGCAATGAAGAAATCACAGCAAAAGAATCACTGACAGGTGCCATCCAACCTCTGTTTAGAAACCTCCAATGAAGTTTGTTCCACTGTTGAATGGCTCTTACCATCAAAAAGTTATTCCTAATGTTTAGTCAGAATCTCCTTTCTTGGCATTTGAATCCTTTGGTTTGGGACCTACCCTCTGGAGCAGCAGAAAACAAGCTTGCTCCATCATCCATGTGACAGCCCTGTAGATATCTGAAGATGGCTATCACATCTCCTCCCAGTCTCCTCTTTACCAAGGAAAACATACTCATTTCCCTCCACCATTCCTCATAAGCCTTGGTCATCCTCCTCTGCATACACTCCAGGTTGTCAAAAACCTTTTTAAGTGGTGGTGGCCCAGAACTGGGGAGGGTTCTCTCTCAACCCTACCTGGAGATGCTGGGGATTGGACCTGGGACCTTCTGCATGCAAAGTAGATGCTCCTACCATTGACCTCATGTATTGCAATGGCTTTACTGTTATGTCCTAGAGCCTCTCCTTGATGAGCCGCAACATGTTACTCAGTAGCTCTTGGGTTTCAAGATTCCACCAGAGAGCATGCAGGTAGAATGCGCAGGCTGGGTCTGCAATCTGGTTTCTTCATCTGACATGCAACATTTGCAAGGCAGCTGTAACGCGTTGCCATGGTGGGTGCATTTGCCTGGCTGCAATGCATAAATATGTATGTATGCTTACGATTACTGATGACAAAGTTTTTAAAAACATTGTTTTTTTGTACAATTTGTTCTCCTGCGCGCGTGCGCGCGCGCACACACACACACACACACACACACAGAGTCAATGAGCGCATAGATCTTTGAGTTATAGGTGCCCATCCAATTTATTTTTGCTATTTCCAGGCTTTGGCTACGGAGCCATTTGCTGCAGGGAAACATTTTCCTTCTCTTATGGCATGCTGAGTAATTTCCTGTTTTCACTCCCTGTTTTCGGAGTGCTGCCACATATTATAACATTCTTTTACACCTCCAGCTCGAGGATCAGTCTGTCCTGGTGAAGTTTTCGAGAGTCAAATGACACAGGCCTGCGGCCCAAGATTTTGGGCTGGTTGTTTTGAAACAATATGCAGTGAATTGCCACAGCCACCTCTTTCAGCTCCCAGACTGTGTAACAAGGCTGGCTCCAGGATTGAGGGGACCCCTCAGCAAGATTCTTCTCTGGTGGATCTCCTTCTTTGTTACTGGGCAGTAGGAGTGCTCCAGTCATCACCAGGTAGCCTCCAGTGGAGATCTGGGGCTGCCACTTTCATTGCCCAGAATGCTCTTAGTGTAGTGTTGCTCTTTGACATTGTGGGGTGTTAAAATTGCAACCCAGCGCTGGAGAAACTGCATGCAATGGCACCAGAGGTGAGAGCATGTGAATATAATATTAGCAGGATGGCGCAGGGAAAGCATGATGGGCCCATCACTTTTTAGCAGAGTGACTGGAGTAAAGCAGACAGGAGTCCAGAAAGATAAGAAACTATGGATACTTTACAGAGGTAAGCTGCATAAGAACAGGGTATAACTTGAAGAGAGATTAACAGAGAAGTGCTGTATGTCTTTCTCAGGTCAGGGCTATGCAGGGGGGAAAGAAACTCTTTCAGAAACACATTTTCCTATCCCAATTGGTGGCCATCACTGCCTCCTGTGGGAGCAAGTTTCTGTGAAGAAAAGCCAGTGCGCTAGGGTTTCTCTGAAAGCAGAATATGGAAAAACACTGTGTTAAGGAACTGAGCTTCCTGTTGTAAGATAAACATCTCATTTTGCCCTACACAAATCTCTAAACTTGGGATTGCACTGGAAATTGCTACTCTCTATGTTTAGGACCATGGAGTAAAACTATCTGTTTAAATGCATATCTCTTACTAACTTACTTATCTACAGTATGTCTGGGGCCTTGGTGGTTTTTTGAAATCCTCCTTATCTCCTAAGAAGCCCCTCTAAATCCCATCGAGAGCTTTCCAGAAATGTTTCAGAAATACCTGTGGCAAACAGCACATCACTCAGTCTGAGCCCTCGTTTATCATTCCCGTCTTTTGCTCAAGTTTGCACACAAAGCGCTGCAAACTGTCCTGCAACACATCATTAAAATCCCTGGGGGGATCCTAAAATGATTACACTGAAAATGGAAAGACTTTTAATGCTTTTTCAACCAAACACAAAACAAAAAAAATCCCGCCCACCCCTGCTTAAATATACTTTACTTAGACATGTCCAGAAAACGCTTTGCAATACACTGACTAGTGCATTCCACAATATTTTGGTATCCTATTCCATACTATTGTGACCATGTTTCCAAACTCTGTTTACTAGATGACACAGCAGAATCAAAGGCAGCAGCCTCTCATCTAAAAGAGAGCTGCAGTCTAATGCTGTTTCAACCTCAGAAAAAAAAACCCCAAGAATGCCACTACAGTGGTACCTCAGGTTACAGACACTTCAGGTTACAGATGCTTCAGGTTACAGACTCCGCTAAGCCAGAAATAGTACCTCGGGTTAAGAACTTTGCTTCAGGAGGAGAACAGAAATCGTCCGCTGGCAGCGCGGCAGCAGCGGGAGGCCCCACTAGCTAAAGTGGTGCTTCAGGTTAAGAACAGTTTCAGGTTAAGAACGGACCTCCAGAATGAATTAAGTTCTTAACCAGAGGTACCACTGTACTGAGATCCAGAGCTCCAACTCTATGCAGACAATTTTTTAAAGGTCAGAGAGGAGGGCAGGATCACATGCCCGGAAGAGCTGTTCAGTAATGGAACAGATTACCTTGGAAGGTGGTGGACTCTTTTACATTGGGGGCTTTCAAAACAGAAGTTTTATTACCACCTGCCAGGGATTCTTTAGTTGTGATTTCTGCATTGCAGGGGTTGGATGACCCTTGGGGTCCTTTCCAACTATAAGTCTATGGTTCTCTGCTCCCAATATAGATATTGTGGCCAAACACTAGCATAGAACTTATGCATGTACAACACACACCCAAGGCAGCCAAGGCTGTGTCCTCCTGATGTTGTTGGACTATAAATTCCAGCATGCCTGACCATGAGCCACGCTGGCTGGGGCTGATGGGAGTTGTAGTCTGAGAGCACCTGGAAGGCACAGCCTTGATTGACCCCTGACATCCATTTAGAGGGCTTTCTGCATGCCATCAGCAGCTCTGCTAAATTAGGGTTCCTGATTGTATGGAGAGTGCTTCCATATGCAAGCACTTGTTTGCATGCAGGCTTCATGTAGAACCTCGACCAAGTATGGGCATGTCAGGAGCAGAGGCCTGCTCTCCTCCAGCATTCAAACACAAGAAGAGGGAGCAGGAGTCATGAGTGTAAGCTCAGTATGCTGAGAAACTCAATGCGGAAAGGTCAGGACAGTGGACACATGGCATGGGCATTGGAGTCAGGGTTGGTGAGCATCCTCCAACATAACACGCCCCACCCCTCGGCATGTTGCTGGAATGTACAAATGGAGCATCTTGGAAACCCCACTGAAAGAACGTCTGCACAGAGCTCATGTTCCATCAAGACCCAGGAAAAGTTCTCTTAAACCAGGCATAGGCAACCTCGGCCCTCCAGAAGTTTTGGGACTACAACTCCCATCATCCCTAGTTAACAGGACCAGTGGTCAGGGATGATGGGCATTGTAGTCCCAAAACATCTGGAGGGCGAATTTGGGGGTGCTTGTCTTAAATAAACAGGATGTTGTTTTGTTGCTATTTTTATTAAGCTATATTCTGTTTTTCACTAATATAAAGACAAGCAGATTGACTTGGGGCCAGTTTAGCAAATTATCCACTGACTTTATGAAATCATTTGCTGGCTGCCGCCCACAGAGTCAGCACTATGCTGAGATCTTGCAAAACGTATTTTGCACAGTGTTATGCAATCTGTATCGAACTATCTCTTGTTGGCGTTCTTTTGCAGAGTGACTCCATTCTTACCATTGAGTTTCTTGCTTTGTATTGTAACAGAAACTTCATATGAACAGGAACATGGGAAGCTGCCTTCTACTGAGTCGGACCCATTGGCCCATTTACACTAGGATCTCATATAGGGGGTACCCCCAACCATATCTGGAGATGCTGGGAACTGGACCTGGGACCTTCTGAGTGCCAAGCATGCACTCTTCCACTGAACTACTGTTCTTCCCCTTTACGGCACCCTAGAAACACTGTGTGTACATTCATTTACTTAGGAACATAGGAAATTTATTTATGTACATATTTATTTATTTATTGCATTAATAGCCCACATTTTCCTCCAAGGAACTCAAGGTGATGTGCATGGTTCCCTGTGGGGGTGGGGGTGTGCCACTGGAGGTATAAATGACTATAGGCTTTGAAAAGTTGGTTCATCTAGGGTTGGCATACAGAAATCACAGAAATGTCTGGACGCATGGTGGTGTACATTTTAGCAGTTGGAAAAAGAAAGCTCAAAAATTGATTTCTTCTTCTTGAGATTTCATTTAAAAAAAGCTCAACAACTTTGGGCAAAAAACACAGAAACTCAACAACTTTGCGCCTCCCCCCCCCAAAAAAAACCCTTTTGTGTCCAGATGTTTACTTTTTGAAATATAGCAACCATAGTTCATCATTTTTTTGTTGAATTGAACTAAAGAATTTTAACTGGATTTTGAATAAATGTGCAATTAATTGTTACTGTTCTGAATTTTATTGGTCATGCAAGTTGGTCATGCAAGCTGCTATTCCGAATAATGCTTTTTATTGGGTAGGGGGCCTTGGGGATGAGTTTATGAAACCAAGGGAGTGGTAGCCCCAGAAAGTTTGGGAACCACTGAGTTAAACTCTTCAGCGCCCCCCACCCCCAGTTTCTCCATTGATGGAATTTATCCATCTGATCTCTGCTGGATGCGCTCAGCACAGGATCTTCTGGGCATCCGGAAGCATGAAGAGACTAGCATGTGCCAATAATTGATTAGAATCATCTACAGAGAGATTAGGGGATGCCAAGCCTCAAGCATGCGGCGTGTTTCTTTGGGTTTACTATAGGGGATGAATCTGGAGCTGAGAAGAACCTCACCAGGCTGGAATGGGAATGCTGGGTGCTTTTATATTCCTCAAAATAAAGACTAGGAATTCTGTGGAACTTCTCTGATTATAAAACAACAAAAAGGATTCAGCCTGATGATGATGCATAAATTGGTCATCCCCTGTGATTAGGTTATAAATCAATACAGGCTCAGGTCAGCCTGGGACCTGTCGCTCCCCAGTCTAGAATCCCCATCTCCTCCTCACACAGATGTAGGGGAACTCTCTGAACTCAATTTGCTAGACAGTCATCTTCACATATCTAAAGGGGAGGTGGAACAAGCTTGTTTTCTCCTTCTCTGGAGGGTAGAAACCAAACCAACGAATTTAAGAAAGGAGATTCTGACTAAACATCAGGAAGAACTTTCTGACTGTAGGAGCTGTTTGACAGAGGAATGGACTCTCTCAGGAAGTTGTGGACTCTCCTTCATTGGAGGTTTATAAGCAGAGGTTGGGTGGCCATCTGTCATGGATGCTTTAGTTGGGACCCCTGCATTGCGGGGGGTTGGACTAGATGACCCCCCAACCAACAGATTTGCCCCTCCTTATGCATGACAATGTTCAAGCTCCCCCCCCCCCCATTTTTTCTCTCCTAGTCTTATCTAAATATTTTGAGCTTCTTTCCCAATTCCTGCAATGTTTCACCTAAGGAGAACTTCCAAATTTTCATTGAAATTTTGCTTTAGGCAACATCCAGTGATCACCTCGAGATGCTGAGCACTCTTCTTGTATTTTGCTTTCCTAAACTTTTCCGGTGGGCGCTTGAAATGGGGGCCAGATGTACAGGCTGCTATAGGATGGCGAAGCAATCTGCTGCGCTTTCAAATAAGCCAGGAAAACACATCCTGAAGTCTGAGCAGAGATGAACCTAATGGAAATGATTTGTTCCTACTTGCTAAGTGGGACGCTCCAGCCACATCACCTGATGACAAGGAATCCTATAGAGAAAGCAATCAGTTTCTTTAAGAAACAAGTGTGAAAGAAAAAGAGGAGAAAGCTAATTTAAGATTTTACAGCGGAGAAAGTGAAAAAAATATATGACCTAACCCATTAGGAATATGTTTCTGTTTTCCTTTCATGTAATATTACTTCCTGGTTTCCAGTCTGTATTCCCTGGGCACCCCCTATCAAATATCGGCTGGTATTAAATCACTGATCCCAGCAGCTCACAGAAAAACATTTGTACTAATGTGTTGGTTTTCCTTAACACAAGGGCCAGAGCAGGTCCGTGAGGATTCAGTTAGCCGAAATCGTTGACAGATGAGGAATGGAAGGGCAAAGAAAGCAAGAGAGACCCCCCTCCATTAAAAGCAGGATTCCATCCTCTGTGCCCTCTGTTTGCAGTTTGTTAGACGGGGCAGGGAATCGACAGGTGATGCAGGCTTGTGCCAACATTGTTATGGAGATGGACAAAAAGAAATAAATAAAAGAGCACCTTGCATAACACTGCTGTCTTCTCTTAACACCGCTGCCCAGACTGGCTGGCCGGACTGGGTGGTACAGCGGCTTGAGTTGATGTGAGTACAAAGCAGTCCATGTTAGAGGATGGATTGAGTCAAAGGTAGATGCTGAGTGAAATGAAGGCTATAAATGGGGCGAATCACAGTTCCTTCTTCTTGTAAGCAAAAGGCAATGCTCCTTCTGTCAGCAGCCTGCGAGTCATTCTTGGCATGCAGAGATACCTGCAAGTAGGCACCTGCTCCTGCGTTCTGGGAGCTGGTCACAGATAAGCGCCTCAACTGGGCCTGGCAAGAGGCCCCACCAACATCGTGGGGGTTAAAGCATGATGTTGCTCACATCCACACCATGCATTTAAAGCACATGGCATCCCTCCAAAGAACCCCAGGAACTGCAGTTCACCCCTCACAGAGCTACAGCTCCCAGCACCCTTATCCAACCACAGTTCCCAAAGGAAGCCATATGCTTTAAATCTGCATTAATGCATAGCATGGATGTGACCATTGTCCACAGGGTGCTGATGAATCTTTAACAGAGACAACCATTGGCAGATGTGCAGAAGTCCTTAGTGGTTGTGGCCCTTGCAGAACACATCAGGGAGAAGGGGAACAAAGCTAGAATTAGCTGGCTCTGGCTCTCATTGGCTTTGGCACCATCTACTGTTGGGCTCCCTGCCTTCCACCCTACCAGTCCCAATGGGCACCTATCAGCACTCAAGGGGAGAGTTCTGGTACATGCATGGTACCAACTGCTTCTCCAGTTTGCAAACAAGCTCATGGACCCCCCAAAAGTCGTCAACCCCTGACTTAGCTTGTGATTGATGCCTGAGGGAATGTTGCTTGGTTTAAATCTTGCTGGTGACACCTCTCTCTTGAGATATGGTGCATTCTGAGAGGGCATCAGGAGCCCATAGCCAGGGCAACGCAGTGCTCTTGCATCTCCTCCAAGGGCTACCATCCAATCCCTGAGCTCGCTTGTTTTCAGAACGTTACATCAGCACCAATTTATATCAGGCCAGGCTCTTGCAAAGGGTGTTTTGGCAAGCCGAGGCAATGAATAATTAGCCCATCGTCCCCACCCTGGGGGAAATGATCTATTTTCAGAAGAGGGCAGATTTCACCAAGGAAAGCCACGAGGCCAGAACTCTCCAAACAAGTCTTTAAGCTGGTTACACCAGCAATATAAGGGGGTAGGGGAGTTATTTAAGAGATTTGGCTATCCTAAGAAAGGGCAGTGTTTACTCTGCCCTAGCACATGTAAAAGCCAGCCTACAAAACCTTTCCTCAGCTCAGGACATCTGTTAGCTGACATCACCCTGAGTTTACCTTAGCAACCCAAGTTCCATTGGAAGGTCTTCTGATGTCACCTCAGTGCCTGGAGTCCCCTCAGGGCAGCAGAAGGAATGGTCCCTGCACCTATACAAACACCCTCCAGCACATGCATAAGCTCATTCTTGTTTGTTCAAGTCACAAGTGTTGAGAAAGTGGGTACACAGCGGAGAAAATCACTCTTTGGGGTTTGAAAAGTGCTCATAGTTCTCTGCCGTCGCAGTCCTCCCACCCATGAACTGGAGAGTTTTCTTTTTTCCTTCTTGGGATGATTGCCCAACCGTAGGGCATGGCTGCTAGGAACCTCTGGCCCCCTTGACCTCTCCGTCTGGTCCTCAGGACTCTCCCCCTGGCCACACCCCTCTCCGCTTTGAGCAAACCGGGAAAAGCATTTATTGAGTTAGTCCATAGATGACAGCAGAATAAGCAATGCCATTCCAGCGCAATTGAAACATTTCTAAAAGGTGCTGAAATTACAATTGAAATGAATATGTAAAATCTAAATACATCCTTGAGCAAGTATTTTTGCCTGGCTGGAATGTCTCCTATTTACATAAATTGCTCCACACATTTTTGCCTCTGGCCCCACCCAACAGAGGCATGTGGTCTCTGGAAGGCTACCCAGAAGCGAATGCAGCTCTCAGTTAGGTCCGGGAATCGCCGCGTGGATCGCCAGTGCGCACTCTCTTTCCCTCTCCCTCCCTCTCCGTTACATGGCAGTGGTGGCACTGGCGCCTCCTCCCTCCCTCCTCCTGGCTTCTTCCCGCCCTGCCTAGAGGAGGAAGGGGGCTGAACTTTGTTAGTGCCAGCAGCAGCAGCAGCGCTCAAGCGGCCAACATTTTAAGCAGCCCCTCTCCTTTCTCGTGCCACTCATCATCCCTTCGCCACCGCTGCCTTCCCCTGCTGCTCGCAAGACACTGGTAAACAGCCACTGGGCTTGTGGTGCTCTTGCATCATCCCCCCCCCAATAGTCCGGCCCCCCACAAGGTCTGAGGGACAGTGGACCAGCCCCCTGCTGAAAAAGTTTGCTGACCCCTGCATTAGCAGAACAAATCCAGGTGGTTTTCAGAGATCCCATCTGTTGTCCCTACTCTGGAATGCTTGTGTGTGTGTGTGTGTGTGTGTGCGCGCGCGCAGCTTAGCATAACAATGACTCAGGACTTTTTTTTCTCTGCCAAGGACAACTCGTCCCAGCCCACAGTTTACATTTTACCTCTCCCCCGCCCCCACAACCCTGGTCACATGCACTAAAAAAAATAAAAATTGGCATCAAGCCCCAAATTGTGGTGGCATGAACCATTCTCTACGTAGCATGACAACATAATTTCCAGGAATGATACATCAGTGCACATAAGAAACTGCCAGATGTCACTCGCCACGTGGACTGAGACTTAAAGTCTATTATGGAGTCATTTGCTTTTGCAATACCTCCAAGGAATATGGTACAAATTCATCCACGTGATGTGGTCAAATCCCATAGCCTGCTTTATTTGCCGCTATCCAAGGAAAAGTCTGCAGAGCAACCTTCTCTCTGTGCAAGCAGGGCAGAGTCGTCTGAATTTCCCAGACACCCCCACCATGACATTTCACGTTTTGCTGCAGTAAAAGATGAGTGGGAGCGTAAATTTTGGGGGTTATAGATTTCAGTGTGCATTCATTTAGGGAGAGACTTAGGGTTGGGGGAGAAGGTAGGATTCTCAACAAAGTTTAAAGGCCCCATGCTGGATATGTTCAAGTAAAAACTGCAAGAAATGGCAGTGTATTTTAAGAACATGAGCTGTGGTTGCTTCTTACTACATATTAATAGCTAGCAGCATTACCCAGATAAATCAAGTCAAAAACACATTTTATGCCAAGGGATTTTTTTGGGCCTCTGGCATGCACAACTAAAAAGCAACAACATTTAACTGTGTGTAGAACAGCGGTGGGATGCTATGTTTTTGAAGTGCAGAAGCTCATCATGTCAGCCTCAAAGCCTTGCCCACCAAGGAGAGTCCACAGCCATGACCCCCAAAGAAAGTCCATAGCCATGGCTCCAAAGAGAGTTCATAGCCCAGTGCAGAAGTGCCAGCTTGGCCCCACATCCATGGGTGCCTGGGGACGCGGGTGCCATGCAGTGTGCATGGCCCTGGCACTGAAATTTCTGGGTGCCCGGCCCCTTTATGGGGAATTTTGTGGGTGCTCCAGCACCCAGGGCCCCAGGGAGTTGGCACCTATGGCCCAGTGGTTTTTAAAGGGTGTGGCATGCCACACTGGTGTGGGGAGAGAGAATGGCAAGTGTGGCAGGAAGATTCAAGGGCAATCAAAGAAACAATTGAACATTTCAGTGTAGAATAGCATAGCATAGCGTAGTATTGTGTCGTATCGTATCAAAATATATCTATTTTAATTTGCAGATTATGGATAGGTATCCTTTCAAAAGGAGAGCAAGAGCATCAAGTGATACTGAGAACAATCCTAGTTGTGATCCAGAATCACCACTCAAACAGAGTGCTAGAGAAGACTCGTTCAATTCCATACCAGGAGCAGGCCCAATTTGCAGAAGAATAGTTAATATGTCAGCTAATATTGAAAAGCATGTTTCCGAAAGTATGAAGAATTCTACATTTGCCATTCAAGCTTGAAGAATCTACTGACATTACTGGAAAAACCATTTGCTTGTCTGGATGGAGGATTAAAAAGTGGTGTGTGAACCTGTGTAGGAACAGGCCCACTACACCAAGGTCTGTTCTTTGCTCTGCCCATTTTACATTTGGTCCCCCCCCCATTGGAATGTACCCCCTTCAGAAGCTTGTCCAGAAGAGAATGTGGCCCTCAGGCTAGAAATGTTTCCCCACCTGGCAGCCCTCAACCGAGAACAAAAAGGTCCCCTCTCCCCTACTGCTAAGGGACATAAACAGCATCTCTCAGGATGCCCTGCAAGGTGTGTGCAAGAAGTTTATTGAGAGATTTGTCTCCGACCTGCTCAGCACCTGCTCCTCCTAGGCCTGGTTCTAGTCAACAGCTTAAAGCCTTTCTCAGTTCGGAAAAATAAATAAACAGAATCGATCCTTTCCAAGGCCCTCCATGCCTCCCCTCCTCTCTCTCCCGCTTCTCTGAGCTCATTCATGGGTTGGAGTCCAGAGCGGCTGCCGGCTTGCCAAGTCCTCCCTTCCAGCCCCTCCCTGTCGACTTGCTGAGAGCCAAAGCAGCTCGGAGCAACATGATCGGGGCGCTGGTTGGGCCAGCTGTTCGACATCATCTCAGGGCCGAAAACAATTAAAGCTAAGATGAAGGAAGAGGTGGAGTGATGGAAAGGCCTTTGCTCCACTCCTTCAGCCTCTTCGTCACAGTTCCCAGCGACGCTCTTTCAACCAACTGAGCAGAACATTTGCAACAATTGTAGATGATGAGAACATAATAGGTTTTAAAGTGACTTGGTTGGTGTTTGGGGGAAGCAGAGGAATTTGTTGGTGCAGGGAGCTCACACTGATTACAGCATACCTAAGAGCAGAAGAAGAGCCTGCTGGATCAGGCCAATGGCCCAACTAGTCCAGCATCCTGTTCTTACAGTGGCCAACCAGATGTTCATTATGGAAAACCTGCAAGTAGGATTCAAGCACAACAGCCTTCTCCCTACCTGTGGTTTCCAGCAACTGTTATTCAGAAGCCTTACTGCCTTCGACTGGGAAGGCAGAACATAGCCATCAAGGTTAGCAGCCATCGGCAGCCCTCTCCTCCATGAATTTGTCCAATCCTCTTTTAAGGCCATTACAGCCCCTGTGGGAGCAAGTTCCATTTGCAGAAATAACTCAATATTATCCACACCAACCAGCAACTGCTTTCCAAGATTTCAGACAGGGGTTTCTTCCAGCCTTTACCTGGAGATGCCAGGGGTTGAACCTTCAGATGTTCTAACACAGATGTTCCCCAGATGTTCTACCACACAGCTTTCACCCTTCCTCTCACACATTAGGAGACCCCAACTAAACACCAGGATGGTAAGAGCTGTTCAACGGTGGAACAGTTGCCCTCAGGGGGTAGTGGACTCTAGTGTGGTGTAGTGGTTAAGAGTGGTAGTCTCGTAATCTGGGGAACCGGGTTCGTGTCTCCGCTCCTCCACATGCAGCTGCTGGGTGACCATGGGCTAGTCACACTTCTTTGAAGTCTCTCAGCCCCACTCACCTCACAGAGTGTTTGTTGTGGGGGAGGAAGGGAAAGGAGAACGTTAGCCGCTTTGAGACTCCTTCGGGTAGTGATAAAGTGGGATATCAAATTAAAACTCTTCTTCTTCTTCTTCATTGGAGGCTTTTAAGCAGAGCTTGGATGGCCATCTGTCATGGATGCTTTAGTTGAGACCCCTGTATTGCAATGAGTTGGACCAGATGGCCCACGGGATCTCTTCCAACTGTACAATTCTATGATTCTGTGATTACAGTAAATCTGTAGACATTTTCTTCTGCTTGGCCAACTAACATGCAAATGGGGTGAACTGAACTCAGGAATTGTGAAAGGAACAGGTTTGTTGTTGTTGTCCAGCCTCTACTTTGTGGGCAGAAGGCCCCAGGTTCAAACCTTTACATCTCCAGCTAAAAGAATCAGGTTGCAAGCAATAGAAAAGATCACTACCTGCAACCATGGGGAGTGGCTGCCAGTCAAAGTATGCAACAATGATGGACAAATAAACTGACATGGTGTAAGGCAGCTCTCTGCAGTCCTGGAGACTGAACATGGGGACACATGCATGAGAAGAATATATTCTATCACTGACCAGTAGGGATGGAGGAGACATTTGATTCAGTTCACATTTAAAGGCTTATTTATCAAATGTGTTCTTTTCATAACAATGCAACAGCTGTCCTCCAAGATTTGCCCTTCTCCAGACTTTTCTGTGCAGTTCTCCAGCCAAATAACGTGTACAAAAATGCATGTCCTGGGGTAAAGCGTGCATATAAATCCATGGATATTTGCAAACAGTATACAAAAAAATGAGTTCTATTTGGGGAAACTGCATTCCCAAAACATGTCACATTAGGCAAAACTGCATAGAAAAATATGTGCATGGTAGGAAAAATGCACATTAAGATGCTGGTGGATTTTCAAGGGGGCTTTAAAAGAAGAATTGAAACTGATGTGGCTGAACTGAAAATACTAGAAAAATGGAAAAGTGTGAGAAACCGAAATTGATGTGGTTGCCCATCCCTGTTTGCTGTCCAGTGACCTTTCCTGGATTTTGCTAGACAGCTGCAATCTGGCAGCTATGTGTGTGCGTGTGTGAGACAGACAGATCAAAGACTTTTCAACGGGAATAGGAAATGTTGCAACAATCTAGTGTCCTCCAGAGCTTCTGACTGCTATCTGTTCACAGCTGAAGCGAGTCTCTCCCAGGTTCCCTGGCTCTCCCTTCCTGTCTCGCTCCACTCCACCTTTGGCAGACTCCCTTCTGGACATGAGGGATGCCAGACATTACCTCCTTTCCGCTGTCATTTTGTAATAACGAGGCAGAGCATTTATATTGCTGATAATGCAAAGGCAGGGGACCTCTCTAGATCAGGGCAGTCCAACTTTTCATACCAAGTGGGCGGCAAGAGTACTTTCGACACCAGCCGCACACTGGCTTGTTGTGAGGCCAAAATTTGACAGCCCCCTCCAGTCCTCGCACTGCCTTCCCAATGCCAGCTAAGCAAGCGGTCAGGATTGAGAAGGAGGCACAAGGCTCTGGCAGGTCCTAGAGCCCTCCCATCTCCTTCCCAAAGCTAGGAAAGTGCTAACTAGGCTTTGGGAAGGAGGTGGGCAGACTCTAGGACCATGCCAGAGCCCTAATGCCTCCTTCCCAAAGCCTGGTGCCTGTCTTATGCAGCTTTGCGAAAGCATTGTGAGGACTGGGCAGGGGGTCATGAAATGTTGCCAAGGGCCACCAAGTAAGGTCTCAAGGGCTGCATGCAGCTCTTGGGCTGCACATTGGACCGCTCTACTCCAAATGCTGTTGAACTCCAGCTACCATCATTCCTATCTGTTGGCCATGCTGGCTGGGACTGATGGGAGTTGGGGTCCAAAAACATCTGGAGAAGCCCAGGTTCTCCACTCCCTATTTAGTTATTTAAATGTATACACCTCTTGACTGTAGGAAAAAAACCTCAAAGTGATTTACAAAGAAAACTCCACAATATCAAGGAAAATCTACAGGCACAGTTATAAACATACAAGTTGAAATACCCAAACAGGCTAAAATTCATGCCAACTTTCTAAGCACCTGGGTAGGCTTGTCTAAATAAGAATGTTTTTAGTAGGAGTGTTTTAGGGAAGTGTATAGGCACCTCTGTGCTTGGCAGCAGGGTGGGGGTAAGAATCAAAATAAATAATGAAGGAGTTCCGTTGCCCACGACCAGTGACCTCACAGTTACATCCAAAAGGGATATACGTGCTTAGCCTAGAGACAGAAAATGAGAACAGCTTCCCCAGTTGATGTCCATTTGCAGAGCACACACAAAATCTCTGTCTAGCAAGGTAGCTGCAATGAAGAATGTAAGAGCATAAGAAGAGCCTGATCTGGACCAGCATCCTATTCTTCTTACAGTGGTACCCAGATGCTTGTGGGAAGCCTGCAAACAGGACCCTCCTGTGTTTTCCAGCAACTGATATTCAGGAGCATTGCTGCCTCCAACCATGTAGGCAGAGCATAGCCATTGTGGCTAGCAGCCATTCATAGCCTTCTCCTCTATGAATTTGCCTAATCTAAGTCCTCCAATTCTATTTTGAAGGTTATACAAACATACAGGGCAGCCTTCCTTAAGCTGGTGCCCTCCAGATGTTGCTGAATCCCAGCTCCCATCATCCCCAACCATTGGCCATGCTAGCTGTGACTGATAGGAGTCCCAACAACATCTGTAAGGCTACAGGTTCCCCATTCCTTTACTAAACCCTGATTTTTAATTTTTTAATACCTTGTATTCACAGCCTAGCACTTTGCCATTACCTAGAGGAGGCTCTGGAAGCTATTGAGTTTTATTTTGTACTGTGCCATAGGAGTGATGATCTATTGAAATACCGGTAATCGCCTTTAAGCATGTACAGAGTGTGTTGTCCTTGCCTCTTGTTAGCCCCGACTAATATTGGGTGAGCTGGAAGTCCCAGAGGTGCAGTAACAAAACTGATGACAATGGTTTGGGGATTTGAGGGGGCCACCTGGCTAAGAAGTTAATTTCTTCTCAGGGTATCACCTTTCGGCTCTTCCACAACATCCAGTCTTCTCATTCTTGTAGCTCCTCCGCCTGTTTGGGACTGCTGAGTCAAAGGCCTGCAGCTGATTTCAATTTGGACACATCATTTGGGGATAATATTATTGTTCCACTTGTGCACTAGGTCTTTTAAGATTTTTTTTTTCCCTTTCCCCTTTGTTTTGCTGCTGCCCTGGACAATATAATCTCTGTTTCCATAGCAATGCAACATTACTGCCTCCCATCTCTTTCCTCTCCTCCAAGCACCTGATGAAAGCCCTTGTTAGAAACAAATTGAGGGAAAGGATGCTCATAGGTGATGATAATCAGAAAGAGCACCAGGAACCTGATCATTTTCCAAGTGCCAAAAACGAAGACAGAGAAATGCTCCAGTTGGACTTCTTTGCCAGAGAAATATCCTTCTTTTTTCCTTTTGCTACCTGTCCTGATAAACCACTGCCTCTGTTTCTGCCTTTGGGAGATGCCTAGCTATATGTGTGTGTTTGTGTGTGATTTTTGGCTCCGATTTCCACTGCACATGTATAAATGCATCCTCATTTAGCATGCATGGCACAGCCTGCCGTACATCTCAACACTGCTCCGAAGAGATATTTTCAGTGCTGATAGCATGCTGTTGCAGGCAATTATATTTATCTAATGGGATTCTGCAAGAGCTACCTCTTAAAAAAACAAAACGAAAACCTTTTTGCCTGGATAAAGACAGTCAAAAAGGCAGAATAAATAGCCTTGTGCTTTTAGTTCATACTCAATGGTGAATTTGGGATGATTTATGAATTCTAAACTGCTGCATGGGAAGGGATGTGGGAGAAATTTGATGTGGTTTGCATTTAAAGATAAGCCCATGTACCTATTTTGCAATTTGCATATCAATATACAAACCCAAAATGCAGCCATCTTATTTGAAATTTGAATTTTGCAATGCAATTCCCTAGCCAAGTAATGTATACAAAAATGCATATACTATGCTGCTGCACACCACCCCTATCTCTGAGCAGTGAGAGGTACTTGCTCAGGCTCCAATTTCCTTGGAATGAGGGACAGAGAATGTTGTGGTGTATTTATAATATATGGTTTATTTACACCGGTATACAACCTGAGCCTAAGATGGAGGGGCTCACAGCATTAATGCTGCAGAAGGTATTGCTTCTCCCATAGTCAAGCAGAAATCAAACTTAGCTGATATAGGGTGATATGATGATGATGATTATGATGATGATGATGATAATAATAATAATAATAATAATAATGGTCCCATTAACCCACCAAGAAGCTGGCTTGGCTACTTCAACAATGGACTCATCCATTAGATTTTAACCCTTGCTCGATCCAGGACACCGAGAATTGCAGGGAACTAAGGCCTCATGAAGGCTAACCTCCCCTGCCCCCATTCAGTCACAACAATATAAATGCAAAGGTTAATGAAAATATCATATAAAAATGCATTGTATTAAGGAAAAAGCGCTTTGCAAAAATGTGTATGTGAGGCAAAGTTGGATTAAAAAATGTGCATGTTATAATAAGTTTGCACTAAAATACCGATGGATTTCCATGAAGACCATATATATAGTGATTATCAAACTTATATGGAAATATGGAGAAATGAATTTAAAATGGGGAAACTGAGAAAAAACAAAACTGATGAATTTGCCCCTCCCTATGCATGAGGATTTACTGCCTTCCACCCATTTACCCAAATTCCTAGTCTTATCTGAAATTTCTGATATTCTTTCCCAATTCTCATGATGTTGCACTTAAGAATAACTTCCAAATTTTCTTTGAAATTTTGTTTCTGGCAATATCCGGTGATCACTCCTTCATGCCCTCTTATATTTAGCTTTCTTAAGCTTTTACACTGTGCACTAGAAACATGGGGACATAAGAAGAGACCTCTTGGATCAGGCCATGGCCCATCTAGTCCAGTATCCTCTTCTCACAGCGGCCAGCTGGAAGCCAATGGGAACCTGGACATGAGCCCAACAACACTCTGCCTACCTGTGATTCCCAGCAACTGATATTCAGATAGGGTTGCCATATCACAAAGTGAAAATCCAGACAAAAAAGCTTCTTCTTTTGGCAAAGTGGTTGAGCTATTTTTAATGAAATCCGCCAAAATCTACACTTCCGACATGGGCTGCCAATATGTCCAGATATTTCAGCAATTTCCGTCCGAATGCTGTTTAAGAGGGCCAAATACCAGCTATGTCCAGGAAATTCCGGATGTGTGGCAACCCTAATTCAGAATTATAAAACCTCTGTTGGTGGAGGTGTAGCATAGGCATCATGGCTAGTAGCTGATGACATGCTTGTCCTCAATTAATTTGTCTAATCCTCTTTTAACGCCATCCCAATCGGTGGCCACCACTGCCTTTTGTGGCAGCGAGTTCCATAGTTTAACTATGCACTGCACGAAGGACTTTGCTTTATCTGTCCAGAACCTTCCAAGATTCAGCTTCTCTGGATGTCCATGACTTCTAACATTAGATTCCTAACAGATAAAGGTGAGGGCCAAAATGTTTTGCTATATAAATTTAAAATTTCTGTCTTCTTCTTCTTGTTGTTGTTTAGTTGTTTAGTCGTGTCCGACTCTTCATGACCCCATGGACCAGAGCACGCCAGGCACTTCTGTCTTCCACTGCCTCCCGCAGTTTGGTCATACTCATGCTGGTAGCTTCAAGAACACTATCCAACCATCTCGTCCTCTGTCGTCCCCTTCTCCTTGTGTCCTCCATCTTTCCCAACATCAGGGTCTTTTCCAGGGAGTCTTCTCTTCTCATGAGGTGGCCAAAGTATTGGAGCCTCAGCTTCATGATCTGTCCTTCCAGTGAGCACTCAGGGCTGATTTCCTTCAGAATGGAGAGGTTTGATCTTTTTGCAGTCCATGGGACTCTCAAGAGTCTCCTCCAGCACCATAATTCAAAAGCCTCAATTCTTCGGCGATCAGCCTTCTTTATGGTCCAGCTTTTACTTCCATACATCACTACTGGGAAAACCATAGCTTTTACTATACGGACCTTTGTTGGCAAGGTGATGTCTCAACTTTTTAAGATGCTGTCTTGTTAGTCACTATCAATACTGTGATTTTTGTTGTTGTTGTGTTTTGTCAGTGCACCTATCCACCTTGGTAAGTGAACCTGTCCTAAGAAGTTCACAGACAGACACAAACATCCTAACAAATTAGGAAACAAACTCCAGGCAGTCATGCATATTTGTGCTCCAATCCTCCTCCTTCCCCTTGTATTATATTTATTTTGGCTGCACGGGATCCTTGCAGTCTGCTTAGCCAACAGATATCTGGGCTGTGATAAGTGCAAGACAGCTGTTGAGGGCCAACACTTTCTTTCCCCTTGCTTTTCTTTTGCAATGAACATCTGTTTGAGGCTGACAAATGTGGGGTATGATGACATCCCATTCGCCCCCAGGTCTCGCTGCAACAGGGCATTTTTTGCCGGGAGGGGGGACATCTGTTTCTTGGGCAAAACCGAACAGACATTTGAAAATGAGACCTTTTTTTTAAGAAGTCCCCAATGGAAAGAAAAGAAAAACCATGAATTACATCTGTTGGGATCCTGTTAGGAAAATATATGTGGGATAGCAGCTCTTTGATTTGGAAAGGATCTGCTCAGAAGCGGACGTCACTGAAAGTATGTTCCCACGAAATCGATGGGGCTTCATTCCAATGGGATGGTCCTGATCCAATGGGATGGTCTTGATCCAAAGTTAGTTAGTTTCCGGCAGAAAGTCAGAGGGCTGAATGGAAACTGACTATGGAGGGAGGAGGAATCTGCTTTGAACCAATTCATACGCAGAAAATGGTGGTTTTGATCCAATGAGAATGCATTGGCATTAGACCACCTTTTGTACCATGTGCTTGCTTATGTCTGAGCTACTAATAAATTGCCTTTTTTTTAAAAAAAAAGGCTGATTATTCGTATGCAAAATTATACACAAAAAATACATTTAATAAATATCAAATAGTCAAGCCCCATGCTTGTACTAAATTCTGCTTGTACTGAAACTCAAGCAAAAAGTAAAGTTCGCAGGGTTCTTTGGGGAGGGGAGCCATGACTGTTTACCTGGTAAGATACATGCAGTGCTTTTTTTCTTAAAAAAATGTTTAGGGGTACCTTCATTTTCCTACTCATATTGAAATACTGCCCCTCAATGAGGCCAAACTTCGATTTACAAAATGTTTAGGTGTATGCATATCCCTGCATCCCCCCCAGAAAAAAAGCTCTCTCTCTCTCTCTCTCTCTCTCTCTCTCTCTGTGTGTGTGTGTGTATTCAGTACCTGTGATCTTATGGTGACGGGCAGGTAAGAAATAATAATAATAATAATAATAATGGCAGGAAAATGTGTTCCTCCTGTCTCTTCCTGCTCACACTTTTAGATATTTTGCCAGCCGTTCTCAGAAACCCGTTCCCTCCTTATAGCTTTGAATTGAAAATAATGGCAGAAAAATGTGTTCCTCCTGTCTCTTCCTGCTCACACTTTTAGATATTTTGCCAGCCGTTCTCAGAAACCCGTTCCCTCCTTATAGCTTTGAATTGAAAATACTGTTCGACCAAACTGTTTTAAAACCAACAATCAAATAGGAAATCACTCACAATGGTATAGTAAAATTGAAAGCTAAAGATTAGCTAATAACCTTGGGGTTTTATTTAAAGATATTTTTTCAGACCTTAACACACCAGCCCAGAAAGGCCCTCTGACAAATAAACGTGGGTTGTTGTTAAATTCCACCAGCTGCACGTCTGTTTTCCACTGGGCCCTGCATGAGGCTTTAAAGGGGCCACAGAGGAAAGGAAAATCTTTTCCATAGTTTCATAACTAGGGCAAAGTGTGGGAGTCTTTGCAATGTAAACAGAGGCTGTGAATTGGAACCAACTCTGTGCAATATGTGTCTTAAAAAAGCAAACAAATGTTCACGTATTGCTCATTCTCCAGAATTTAGCAATCTTATTTCCATATTTTATTTTATTTTATTTTAGAGCAAGGAACGGGTTAGTTATTAGTATACTGCCTGGACCTTGCTAAGCGTTTCTCTGTCTCCTAGGATCCCACTCATCTTTCCCAACAGTGTTAAAGTTGAAATGGCGGGGGATAATGTGGTGGACACTCCTTGGCACTGCCTAGAAAGTCTTGGAGGAAGACTGGAGTGCAGCCCACTCATGCCAACTTCTCTGCTTGGGTCACACTTTCAAAGCTAATTTCAGCCCACAGAGGCTTGCAATCCGATAATGAAGTGATTCAAGCCAAGCTCCACCCCATAAGCTGAATGGATAGCTACCATTTCAAGCAGTCCCACACTGTCTCCTAAGAGCACAGGGAAATAACAGAGGCCCCATTGTGGAGCAAGACGAGAGGCTAAGAGCTGGACTCTACATGAGGACTCACCCATCATACCAAAGTAAGAAGAATTGCAGGTTATCCCCAGCTGGCTTTATTCTTAGGTGAGGGGTGTCAGCTTGACAAACATCTCAAACATTAGCAACACTTAAAGTTCATGTAACTTTTAAACTGAGAGAGGTTTGCATATATGAAAGCCTCACATGTGAAACTGCTCTAAAGCTGCAGCCCCAAGCATACTTAACTAGGAAGTATTACTTCTGAAGTACAAGGGTTAAACTACTTGAAAACTTTAAGCACATGGCTTAGAAATGTGCTAAAATTTGTCATGTCTTTTTGTGTGCAAAAAGGAGCTGCAGGGCTCCTAATCTGGATTAGGGTCACTTTTCTCTAACAGATCAATACAGCTACCTGTAATTAATTTTTTTAATGTTGGACACTCTCCTAGGAGTTTCACATAAGTTTCTGGTGATTAAGATTTGGTTGACAAGGCTTTGCTGTTCAATGGAGACTAAACAAATCCTGGGACTTGAGCAGGGAATCATCCCTCATGAGAAGCATTGTCTTGGGCAATAAGTTCAAGATAACAGGAGAGAGTTCTACAGGACCTTGGACAGCTCTTGTGGGGAAGTAGATGTTGCTCCAACAAGATTCCATTGAGCTCTTACATCCCCAGGCAGGACCTAATGATGTCAAGAACCCTGACCTGCAAGGGATTGCAGGGATCTTAATGGGCTAGTGCTCTGATTTACAGTTGTGCATAAAAACTTCTAGTGAAGGAGAGTCTACCCACCACCTTCTCAGGAAGCCCATTCCACCATCAAATGGCTGTTACTGTCAGAAGGTTCTTCCTAATATTTAAACAGAATCTCCTTTCTTACAATTTGAATCCATCATTTTGAGTCCTACCCTCTGGATCAACAGAAAGCAAGCTTTCTCCATCTTCCAGGTGACAGCCCTTCAAATATTTAAATATGGCTATTCTATCACATCTCAGTCTAAACATACTCAGCTCCCTCAACTGTTCCTCATCAGGATTGGTTTCCAGTCCCTTTATCATTTTGGCAGCCCTCCTCTGCACATGTTTCATCTTGTCAATATACATCGTAAACTGTGTTGCCCATAAGTGGACACAGTGCACCAAAAAGATATTTCCAAAATCCCACCCTCACCATCCAAATTCTCTGCTGAATCTCTAAGTTCTGAAATACCTGAAGGGGAAATGTTGTACCAGGAGTGTACCCTCACTTCATTAGAACTTCAATAAAATACTGCTCTCCCACACAAACTTGAATACTACTTTACATGCAATCACATGCTTTGGGGTGGGTGGGTTGGGGAGTTTATTAAGTGATATGGAGGAGGAGAGGGATGTAAATGAATAAAAGAAACTGGAAACTGCATCAGGCCAACCAGACCCCACTTCTGGAACTCATGTTAGAAATTCTCTGAAAATTATCAGATAAGGCAAAAAGCGATATTCAAGTCAGGATATGTACGAAAAAAGAAATGGATGTATATCCCGAAGAGAGATGATTCAGACCACATGTGTACTTAGAACATGGGCAATGACAGGACTTCTGTATCTTCCTGCATGTGCCTGAGTGCAATGAAATATGTAAACACTTGCAACAAGTATGAGAACATTTAAATGGTGCGTGTCTTCATGGGTAGAGCATGTGCATGCTACTGATTTGGGGAAATTTGTTTTGATTGCTGGATAAGCTTCAAGAGTATGTGTGTGTGTGTGTGTGTCCAATTTTTCCATTCCTAGACAGTAATCCATACAAGTGAGTTACATTTCTCTTCTTTTCTGCACTTTCTCATTTAGTGTCCATCTTTGAGAGCGTTTGTATCACCCTCTTTCACTCTACTACAGCCAGTGTTTTCCCCAGTCTGATTTGTGGGTGTACAGTTAAGCAATTCTGCCTCTTCATAATATCCAAAATCTGCTTGTTGCACTAACTATGGAGAATTTGACTGGGGGGGGGATAGGTGGGGCCATGGGCCAGCGTGTTCAATCTAGACCCAAACTATGCACTTCCCTAAAAATTAGAAATGCTTCTGAATACCAGTTGCCGGAAACCAGAGGAGAGGAGAGGGCTTTTGTGCACTAGTCCTTCTTTCAAGTTTCCCACAGGTTGGACACTGTGAGAACAGGATGCTGGGCTAGATGGGCCATTGATCTGATCCAGCAGGCTCTTCGTTTGTTCTTAGGTGGGGGCTGATTGAGGGAAGACTGTACTGAGTAAAAGAGTGTCCCATTTGCCCATATGGACCAGCCTTCACTGTGTAAATGACAGAATCCACTTTCAGGGTGTTATCTAAACCCCTTCTCCACCCATTACAATATCCCCATCATTTCCAGAGGGCCTGGCTTGCCCCGTTAGACTAGTGAACTGCTCTGCTGTCCAAGACAGGAAGACTGAAGGTGCTGCCCAGGGGCAGAGTTTGCAAACTGTCTCCCAAATCTTCCCTTGCAGGGCTCAGCATTCTGGATCAAGCCCCACCTGTCCAGTAGGTGGGCTGGCCTCAGTAAAATGACACCTGAAAGTGCTCTTTTGGAAGGGATAAGATTCCTTCCTAACCACTGCAGAGATTAAGTGATGCCCTAAAGCATGAAAATTAATAGCAAGGCCTCTCTGGTTTCACCCCGTGTAAGATAATCCAAAGCAAAACAAAGCCCTATCAGGATGTTCTTTTTCCTCCCCACCCCCAACCCGCCTCCAGCCATCTACTGCAAGCCTTTATGTATATTATGCAAAACTACATTTGAAAGCAGAGAAAAGAAACAGGAACCGGTCCGAGAGGTGTGTGGAACTAATCGCTCAGCTAATCTTCTTTGGCACTGAAAGATGTTCAGCCAGAGGATTTTTCGAGCCCACAACTCAGCGGGTAATTTAAGCTTTAAGGAAACAAGAGTCAAAAGGGGACTCAGATTCCCATACAAGCCTATGCAGATCCAAAGGGCTGGGACCCCGGAGCCAAAACCCAGAGCAGCCTTCCAGACATAACAGCCGAGATTGCAAGACCCTCTGAGGGAGCGGCTGTGCTCCGCTGGCGAGACAGGCAGCCCGACAAATATCCAGGATAAAGGCAAAGAAGCCGTCAAACCAACAAGGAGTGGCTAATTAAGGGGTGATGTGGTTTAGCACGAGCTCTGTAAAATAGCATTAGAGTCAAGGAAAATGGCTGCCATCAAACTGAGTTTATGCGGCCATTAGGAAGGGCCCTAGCGCAGCAGTAGAGCCTCTGCCCTGCAAGTGGAAGGTTCCAGCTTCAGTCCCTGATGGCTTCTCCAAATAGGGCTGGGAATGCCCCCAGCCTGAAACCTGTAAAGCTACTGCCAGCCAGTGTAGACAATACTGAGCTCAGTGTAAGGCAATGCCAGTCCAGCATCCTGTTCTCACAGTGGCCAACCAGATGCCTGTGGGAAACTCACAAGTAGGATTCGAGCACAAGAGCCCTCTCCCCTCCTGTGGTCTGCAGTAACTGGTATTCAGAAGCAACCAACTGAGGAGGCAGAGCATAGCCATCATGGATAATGGTAAAGGTAAAGGGACCCCTTACCATTAGGTCCAGTCGTGGCTGACTCTGGGGTTGAGGTGCTCATCTCCTGGCCAAGGGAGTCGGCATACAGCTTCTGGGTCATGTGGCCAGCATGACTAAGCCGCATCTGGCAAACCAGAGCAGCACACGGAAACGCTGTTTACCTTCCTGCCGGAGCGGTACCTATTTATCTACTTGCACTTTGACGTGCTTTCAAACTGCTAGGTTGGCAGGAGTAGGGACCAAGCAACAGGAGCTCATCCCATTGCGGGGATTTGAACCGCCGACCTTCTGATTGGCAAGTCCTAGGCTCTGTGGTTTAATCCACAGCGCCACCCCCATCTCTTCATGGATAGTAGCCATCAATAGCCCTCTCCTCCGTGAATTTGTCTAATCCTCTTTTATAGCCATAAGAGTTGGTGGTCAATAAGAGTATAGCATCTAGATCAAGGGAAGTAATAGTGCCACTGTATTCTGCTCTGGTCAGACCTCACCTGGAGTACTGTGTCCAGTTCTGGGCACCACAGTTCAAGAAGGACACTGACAAACTGGAACGTGTCCAGAGGAGGGCAACCAAAATGGTCAAAGGCCTGGAAACGATGCCTTATGAGGAGCGGCTAAGGGAGCTGGGCATGTTTAGCCTGGAGAAGAGGAGGTTAAGGGGTGATATGATAGCCATGTTCAAATATATAAAAGGATGTCACATAGAGGAGGGAGAAAGGTTGTTTTCTGCTGCTCCAGAGAAGCGGACACGGAGCAATGGATCCAAACTACAAGAAAGAAGATTCCACCTAAACATTAGGAAGAACTTCCTGACAGTAAGAGCTGTTCGACAGTGGAATTTGCTGCCAAGGAGTGTGGTGGAGTCTCCTTCTTTGGAGGTCTTTAAGCAGAGGCTTGACAACCATATGTCAGGAGTGCTCTGATGGTGTTTCCTGCTTGGCAGGGGGTTGGACTCGATGGCCCTTGTGGTCTCTTCCAACTCTATGATTCTATGATTCTATCACTGCCTCCGGTGGAAGCGAGTTCCATAGTTTAGCTCCTCTCTGTGTGAAGGACTTTCTTTTATCTGTCCTGAATATTCCCACATTCAGATTCATTGGATGACTACGAGTTCTTGTGAGAGAGGGAGATAAAAATGTTCCTCTGTCCACTTTCTCCAGGGCCATGCATAATTTTATACACTTATGTCATGCTTCCTCTTACTCGCCTTTTCTCTAAACTAGAGTCCCAAACGCTGTAACCCATATTTACAGAGCAGCATGTATAACCTGAGTCAGGGACTGCTCCTGCCAACCTAGCAGTTCGAAAGCATGTCAAAGTGCAAGTAGACAAATAGGTACCGCTCTGGCGGGAAGGTAAACGGCGTTTCTGTGCACTGCTCTGGTTTGCCAGAAGCTGCTTAGTCATGCTGGCCACGTGACCCGGAAGCTGTACGCCGGCTCCCTCGGCCAATAAAGTGAGATGAGCACCCCAACCCCAGAGTTGGTCATGACTGGACCTAATGGTCAGGGGTCCCTTTACCTTTATGTATAACACATGATCCTGTCTTCCAGGGAAGAAAGTACCACTGAAGTCGTAAGCGGAGCCTCGCCAGATCATACCCAAAGGTTCACCCTTGAGAGTTAAAAGGGCATGCTTCTAAATAAGGGTGTTATGATGGCGCTTCAAATGTGTGCTCACAATCTACAAAGATGTGAACCCAACTGATGCTAATGCACTAAGAAAGAGGCAATGTGTGAGGTCTAGCACTGACATCAGTGATGTGCAGCCCATCCCTTGAGGCTTGATTAGACAAGAAAGAGGGAACAAGCAGCAATCAGAGGAAACTGTCAACAGCTGGCGGCAGGTGTAGCTTCCACACTTACAAGGCTGAATCTGAGATGGATAATGGCTGCTATGTGTCAATCCCAAGGAACACGAGGAACGAAATGAAATGGGGTATCTGTGAGACAGCATAGCTGTCAACTTTTCCCTTTTCTTGCGAGGAATCCTATTCGGAATAAGGGAATTTCCCTTAAAAAAAGGGAAACGTTGACAGCTATGGTGAGAGAGTAAATCGAACATTCTCGGCATGCAGGAATATAAGCTCTTTAGTCAACAGGAAGGAAGTTGACAGTGTCGCTTGTGCATGCAGAGCCATAACTCGGTGGCTGCATTTGCAGCACCACGTCAGTGTTTGTTTAGTTATTTAAAACATCTTTTGCCAAAAGGGCTCCCAGAGCTGCTCATGTAAGATCAGGAGAAAGAAGACAACGCCTGCCTGCAGGGTGACAATCTGGAAGTGGACCCTGCTGGGTCTCTTCTGCGGCCTGACGGAATGGCTTCTGCCAGGGGACAGTTGAGAGAAAGAGTCATTTGATGGAGCTGGTCCTTCAAAAGACTAATGGTGTGGCCCTGCTTCCCTGTTCTCTCCCTCTTCTGCAGCCTGATGGAATAGTTGCTGCCAGGGGGCAGTTAAGGGAAGGCAGAAACCTGATGGAAATGCTCTCGGCATATCCAGTGGGGTGGCTTTGCTTGCCATTATACAATTTGAGGAGTTTTCATATTATTATCTCACCTTGTCTCACTCAGACCTTCTCAGCAAAGACAATTCACTCACGGGCAGCTGCTTCAAGCCAGGTCAAACTGTTTCTCCATCTAGCCCAACATTGTTTAATCCGACAGACAGCAGCTCTCCAGGCAGAGATCTTTTCAGGCACCTGCTATCTGATCCTTGAACTGGAGATGCCAGGATTTAACCTTGAGCCTCTTGCCTGCAAAGTCTGTGTTATGTGTCTGATCTGTGATCCCTGCCCACATTCTACAGCATATTGTCATGTAACTGGCAACACCATGAAGTATAATGCAATGCACATCCATGTGTGGACCAGTCATCATTTTTTGCTATATAAAGGTAAAGGGACCCCTGACCATTAGGTCCAGTCATGGCCGACTCTGGGGTTGCAGCATTCAGAAAAAGAAAAACATTTGGTGCAGTCCTCCACAACAAAATGCAGGTGGACTGAAGGGTTGCCTTTATAACTTCCCATCACACAATTCAATTAAACTCCTGCATTTTCTCTTCAGCCTTCCTTCTGGAAAGCGCATCAAATGCACTGACTTCATCTTCAGTCCTCACCTTCATTCCTTTGCTGACCACTTGTGCCCTCTGCCTGTGCAGATCGAAACGGCAGCTTCCAGCATGCTGCATAATTTGAAGAGACTCTATGCTGACTAATTAAGAGGGCTTTCAACCAATTAATGGATTTTCAGTTGACTAATTCTCTGCCTTTTATCTACCTCTTGGTTCGTGAATTGCATATACATATATCACTAAAGCATTAATATAGATTCCTTTTTAAAAAAATATTGCAAGGAAATGGAGAATTTGCAAAGGTAACAGTAAAAGATAGGTCACCTTGTTAATCCACACACCTCTTGCTGCAACAAACATGAACCTCCAATAAACAATGGGGGTGTTCTTTAACTTTCAGACCCAGGAGTTAAAACTGGTCCTAGCAACTGATTTACCTTTTTAAGTCATTGAAAGCCTGCAGCCACGGTAATCAAAGCAGCGGCATATCAATAATACTCAAACTGCCCTTGGCATCAGTGAAAATGGCAATGAAAACGGAATGTGGGCTCACCTTAAACTTGACATTTTTCTTACAGCACTGTGTTTGTGTGAGAGTTATGGGGGGAGGCTGTGTGTGTTCTTATGTGTATGAGAGGGAGTGTGAAGAGGGCTACACCCAGCATCAAGAAATAGAACACAAAAATGGGTGCATGAAGATGTGGTTTTAACATTGTTAAAACCCATGCCAGAGTTGTCTTCCTCAACAAGAGATGTGGCAAGTGAAGGTCCTCCTGCCAAAGGGTAGATGGAAGGGAGGGTTGATGTATCTGAGAAAGCAATGCCAAAATGCATCCCGCAATATTAGGTCTACTTCTCAGTCTTCAAAAGTATTATTTGTTTATTTAGATTAATGACCGTATTATCAAAATAGCTCTCCAAGAGCTTTTACAAATAAATTTGGAACTGCAACGCACCTAAAACCACACTCCAGTTAAAGCAAATATACACAGAACCAGCACCATTAAAAATAATAAAATCATTAAGGTTTTTAAAACAGACATAGGTGAAAAAATTAGAATTAGATTTTGGGGCTCCCATTGGTTTGGCGTTGTTGTTGTTGTGAAGATGCAGGTGAAAGGCAAAGGGGAGAGGAAATGACTGGAGATGGATAAAAATATGTTATGGAACAGGTATGAAATATGTGGAATCGAAACTTTTAAAAAGACTTCTTAGTTTCTGGATCGCCAAATTCTGCCTAAAAAGGGAGGCTGCGTCACTCTACCACTTCCATCACCCTTCATTTTATTACTGCCCCCTCCTTTGCACTGCTATTTTGTGATTAGTAGATCTCTCTTACTTTTTAGCCATCTCAAGTGGGCCCTTGGGGTGGAAAGTCTGAAAATTCCTGATTTTGATTGCAAGCTTCTTGGGCTCAGGGCAGAGATATGTGGATTGGCATTGATGGCCATTCATTTATTATTATTGATGGTGATTTATTTGTTTATATTTATTATCATTAGAATTTTTATACTATCCTTCATCCGACGAACATAGGGCTGTTTAAAATATAAAAAACACAAAAATAACTATCAATAACAGCATTAAGTGTCAGAAGTACCTTAATTCTTAAGCTACTTCTTAATTCACAAGTATCTTCACCATTCTTTGCGTGATTTCTTTGGAAGGTTCTAGAAGATATATTCAAAGCTAAGGTAAAGCATAACTATCAGTCTTTTGCCCCACTAACATGAGGTGTATTTGCTGTTTTTAGCCCTGATAACTTCTGGTTATGACAAAATTGGGTGGCTGTTGCAATGACTGAGGCAACAGCACCACCAAGTGTCCTTCACAGCTGCCCGCTGCATTTTCGATGAGGAGGCAGACAGATCCCTCTAGCGGTTCACACGGAGAGTGACTTGGAGTGCAGAAGTGATGCAGGCACAATGAAAATGGTTCTCGGTCAGACATTTATAACATTCTACCTTCCTGCAAGCATCTTTAGCATGAGGGCCCAAGCCTACCAAGAGGAGAAAAAGCATCTCTGCAGCCCACAGTTACTTAAGAAGTGAACAAAAGCAGACAATTTATTCAGTGGAAATATGACGTTTCTTTGTAGTCAATTCTTAACCTTTTTCCCCCTGCAAGTGTAGGATTCCATTTCTAGCATGTGGTTCGAAATCCTACTCAGCCATGAATCTCAGTGAACATCTCTGAGTTGGACACCAACTTTCAGACTAGCTTACCTCACAGGGTTCTTGTACTGAGGATAAAATGGGTGGCAGGAGACCATGTACGCTGCCTTGGGCTCTGTTGAGGAAGAGCAGGATAAAAATGTAACAATGAACAATGAACCGAATGCTCACTAAAAAAGCTAAAATGCCCCCTCATAAGTACATAAGAAGAGCCCAGCTGGATCAAGCCAGAGTTCTATGTAGTCTAACATAATGTTATTTTATTTGATTACTTTAGAACAGAGTTTTGTACCCCCGGGATAACTTAGTGAGAACATTGCGCCTCAAAAGCACAGATATCCAATTATTGTTCCTTGAGTGAGGTCTACACCTAATATTTCCATTTCTTAGCCTCTGCCCTTCTGTGTGACTTTTTTTCAGTTTCCCCATTTTTTGCCCATTCTGTTACAGTGAAGCTCCTAAAATGTTCAGCTGATTGCAAAACTGTCTCATGAAGTAGTTCTAAGAATCAAATTTAGTCAGAGTTGTGAAGCGATGGTGGAATAATTTTACAGCCCTTTTGCTTGCTATTATTATTATTATTATTATTATTATTATTATTATTATTACTTTATACTCATGTATATCTGCTTCATGCATCTGACAATGTGGGCTCTTGTTATGAAAGCTTTTGCCCGAATAAATCTTTAAGGTGCCGCTGAACTGCTTTCGGCAACAGATCAACACAGTTAACCTGTTGGCATTTGATAAAGATAAGCTAAAACTATTTCCAAACAACTTCATTCAACACATATTGTTCTCTCAGGATTTTTAATCAAATGGAACCATCTTTGGAAGCTATATTCTGAAACCCTTTTAGAAAATGGCCATTTTAGAGGGCTATAACTGGGAAAACAATTTATTTCAAATTCCTGTAGAACAGAGCAGGTACAGCAGAATAATAATAATAAAAAGCATTTCGGGTTTGATTTGCCCAAGTTGCAGGGAAAAGACTAAGCTAGCCTCTTCCTCTGGACATCTTATTTTCTACATGGAAAAATATATCAAGCTGAAGCCATGCTGTCTCTCTGTTACAGTTTATGATGGTTTACTGCATAAAGTTTTACAACCTCAGCAGACTATTGGTTATGATAGGGGTGGGGAACCTCAGCCCTGGGGGTCAAATGTGGCCCTTCGGGCCTCTCTAGCTGGCCCCTAGAACTCTCCCCAGGCCACACCCTTTCCTGGCCTTCCTTTGCATCCTGGGGTTTTATTGCCTGGCTTGAACTTGCCTTTGAACTAAGAATGCCTCTTGCTTGTCTATATGCAGGATAAAGAGGGATCTGTATGTATGCATAGAAGCAAGCCTACCACAGGAAGATCACATTTCTATAATAATAATAATAATAATAATAATAATTTATTATTACGGCCGTAGGCCCATACAGATAAAAAACAAGACATAAATAACAGCCTGTGCACATGGGAAAAAAACAGCCGCTAAAACACTACTATAACAATAAGCTACTATAAGATGGAATGGCATACTACGCCTTAATTAGCTTGTGGTGCTCCTTGGCGACGCTTTTGGGTAAGGACAGCGACCAGGAACCTAGCCACTTTCATTTCTATAAATTGCCATGCCTACATTTCCAGCCCTAGGGCCACATTTCATTCTGGACAACCGTTCAAGTGGACCCATCCACCACCGGCATGTGGCCCTTGAACGGTTGTCCAGAATGAAATGTGGCCCTAGGGCTGGACCCATCCACCACTGGCATGTGGCCCTTGAACGGTTGTCCAGAATGAAATGTGGCCCTAGGGCTGGAAAAGGTTCTCTGCCCTTGGTTTATGGGCACTAGGCTGCATCCAGGACATCATATGAAATACAGATGCTTCCTTCAGCTAGGGCAGGTTTCTTGCTTCTATGGATTAGAGCAATGTTTCCCAAACTTGGGTCTCCAGCTGTTGTTGGACTACAACTCCCATCATTCCTAGCTAGCAGGACCAGTGGTCAGGGATGGTGGGAACTGTAGTCCAAAAACAGCCAGACACATTGGGAAGAAACACTGGACAAGGGTATCCATCAACCTCAATCCCAGCAACTTCTGAGCAAATTTAAGACTTTCTGTATATACAGTATATTTGATGTGTTAAGGCATACTGGTCCCTGTTGGTTGCTTGCTCTCTCATCCCCGGAGAGATGTCAACCCTGCTATCTCTAGTGATGCCACTTTTGCCAACGAGTACATTTTGGAGAACTTCAACCACCGCCATATGCAAGATTTTTTCATGTAGCTCTGAATAGACCTGTGCTCTAATTCCATGCAACAAGCGTGCTGGATGGGGCTCCGCTCACCCCGTGGAGGATGTGGATGTCAGTGACTTTGCGCTAATCAATTAACGCTATTAAATATCAAGTATTTCCCATGAAGCTGACATTTCTAATCCCCTTTGCTGCCTTCTCTTTTCACACACCATTGACTGGGGCCTTTCCCCACTGAGAGGGATCTTTCTTTCCAATTTCTCCAGGCTTATTGCTCCCTCCAACTTCCAAGATTAAAGTCATAATAAAGGGGTCCTTTAACAAGAGGGGGGAAACGTAGCTTCGGGCAGGGGGGAAGACACACATACAAAAAAAGGCAGGCCCCTTGTTTGAGCTCAAACCCTCATCTACTTCTCCCTGTGGAGAATAAAGAGGCCTTTTCACCCCAGCAACCAGAAGGCGTGAGTTGGATATGTGGTTTCTAGATAGGCCATAGCTGGAAGCTGCCAGCCCGGGGCCGACTTGTGGTGACATTTTTACTTCAGATTAGACAGCGAGCCTCAAAACTCATTAGAGACATGGTTGCTGGGGAGACTGGCCCTTCATACAGTCACAAGTTTGACGGAGGCCCTGCTGTATCTATGAAACCAGCCCTCCGTGTGGCTTCAATGGCTGCCTTTCTTCAGACACTAGACCTAAATGGAGGTCGGAGCCTAACGCTTCTAATATCCCCCACCGGAGGGGCCTGCCCCTTAGCCTGCTTTTGTGTTCTACTTATTTTTCATTATAAACATCCTCCCTCATAATGCAAACGTGGGGAGAGGAGCGGAGGGCAGCGGGAAGGAGGGGTGGCTTCGGCCCACACAATGAGAACGAAAGGCCTCGCGAGCTGGGGAACCAATGGTCGCGAGAAACCCGGTTTCCTTAGCTCCAGAGGCATGGTGGGATAGAGTAAACATGGAATATAGCCATTATGGAGAAAGTAATGGAGGAGCCCAAAGGCGATTTCAAAACTGTGTTATGACATATGTTGGACAATGTTGCTCACTCTTGGACAGTCTGTTAAGATGGAGAGTAGAAGATACCTTATGCAACCAACTCTCTCTCTCCTTTTTATTACGTTTTCTGTTTTACATTTTAAAATACTCATTTTACATCCTTCAGATATCAATGACTTCCCTTCTTTTCTTCCCATGGTTCATTTTACATACCATAAATCCCTGCATATTCTACAAAAACTATACCATTCAGCATTCCATTATTACATCCAGCCAAACTTGTTTATGTTGTTGAATTTATATTAATGCTGCCAGCGTTTTCAGCTGTACACAGTTACTTCCCATATAGTCAATAAACGTTTTCCAATCTCCTCTAAACGTTTGCTCTTCTTGTTCTCTTATTCTATATGTTAAGTCTGCAAGCTGCGCATATTTTGTCAACTATCCATGGCTCACTCTAGGACAATCTGTTAAGATGGCGAGTAGAAGACACCTAATGCAACCAACTCTCAACTATTTACAAACTTGAAGTTTGACTGTATATTATTTATGTAGTATATGCATGGAAAGTTTCTGGGAGGGAGGTTATATGGAAATTGTTTGTTACACTGTATGTATTTTCAAAAAATAAAGCTAATGAGATATTTTTTTTAAAAAAAGAGAAAAGGAACTGATTTTTTTAAAATTATTCTCATATATATTGGACATGACTATGTTCTGTTGCCAAGATGTGGTCCTTCCCACAGAACCATCATCAAAATGCTATTAGCCCGATCATATGTGTGTATACTTACTTGGGAATAAGCCTACTTGGGAGTAAGCTCCTCACCAAATTCACAGGACTTAACTCCTAAGTAAGTGTTTAAAGTATTGTAGCAAAACTTTCTCTCAATGATTTCCTCCGATCAAAAGTGGACAGAATCACTGTGATATGTTTTGAATACTCCAATGTGTGTCTTTAGATTACAGCGAGCAAATAAAAGACACACCAAACTGCTACTCTGGGTAGCCAGTAACAGAAAACTTCCATCCATCCAATTAATAGGTTTAAATACCTTCAACCCATTTTGGAATAAACAATCAAGAATATTGGACTTCAGATAGCTTCAACAAGGTCTTTCTGAAACCATATTGGCTCCATTTTGGATTAACTGTGATGAATTTGCATTGATTTAGTACTGTCCCAATCCTCATCCAGTGTTTCAATCAAGAGCTCAGTGGGAACTTGCCCTCCTAGTGAGACCTTGATTCACTGAGAACCTTAGACATCTCCTTACTGCCATCACAAGCTTCAAATGGAAAATATGGGGCTGGGAGAACTCCCTTCCCTCACCCCCAGTGTGTTGTCCATGTGGGAAGCAGTGCGGAGGAGAACAACCGGGAAAGGTCATTGCTTTCATTCTTGATGTTCTCAAATGAGGAATGAAAATGGCCCTCCAGATTCTAGAGACAGTCATACGAAGAAAATCAAGGGCATTGCTAGAAATCCTTGGTACTGGACTACCAAAAAGATCAAATATAGCAAGACTTTGCATTTCGGCAGTAGCTGAACTAGCTGTTGGATTGAAACATCTTCCACGGCTCTTACAAATGCAAACTCTCATCGAATCTGGATCCTAGAATTTTGGGATCCAGACCCTAGGCACTAATTGTAGGATTTAGCCCATTTCCACACACACCCCTTTGTCTTTTTCATTTTCACCTGGCTTTTAATAGCCTATGGCTTAAGAGTTACATTTCACAAGCTTTCACTTGCTAGGAACCACATTAGGGGAGAGTGCTCTTGCACTCGGGGGTCCTGCTTGTGGGTTTCTGTTTTTGTTTTTTTTTAATAATAATATTTATTCAAAGTTTAAAGTTACAAAAAGAAAAAAGAACAATACAAAATACAAAAAAGAATATAACAATAACAGAGAGAGAGAGAGAGAAAAAGAAGGTATAAAAGTACATTCAATTGAAATAGAACAAGAACAGATTAAACCTTTACATAACTTTTTCCTTTACTTATTTCCTTGACCTCCTCACACCTCCCAATTTTGTATTCTACTTCAGATCGTTTTTTCAGCAAATCCTTCCAACCTTATTTTCATTTACGTAGTTTAATTTAAAGTATTATAATTTAACATCCTCTCTTTCATCAATTTCATCAACTCATTTTTGCTTAATCCTTTATATCATATCTACCAAAACGACCTAATTTTCTTTTTCCAACATCTTTCTAACAGTCTTTAATATTACAATATTTTTGAAGATATACTTTAAATTTTTTCCAATTTTCTTCCACCGACTCTTCTCCTTGGTCCTGGATTCTGCCAGTCATCTCAGCCAATTCCATATAGTCCATCACTTTCGTCTGCCATTCTTCTCGGGTGGGTAATTCTTGTGTCTTCCAATACTTTCCGATGAGTATTCTTGCTGCTGTTGTAGCGTACATAAAAAAGGTTCTATCCTCCCTTCGCACCAATTGGCCGACCATGCCCAGAAGGAAGGCCTCTGGTTTCTTCTGGAAGGTATATTTAAATACTTTTCATTTCATTATAAATCATCCCCCAGAAGGCCCTGCTTGTGGGTTTCTGACAGGTACCTGGTTGGCCACTGCAAGAACAGGATGTTGGACTAGATGGGCCATTGGCCAGATTCCATGGGCTCTTCTTATGTTCTTAAGATTCTTCCTATAGGTGATCCTACACAGGAGCGGATCTACTATGAAACTAATGAAGCTTAAGCCTCAGGGCCTCTAATCCCAGAGGGCTTTAGTCCACATTGCTTAAAAATGTTGGGTCTAGTACACCCAATTTGAGTCACATGTCTTAAATTGATTAATTTCTTGTTGTATTTCAACACTTCCCTAGTTTTAGTAGCACAGGTGTTGTAAAGGTATGGTGATCTGTCATGGAACAACCCCAGTGAAGAAGTTAACAGTGGTTACTCAGACCTCAGTTGCTGGTTGCTAAGGGCCACCCGTGACAGTGCAAGCTTCAGGGCCCCCCAAATGTAGGTCCACCACTGATTCTACATGGTCAGGTTCCACACACCCTTGGGTAGGGAAGTGATCCCATGTGGACATTTAGCATTCAGCAAATAAAAGCAGGAACAGAGACCTTGGAAACTTGAAAGTTTCTGGCTGTGAACTTCCCTTGAGAAAATGTCCATTTTGGGATGGGGGCAGCTATAATAGACAGTCTGCAATACAAGGGGATTAAAACAACTTTCTCACAGGTGCACATAATTATTATTATTATTTTAGGAGAAGGGGGCATGTGTGCAATCTAGAGGTGGAAAGAATAGGGACTGTGTGTGGGCATGGAGAGTTAAAAGCCCCCAAATAGAGTGCTGAGGTTTTGAGAGCCGCAGCTTGTCTTGTATGAAATCTGAAGTGGTTTGCATTGAAAAATAGCCTTGGAGAGCAAACAGCTTTGACTTTTATCCTTTCTGCTAAACACCCATCCACTTCCTTCTGCCATCTTTGGTCAAGGTAGTCTCCTTTGCTAAGTTCTGTTGATTTTGAAAGCTGAAGGATGGCCAAGAAGGTTCTATAAGAGCCACGGCACTTGAGAGAAAATATGCACGCTTTGCTAAAAAGGGGTTTTAAATAAAGAAGTTTATGGTCTTTGATCCTCACCACTTTCGCCCTCTTCAAGAACAGGTGTCGAGTGCCCCTCTTTTCCGTTCCACCCAAGAGAGCCTTGGGAACAGGAAGGAAGATGGATTTAGCCAAGTGATACTTGACGGCTCTTTTGCCGTGAAATGAGATGGGGATAGAAGGAATCCAACAGAAAGTGGCAACATGCTAGAAGTTTATAAAATGATATTGGGCATGGAAAAAGTGGAGGGAGAAAGCTTTTTCTGCCTCTTCTTAGAACACTAGAATTTGTGGACATCCAATGAAGATTGGAAGATTCAGGACAGATAAAAGGAAGTAGTCCCAGTTACTCCCACAGGAGGCAGTGATGGGCACTACCTTGCATGACTTTGAGATAGGATTGGACGATTTCATGGAGGAGAAGGTTATCAATGGCTACTAGCTGTGATGGCTATACTCTGCCTCCATGGTTCTGTGTTTTGCCGCTCGTGTATGTGCAGACGCTCAAAATGACGTCACGCGCATGTGCAGAAGTGGCGAATCGTGACCCGCGCATGCACAGACGCTGGTTGCGTTCTGCTCATGTTGCGAATGGGGCTCCGGAACAGATCCCGTTCGCAACCAGAGGTACCACTGTATATAAAAACATTAAACATATAAAAACTTCCCTATACAGAGCTGCCTTCAGATGTCTTCTAAAGGTTGTGTCTCCTTGGCTCAGGGGTCGCATAACTCCATTCCCTCCAACATTTGTCTAACGGAAATAAGGACGTCCCAAGGAAAAGCAGGACATTCCAGGATCCAATCAGAAACCGGGACAGCTTCTGTAAATCCAGGACTGTCCCTGGGAAATAGCGACACTTGGAGGGTCTGTACTCATCTAACCTCCTAGGGGGAAGTGTAAGTTAAAAATATAATAAAATATAGACTTCCCACGTATAGGTCATAGGTAACTATTACTGCATGATGGTCATGTAGGTCTGGTTGCTGTCATTCCCAGTGCACAGAAGAATGCATTCTTGTTCATCTGTTGCATGTAAGCTGTACACTGTGAACCAAGCCATAAACAGTCTTTGGACTGCAAACTAGCAACCTCAAGAACAAGATGGGCAGCACAGAGGTACAATTAAAACGTAGGTGCTATTTTACTGTATCATTGATTGCAGTGTTCATTTATCTTAGCAAAGCTAAGCCTCCCGGTATGGGGATGTTGGGAAATCTTATTACGCCTACACATGATCTATAATATATATATATATATATATCTCAGAGACACAGCAGTGGTGCCAATTCCCCTCTTTGGTGCAAAATTCCCAGTTTGCTCTGGTACTAATTACACGGCATTCTGTGCATGGATAAGTGCTTAATCTTAGAGCTGTTGACACTGGAAACGGCCCAGTCTAGCCTGGGGTGGATATTAGTGAAGGGAACTTGGCCTTCACAGCTAATACCACATCATGTGTTGCGCAAATGTTCACTTTAGTTGCAGGTAATGGATTTCCGACAGCATCTGGGATCTTTCTGTGGCATGTCTAATCTGGAATAATATATGGCCCAAGCACTTTGCCGTATCGGGTTCCCCCTCAATTTAAAATAAAATTAATATTGTTTTAATTCTTGGCTCAAACTTTTTGAAATAAAATGCAGCCCCTCTTGCGTTGCGCTACCTAGCCAGTCCTCCCCCAGTGATCAAACCCTGGCCGCAGGCTGGGTTATTGCAATGTGCTTTATGTGGTTCTGCCTTGAAGATTAGTCAGAAGCTCTAGCTGGCCTAGAACACAAGCCTGACTCCTGTCAATCACTAGGCAACACATTAGTCATCACCTACATGGTTTTTAAAATGTAAATTACAGGTGCAGGAGTCATGGCCCCATCAGGGGTTGGGAGCTTTAACTGCTTAGCCTGGTCCGGATTGGGCCCCTGCAGCTGCAATTTGTACCTAAAACAGCACCTTCCCCAGTATCAAACATCTTGAGCTCTATGATTGGCAGGAGGCTCTGTTGGTGGTGCTGCCAGTGGGGGTTGTCCAGTAGGTGGTGACTTGTGACAGGGCCTTCTTGGTGTTGACCAGCTGTTTAACAATCCAACAATTCGCACAATCCTCCGGAACACACCAACTCCCATTTCCCCCAGGATACTGCTTACATTCAGTTCAGACTGTCATTCCATGACAAGTGTGCTTGAATTTACTTGATCGGTACAGACAGGAACAAGATGGCCTGCATCACACTTAAGAATCTGTGTATAGGGAGGTATTGGGACTCATTCCCAGGCTCGCTTGGGTACACCTGTGTACGAGGGATCCAGACCCACTAGCACCCCAGGGTGGCTGGGGAAACCCAGACAGATGGGAGGGGTATAAATAAAACAACAACAACAGCTTTGATCCTAGCCTTGCAGCAGACCTTCATAGGAAAGTAGGAAGAACCACCCCAATTAGCTACGAAAGGAATGGCATCATCTTGTTTCAAGCAAGCCAGCGACTGAGTCAAGGATTTAGCCAAGGTTCTAGCTCAGGGATCAGCAAACCTTTTCAGCAGGGGGCAGGTCCGCTGTCCCTCAGACCTTGTGGGGGACTGGACTATATTTTGAAAAAAAGAGAAAATGAACAAATTCCTATGCCCCACAAATAACTCAGAGATGCATTTTAAATAAAAGCACACATTCTACTCATGTAAAAACACCAGGCAGGCCCCACAAATAACCCAGAGATGCATTTTAAATAAAAGGACACATTCTACTCATGTAAAAACATGTTGATTCCTGGACCATCCGTGGGCTGGATTTAGAAGGTGATTGGGCTGGATCCAGCCCCTGGGCCTTAGTTTGCCCACCCACGTTCCAGCTTCTCACTGAGTTTTGCAAACCGCCCGGCAGAAACCATTGATTCAAGTTGATTCCAACCATTCTGGACAGAAAAATAACTTTTCCTTGGGTAGTTTTGTGCTTTAAGAGACAACATGAATCTCAGGGACAATAGACACCAAATAAAGGAAGGATAGTTTTATTTTATTTACTAAACATTTGATTTCCGACTCTTGAGCATAATGTTGTGTAAAGGAAAATGGGGAGAGATCATGAAATGGAATGCCCATATATCTGCATGTAGTCTTGGGAGTGTCGAAGCTTACTAGCTTGAACATAGCTTAAAAAAACAACATGCAAGAAGTGAAATCACATCTATCCAGGAATGCCAGTGAGGTCTTGTCCTATTCTCAAGCTTATTCACCTCTATGAGAAGAGGATACCTTCTAATCAAGAGCTGCTCCTGAGCTCTCCTGAGTTATGGGATGGACACTATTTTTACAGTACAAGTAAACACCTTTGGACCACTCATCTTAGCTTCAGCAGCCAGTCTTGTGCACCTTCATCAGCAGAGGCCCATGGCTCAGTCCAACAGAAATGAAATGCCAAGAATTGATGCCTAGGGATTCACCTCTATACACACACACACACACACACACACACACACTTCTCCTCCACTGCTAGCAAAGCCATTCTGAGTTAGTGTGTTGAAGGACCTGCTCTCTCAGTCACTCCACAGGCAGGTGTGCCTATGGCGGATGTTGCTTTGGATTCATCCACTTGGGAATCGGGGATCAAAAATTCCAGGAGGATGTCTGCGAGGCAGTAAACCATGTGCCTGAAAGAAAAAACACAGGACTTTAAGGGGGCTTGGAAAGCCTAAGGGATATTCCACACATGAAGGCCTGTGCTGGTGAAAAGGCGACAGCCTGAGCTCAATATAGACTACAATGAAGAGGGGCAAATACCGGATGACTTGTGCCCTAGTGATGGATACTGCTGAATCGGCTGGCTTGGGGAATGGCCACCACTGAGCACGAGAGCACACATGTCACCTGCAAAATGTCCTTGGTTCAATCTTTGGCATTTACAGGTAGGACTGCTAAGAAAAGCATTGCTTGGAACCTTGGAGGGCTGCTGTCAATCAGTGTAGACAATACTGAGCTAGATGGGCCAATGGCCAAGTCCTTCTTTGCCCTAAAGTAAGACCTAGAAGGGCTATTTCCCCCTTCTTCCTATCTGTGTGCCCTATCGATGAGCTGCCAAGCACAGCAGTGCATACAGAGGAGCCATGGAGAAGTGCTGTCCATAAAGTGAGGTCTTGTGGAGAAAGGAACCCCCTCCCCATCTCCCCCAGCGCTTATAAAGAAGAAACCAGTTCCCTCCTCAAACCGCACTAGCTCCTTCCTAGGAGTGAGATGATATCCCAGCTCCCTTGGTCTGATCTACAAATCAACTTGGCAGAACCCTATAAAATGCAGCTTTTGTTTTTGTTTTGGGGAAAACATGAGATGCTCAGCTATTGCAACAATACAGAAAAGTTTACCTACGGCAGCTATGGACGATCCAGAGCGTGGAGGATAGTTAAGTTTAGTGTCCACAATACATAGCAAAAAGGCACTCACACACGTTCCTTTTCTCTCTCAAATATTCTGTTGCACTTATGTTCTGTTTGAGGGTTTCCCACAGGGCCACTGGATTGGCCCCTGTGATAAGAGGGTGTTGGATTAGATGGGCCACTGGCTTGATCCAGCAGGCTCTTTTTTTGTTCTTTTGTTAGATTAATCTGATTGTCCCCCCACCAGCACCTAAGACGCACCAGGGGTCAGCCTGGCGCATCTCAGAGTATTGCTAAAGCAAAGCATTCCATATGATGCTTTGCTGGGCAATTTGATCCAAGGTTTTTGGTTTTTCTTAAGCTACCCACTGTACACATGTCTTTATTCGTCTGCAATGATGCCATGTTGCCAAGGTTACCTGTTTATGATAGGATGTTGCATGGACTCCAGGACTAGGCTCCAACTCTGTCGACATTTACTGGTCCCAAGGATTTCCAGGATTAATTCTGTTGACATCAGAGGTTGGCATGAATTCCCAAGTACAATGTGGATCTTGCAGTACAATACAAGGTGCAATACACGGAGGAGTATGCAGCAAGAATTAATTCTTTGGATACCAAAAATATGTTTAGAACTGAATAAATATCACCAGGAGACAAATGCCTCTTGAATGACTATACCAGCTTTCTCAATTCAGATACCTTCCAGATGTTCTACTGCTGATTTATTTATTGCATTTATATCCCAGCTTTTCCTCCAAGGAGCCCAAGGTGGCATACCTCTTCCTCCTCATTTAATCCCCAAATCAACAACCCTGTGATGTTAGGCTGGGAGGCGGTGACAGGTGGAAGGTCACCCACTGAGCTTCATGGTTGAGTGGGGGGATTTGAACCCTGGTCTTTTCCAGATCCTACACTGGCTTCCAGGTCCTGTTACACCACCATTGGCTTTCTGCTTTGGATTACATTTCCCATCAGCCCCAGACAATATGGCCACTGGTCAGGGATGATGCAAGTTTAGTTCAAAATACCTGGAGAGACCCAGTTGGGGTTGGATGAAACACTGTCTAATGTCCCTAGATCAAAGATCAGATCAGGGTTGTAGAGGTCATGGTTGCACTAAAGGTGACTTGCCATCAAAAATATATGATATTGAGGTGGAGAAAAGAACAGGGTTGGGGGAAAGCAAATTCAGATAAATTCAACTCTTTCACGCTGTTGCATAGTGAAGTTAAGTGATGACCATGTGAAATGGTCATTGGAAGAGGAAGTTCTGAGAAGTCAGAAGCCAAATGGCAATTGGTCTCGTCTGACATGCGAGGCTTTGTTGTCCTGAACTAGGGAGCGGGTGGCGCTGTGGTCTAAACTACTGAGTCTCTTGGGCTTGCCGATCAGGAGGTTTGCGGTTCGAATCTGTGTGACGGGGTGAGCTCCCATTGCTCTGTCCCAGCTCCCGCCAACCTAGCAGTTTGAAAGCACGCCAGTGGAAGTAGATAAATAGGTACCACTGTGGCAGGAAGGTAAACGGTGTTTCCGTGTGCTCTGGCACTTGCCACATGTCCCGTTGCGCCAGAAGTGGTTTAGTCATGCTGGCCACATGACTTGGAAAGCTGTCTGTGGACAAACGCCAGCTTCCTTGGCCTGAAAAGCTAGATGAGTGCTGCACCCCATAGTCGTCTTTGACTGAACCATCCATGGTTCCTTTACCTTTTTTACCTTTTCGTTGTCGTCCCCCTCCCTCGGATGCAGCCAGATGGAATGGCTACTGAAAGAAGCAATTCTGACAAAGAAGGAACCCCTAGGCCATGAAGGAGAGCCTTGCTGTCTCAACTCTCCCTCTGATGCAGCTAGGTGAAAACTTGACCCACCCATGATGGCCAGGTAAAAACTGGTATCCACCCAGTACCTCTGATCCAAAAGACCTATTCCATCGTGCTCGATACATAAAGCAAAGGAAAACCTAGCCTAAGATGGGCTTGGGAGTTCTACACCACCATGCTTGCAGCACCAGTTCATTATAGAATCACAGAACTGGAAGGGACCGCAAGGTTCATGTGCTCCAGCCCCCTGCAAGGTAGGAATCACAGCTTAAGAATCCCCAACAGGTGGCCACCCAAGCTCTGTTGAAAATCCTCCAATGAAGGAGGATTCAGCACCTTCCGATGGAGTCTGTTCCATTACTGAATGGCTCTTATCATCTCCTTTCTTGTAACTCGAATCCATTGGTTCATGGGAGCAGCAGGAAACAAGCTTGCTCTAACTTCCATGTGGAAGTCCTTCAGATATCTGAAGATGGCTATCACATCACCTCTCAGTCTCCTCTTCTCCAGGCCAAACATACCCAGCTCCCTCAACTGTTCCTATACGGCTTGGTTTCCAGACCCTTGATCATCTTGACCCAGACTCTTAAGACTCTTGTTTCACCCGCAAGAAGGGTTGGAGGGAAATCAACTCACTCACCAGGCAGAATCCCCATGAGAATCTGTAAGGCCTGCCTTTCTGCTGCAGCCTTCTGTTCCTCTGTTCTGAGTGGTTTGGGGGCTGCAGGCAAGACCCCACCAGGCCATATTGATTCCTGGAGCAACCTAAGGTACTGCACCCAGCGCTGAGTGCAGGTCAGATTGTCCACCTGAACTTCCAACCACCTGTAACCAGGAAAAAAAGGAAGAAAAGAAGAGATTGGGGAGAAAATTTACTATGCTGGTGCTTTTGCTGCTATTTTAAAAACCTGATGCTTCACAATAGGAACACCACACAGACAGCAAACGGGCTAAAAATAAAGACGCCGACCGACCCAAACACAGGAGTTTTTTCATCCGGGGTGCTCGAGAAAGGATTTCTGCGCCAGGATTTTGTGCAAAGATATCTCGATTGTGAATATAAAAAGACAGCCAACCCATGACTGAGGCATGACCTGCACTTCAAAAGAGAAACGGACCGTGCCGGACCAGAGCAGCTTTGAGCCAGACAGTATAAAAAAAGAGATGGAGATAGCAAAGGCAAGGGGTGTCGGCTTCCCATTTGGAGACACATAACTTGTGCATGCCGTCATGGGTTCTGCATTTGAAACAGACACGGACGGAGGATGAGCCCGTTGCTAAAGGGAGAGCTGCTTTAAGACCAGAGCTCACAGTGATGGGAGGCAGGGCCAGTGCCAAGCATTTGGTGTTGTTAGGCAACTACTGAGGGCCACACCCTGGCAGGGTGCCAACCGCAGACCCCTTGTGTCTGTGGTCCATATTTGCTGTTGCTGCCTTCATGGCTACTAGCTATGTTGGCTATGCTCTGCTTCCACAGCTGGAGGCAGCAGGGCTTCTGAATCAGCAGCTGCCAGAAGCTAAAGGAGGGGAGAGTTCTTGCGCTTGGGTTCTGCTTGCAGGTTTCCCACAAGCAATCTGGCTGGCCACTGTGAGAACAGGATGCTGGACAAGGTGGGCCGTTGGCCTGATCCAGCTGGACTCTTCTGATGATGACATGTCCAAGCGCTGAGCATGGAGTTGCAGAAGCCTCCACCTGTTTTCACCTCTTTTTTGGGGCAGTGATGTGGACTGGGCACAAGGCAAGGAGGTAGTCCCTATTGGAGCCAACCCTGACAGGACAGCAACAGGAAACACAAGACTCACAGAAAAAGGAGGCTCCTAGATCTCCCCACCTTCCACATCCCATTATCATCACCACAGATGGACTGACAAAACTTTTGGCCAAACAGTGATGTACATGGCTCCCCCCACCCCTCATTTAATCACTGCAACAAATGAATGAATGAATGGATTTATTACAGTCACAGACCAGAAATTAATTCCCACAACCACCCTGTTGAGATAGGAGAGGCTGAGAGGCAGTGTGACCGGCGCCCAACATCACACCCAGTGAGGTTCATGGTCCAAGTGGGGATTTGAACCCTGGTCTCTCCCAGGTCCTAGTCCAACACTCTAACTACTACACCACACTGAGGGTTCTGGAAAAGGAAGTTTATTAAGCATTCACCAGGGCTCGCCAGCAATTCTCACGGAATCCACAAAAAGATAGAGAAACAAACAAAGCTCAGAAGGGCCACCCTAATCCTTTGTGGAGATTACCCCGGTTTCTGCAAAGGTAGTCGTTTCACCTCTGCAACATCTCCTCTCAGTCATCTGCCAGTGCTGCAATAGTCCTCGCTTGCTACAATTCCTGCCTTTCCTCTTATGCTGGAAAACTTTGGGATCCAGTCACCACTGCGGACCAGACTGATCTACGTCGAGCAAGTTGATAAATAGTGTTCGAGGAAGAAAACAAAAAAAACGAAATCGCCAGTAAATCAGCGGCTACAAAGCACTCAAGAGCCCTTCTTAAGGGCCGGCCAAGAATAGAAGAGAGTGGCTCGGTATTTTACTGGAAATGTTCTCCGCGCCTACCCTGTAAAAGTTTACAACGGTATAAACCGTGAACAATGTGTTCTGTACCCCTGGCCGGAGGACAGTTTGATGAAGTGTTTGTTTAGCAGAGCTGTGATCCTTCCTGACCCTGGAGGGATGGGAGAGGAGTGCAGCAGGCTCCCAGATGTGTCTGGTAGAAGGAGCAAACGTCTCAAGTCCAGGGCCAGCTTCCCCTTAAGGCGGTGAACATCTGGAGACAGAGGGAGCCTCAATGGTCCAAGGCAGTATATCTCAGAATGTGGAAGGAACAGCCCTAGTTCAGCGGCAGAGCACCTGCTTTGAATGCAGAAGGTCCCAGCCTCAATCCACAGCAGCGTCTCCAGGTGGGGCAGGGGGCAGGCTCCCTGCCTGAAACCCCGAAGAGAGCTGCTGCCAGCCAGTGTAGGCAACGCTGAGCTAGACTGACTCAGTGTATGTTCCTAATTCAAAATAGTAGAAAATAGACAAACGAATAAGAAACTTGCTCAAGAGTCCAGCCTGTAAGATCAGCACAACATGCTCTGCTTAACATTCCTTCTCTCCACACTGAGCAAACAAGATAAGGACGCGTGTGAGAACTAGGGAATGCAGCAAAGCCTTCTTGTTTGCCCCCCCCCCCCCCCGCCTAACCAAAAATGCTGCCAGAAGAGGCCTGCCAAAGCACGCTTACATATTTTGGAAAAGTGCTTGAAAGCCACTAAAATGGCTTCGAGTGACTTCCTGATAAGAAACATGTATTTTTAGCAGGGCCTCTCTTTATCTTCTTATTTCAGCCAAAGTTGAAACTTGATGTTGCATTTTACCGTATTTTTCGCTCTATAACACGCACCCGACCATAACACGCACGTAGTTTTTAGAGGAGGAAAATCCGTAGGCATGCCACCCGTAGGCATTTCCTCCATAACACGCACAGACATTTCCCCTTATTTTCTAGGAGGAAAAAAGTGAGTGTTATGGTGCAAAAAATACGGTAATTGAGGGGTTATTGTTGTTTTTTTGCTGCTTTATGGTTACTGAGGCTTCTTCAAATAGATAAACAATTACAAGCTCACTGCTCCCCCCCCCCCCGCCCGCTGGTAAAGGTTCTTAGGATGAGCTTTGAACAAACCAAAGGCCAATGCAGTTCAAAGGTCTTGCAGGATGCTTTGTGCAACTTTACTAAGGAGTTACTGGGTCTGCCTGGGAAGGCTGTTGTTCAATACCTGGTCAGCCATTGAGTCGCTGGATGGCTCTGGCATTTCATTTATAGAAGGCAGGGTGGAATAAAGGCCAATCAAATAGGGTTGTTGTGAGATCGCTGCTGCAGGGCACCCTGCACACTACAAATGCAAACACTCAAATCACTTTATATTGGGGAAGGTGGCTACACTGTGATCCTCCAGATGTTGTCAGACTCCAACTCCCATCAGTCCTAGCAAACATGGCCTATAATCGGAAATGATGGGAGCTGTATTCCAGCAGCATGTAAAGGGGTGGAGGTTAACCACTCTGCTTTATTCCAAGGTCACCTTGAAAAGGCAATGGAGGGTGATGGTCCAGGGCTTTCCTTTTCTGCTTGCATTTTTTATAAAAGAGCAAAAAAACAACAACCATAAAAACCCTTTCCTACATATTAGCCATGCATCAGTTAAAGGTTAGTTTAACAGCATTTTCTTTAAACTTAACTGCCTGTTTTATCTGTGGTGAAAGGGCACAATGAAAAATGTGCTCATGCTGGATTTTTAATCCAGTGGGCTCTTTTTTGTCCTGCATCCATGGACTAATTCCACCACACCCTCCCCATTTATTATCTCTCTTATTTCTCTTGCTTCTGAGCTGGCCCATGGAAGTGGGTCAATTGATGCTCCCTCAAGGGAAGGGGAGGACCTGGCTTTGGGGTCATGAGCTGTAAATCAGCTGTAGAAATTACTTACAGCAAATGCTTAAACCCAAAGAGCCATTCATGTGTCCTGCTACTAGTCTGTCTTAAGTAAAGCTCTCCCTCGTGTTTCATAAGTGGGCACCATGGTCCCCACCCCCTGGCAAGCAGACACACCTCTGGCCACCGCAAGCCACCAAGCAGCCAATGTGAATAACACAGCATGACTGGAACAGCACTGAATTGGAAGGAGGGCAGCCAGGCAGCTGCTCTCGTACTTAGTGGCGAGAAGCCCTCCTTGCCCAGAACATTATAGCTTCTGTAATAAAAAAGAACCTGGCCGTGATAGCTGATGGGTTACATCTGCCATTGCACAGGAGCCAGGCTCATTTAAAGGAGCATTGACGTCCTTGGCTTCTGGCTGCTGGAAGATCCTGCCAGGCATTTCGGAGGCACCATAGCAACCGAAACGTGGGGTGTCCGAAGGCCAGATTTCAATATGCTTCGCCTCCTCCTGCCTTCCTCTGATCCTGAGAGCTGATGTCTGGAGGCGGAAAGTAAGTCCCCTGCATGTTTCACAGAATCTCAGAATCAAAGATTTGTAGGTTAGGAAGTGACCCCAAGCTACTTGGAAGCGTGCCCCATTCTATTCAAGAGCAGGTTTGAGGAATCCATCCAAACCAGGATTGGAGACCAGGACCGAACTGGTTTTTAAAGGATTGCTCAAACCATGGTTTGCCAGTTTGGACTAAACAGCAAACTGTGGTTTAGTCAAAAAATGTAAAGATGAGCACAATGTAAAGGGGTGTGTGTGTGTGTGTGTGTGTGTCAAGGGTGCACTGGGGGGAGGGGTTAATGAAACCCTTAAGCCCCACCCTGGCTCCTTCCCAATTTTTGTCAAACTACATGTTATTCTCATTTTAAAAACAGTAGCTGGGTGTGCATCTCAAAAGCTATGGTCAGCCCCTCCTCCCAGAGCTCAAGCACTGAAAGAGGGAATAGGGCAGGAGAGGGCACAAACATATAGATTGTTTCTTGATCCTCCAAACCATAGTTTGGTGGGTTGGAAACATGACCTTAGACTGCATTGCCAGGGGTTGGACTAGATGGTCCTTTGGGTCCCTTCTTTCTACAATTCTATGATTCCGTCACTGCAGTTACTGACCAGAAGGAGTCACCTGAAAGGAGGATGGGCAGACAGGTAAATGGAGCCCAAGTCGAATCTCCCCAGCAGGATGCTGAGCTCCCCAGATGGCCCTGGCAGAAGGACGGCTGACTCACCTGCCCCAGGCATCTGTTCTCGGCAGTCACAGGGGTGGTGGGAGCAGGTGCCTTGGGAAAGAGCCTAGCTCTGGCCCAGCTGCATGGACGCGCTCCCAGGCGGGTGGCTCAGAGGCACCCCAGGCAGCGTTTCAGACTTGTGGCACTTTGTAGTAATAATAAAAAAGCATGCGAGGAACTCGGGCCTTGCCAAAGTCTTTTATTTTCGCCAGCTTCTCTGGCACACAAACTCTGCAAGCAGTGCTTGGAATTGCAGAGGGGCCTAGTGGCTTGGCTGCGTCCATGGCAGCCTTTTCAATTTGTGCTTTCCTCCACCCCACCCAAGGAAAGAGAGGGAAAGAGAGACAATCCAGCCACAGGGCTAAGGCTGCTCTCCAAGGCACAGCCGCTCCTGAATCACCTCGTAGGGCTGCCCTGGGCTCCTTCAGGAGGGATATAAATGAAGTAAATAAAGCCCCTATCAGATCTTCTCTCCTGAAGGACAGGTCGGATTCACTGACTTTCCTGACTCATTATTGACTTCTAAAACACTCCTGTTTACACAGACATTTGATAGCTGAAAGAGTATTCCAAGCAACTCCAAGATCACTGATTAAGAATGTTTTGACTATATTTTAAACTGTTTTTAGCTGCTGTTGATTTTTTTAATGCTTTTTAAAATTCTATGTCTATTACCTTGGGCTTCTAAGAACGTAAGATCTGCACTGGATCAGGAGAATGGCCCACCTGGTCCAACATCCTGTTCTCAGTGGTCAGCCAGATGCCCCGAAGGGAAACCTGCAAGCAGGATCCGAGCACAAAAACACTTTCCCCTCCTGCGGCTTCTACCACAGGTTATTAAGAAGCATTGCTGCCTCCAGCTGTGGAGGGCAGAGCATAGCCATTGTGGTTAGGAGCCACTGATAGCCCTCTTCTCTTCCAAGTACTGAATCCTCTTTTAAAGCCATGCAAGTTGGTGGCCATCGCTGCCTTCCTGTGGAAAGGAGTTCTGTAGAATCCTCATGAAGAAGGATTTTATTCTATCTGTCATTAATCTTCCAACATTCAACTTCACTGGATATATTAGTGTAACGAGAAAGGGATATTCCCCCCCTCCATCTGCTTTCTGCATGACATTCATAGTTCTATAAACTTCTTCCATGCTGCTTTTTCTTGCCTTTTCTCTAAACCAAAAAAAAGCCCCAAATGCTGCATCCTTTCTTCATAGGGGGTTGCTCCATCCCACTGAGCGTTTTGGCTGTCTTTTTCTGAACCTTTTCCAACTCTAGAATATCCTTTTACAGTGGACGCTTGGGTTGCGAACGTGATCCGTGCGGGATGCATGTTTGCAACCCGCAGCATTCGCAACCCGCGTCTGCGCCATAGCTGTCAACGTTTTCCTTTTTTTAAGGGAAATTCCCTTATTCCAAATAGGATTCCTCGCAAGAAAAGGGAAAAGTTGGCAGCTATGGTCTGCGCACGTGCGGGTTGCGATTCGGCGCTTCTGCGCATGCGTGACCGCCGAAACCTGGAAGTAACCCGTTCCGGTACTTCCGGGTTTTGGCAGTCCGCAACCCGAAAAAACGCAACCTGAAGCGGCTGTAACCCGAGGTATGACTGTAGAGGCAAGGTGGCCAGAGCAGTACACGCAGAATTCCAAATGCAGCCGCACCATGGATTTGTATGGGGTGTTAGGGGATGAGGAGTATCTCTGGAAGGGAACAGTTCTGGGGCAGTTCGTCCAACTTTGGATCCCATCCCACATTCAGCTCTCACCTGTGGCTCCTAGAAGCTTTCAGCATGCTGCAACGGCCACACCCCGGGAACGGCTTTGACCAGCCAGCTAAACCAGGTCAGGGTAACCAATGGGTCTTGAACCCTTGGTAGTTAGGGACTTTCCCTGCATGCAAAGACTGGTTCCAGCTGATGGGAGCGGATGAGATCAATAGTGGGCCCAATGGTCAAGAAGGCGGTAGAGGGAAGTGAGGGGCAGATGGGGCTCGTCCCCCCTGGCAAGGTAGGAGAAGGAAAACTCTGGTCCTAAGCCTCTGCTGCCTTGCAGGGTATCTTCAGGAGAAGAAAAGGCTGAAGAGCCAACCCTACACAAATATGGAGTGGAGTCGGTAAGATGGCACGCCTCCTTCTGGCAACTCCTGCAGCCAAGCTGGTCCCAAACGCATTGCTCTGCTTTCCTTTGGACCACATTGGTGAGGTCAAGGAGGGGGGTGGCCTTGTCATCTGGGCAGCCCAGAACCCCCATACACATTGCCCTGGCTTGCACCCCAGGGAGGTCTCTTGGGTGCTGCTCATGGAGTGGTTTGGCTTCACCCCCAGAAGTGCACTCCATTGTCCCTTTGAGACGATGTCACCATTGCGCTATCTACTATGACTCTGGCCCAACACCTCCAGCTCTGATCTCATGAGCTTGGGTGGAAAATTAATATTCTTTTGCCCCTCCCCCCCAATATGCACCACTTGCTTATACTTGTCCGCTCCCTCCACTGGGGAGGCAGGGGGGGCTATAAACTAAATCAGTGATAAGATTATGTGATAATAATGATATGACTGAAGGCGGTGATGTCATTGCACTAGTTAGTGTGGAGGAACTGCCCCCCCTTCTCTCCCCAATGTCTCATTCTGGTGCGAATGGCTTCCTGCTCCTGTTCTCATCCGACATCTACCAGCGGGTCAGCAGAACAGCCTGCCCCACTGCAGAGTCCCTGTGTTGGGAGCTAATTAAACTGGCCACACAGGGTGGCTTTAAAAAATAATAGTGACTCCCCCTCGCACCTGTCCCCTCCCCCTGGAGCAATCGGCCGCACGGCAAGGAGTGCAGGGTGTGAAATCTGACAGGGTGAAGAAGCAGCTACGGCAATTTGATGGTTGTCGTGGCGACTGAGAGCCTCATTGTCCGCCGTGACTTCACCTCTGTGGGGCGCGACCTCCATCAAGGCCCGGCCAAAGGGCGGATTACAGAGGGGCTGGGAATGAACGGAGGCAGCGGCGGAAATCGGTCGAGGGGGAGAAACTGGGGTGGAGGAGTAGAGCAGGACAACTTACTCCCCTCTCCCACTGACCCCGGGGCCACTGAGAATCCAGGAGCCTTCTAGATGCAGCTTTGACTGCAGAATGATACGTGCCAATCCTAGCTCTGCAAAGGCACCTCGGCTGGAGAAACGAGTAGGCTGGAATCACCAGTAAGGCCACATTCACAAGTGTGTGTTTGACGTCAGGGCTTTCCCAAAATAATCTTAGGAGAATGAGTTTCTTAAGGGTGCTGAGAGTTGTTAGGAGGCCCCTGTTTCCCCCTCAAGAGTTACAGTTCCCAGAATTCCCTGGGAGAAGGGATTGACAGTTAAACCATTGACAGTTAAACCATAGTGGGAATTGTAGCTCTGGGGTGAGAAGAAAGAGATCTCCTAACAACTCTGAGCACCCTTAAACTAAGGTTCCCAGAATTCTCTGGGGGAAGACATGAATGTTTAAAGTGGTATCACAAGGGTCTAAATATATGGTGGAACACAGGCGAAATCCTTGCAGGAACATAGTAAATGGATCAAACTATTGATCCATTTAGCTCAGTATTGTCCACACAGACTGACAACAGCTCTCCATGGTTTCAGGTAGGGAGTCTCTTCCAGCCCTACCTGGAGCTGCTACTGGAGACTGAACATGGGACCTTCTGCATGCAAAGCAGATGTTCTACCACTGTGCCGTGGCCCATCCCCACGAGTTCAAGACCAGGTACAGCAGCCTTCTCCAACCTGATGGCTTTGTTGGACTACAGCTCCCATTGTCCCTGACTATTGGCCATGCTGGCTGGGGCTGATGGGAGCTGGGAGTCCAGTAATACCTGGAGGGCACCCAGTTGGGAAAGGTTGTACTGCAGGATCGAGTCCTGACAGCTACAGTGTCCCTGTGCTTGAGGGTGAGAGTCTTCAAATCACCAAGTTGGAAGGGACCCAAGGGGGCATCTAGTCCAACCCCCTGCAATTCAAGTGCATCTCTTCCCTCCAAGCCACACTTGGGTCCAACTATGGGCAGACCAGCAGAGTTTGGATTTGGATTTTGGATTTGATATCCCGCCTTTCACTCCCCTTAAGGAGTCTCAAAGCGGCTCATGATCTCCTTTCCCTTCCTCCCCCACAACAAACACTCTGTGAGGTGAGTGGGGCTGAGAGACTTCAGAGAAGTGTGACTAGCCCAAGGTCACCCAGCAGCTGCATGTGGAGGAGCGGGGAATCAAACCCGGTCCACCAGACTACGAGTCCACCGCTCTTAACCACTACACCACACAGAGGGCATGCATAAAGCGTACATGTGGGAAGGGTTCCAAAATGGGGGGGGAGTGGCTATAATCCCTATTCCCCCTTAATCTCATTCTTTTCGTTCCCCCTTCTGACAGTTTCAACGCTGTGCTATTCTGTATTTTGGACACAACATCTGTCCCAGCATTGGTGGTGGACTTGAACAAACGGTTCTTGCTCCACTGCCAAGTTCTTGCAGAGCCTGTGTCCGCAGTCTTAATAAAATTGCCCTATAAAATGACAAAGTAACAATGCACGCTGCCCCTAACAATGCACTTAATGATTAAAAGCCAGTAAATTGGGCTCCATAAATCAAAACCATTCGCATGGTTAGGATCACGAATCTGCATAACCTTTTCCACCTGCAGGGAACATGCTGCCTCTCTAAGTCTTGGGATTTTAGGTTGCAACTTGAAGATAGTGGGTGTATTTGGGTGGAGGAAACACCCTATTTCTGTTAGTGTTTGGTATCATTTTCCCTTTCGCGTTTGCCTTTGGAAAAGTCTCGGAATTGGAACAAACTTTCCCGAACCTTTGAGTGGCATGGCAGATAGGGCTGGACCCAGAATTCAACGAGCTGGACTCAGTTCTTGCCAAACTCAAGGGTGCGACTGAGTCACAATTACTAACCTTTCGCGAGGATTTGAAAAGGAGCCGAGTAAAAGCAGCTCAGTTTGGATGCATCTTCCAATGCTGGAAGATTTCAAGGCAGATGATTCAAGTTACAAGAAAGGAGATTGCAACTAAACACCAGGAAGAATTTTCTGACAATTGTGTTAGGCAGTGGAATGGTCTCCCTTGGGAGGTGATGGACTCTCCCTTCATTGGAGGCTTTTAAGCAGAGGTTGAATGGCCCATCCGTCTTGGATGCTTCAGCTCAGATTCCTGCATTACAAGGGGCTGGACTAGATGACTCTCAGGATTCCCTTCCAGCTGTAAAATTCTATGAGTCTACTTCTTCTCCATGCAGAGTTAAACTATGGAACTCGCTTCCTCAGGAGGCAGTGATGGCCACCAACTTGGAAGGCTTCAAAAAGAGGATTAGGCAATTTCAAGTTGCAGGTTTTCCACAGGCATCTCAGTGGCCCCTGAGCTGGACAAGATGCTGGACTAGAAGGGCCATTGGCCCAATCCAACACGCCATTCTTACGCAGAGCAGCTGCTTGGGGCGGAAATGGCCCTGATCCTTATTTCTCAAGCCAGTATTGATGCAAAAGGAGAAGAAAAGTGGAGTGGGGCGTTCCTGTATCCTACAAGGCCTGTAGGATCCAAAGCAACATCTCTTAAGCAGTAATAGCAGCTCTCAGGGCTGGCTTGACTCACTTCCAATACAAAGTGAGCAAGACTAAGCCAAGCCCAACCACTGCGTGAACTGGAAGGGGAGCAGCATCCGCTCGCTCCTTCCCAGAGTCAGCTGGCGAAACATGCCGGCAGCCTCTTTTTAAAGTCTCCGGTTGCACCTCACTTCTGATGCTCTGAGCTGCATCGCTGGTACATCTCCTTGTTCTGAACTAGAACCAGCGGCTGGAGGAAGAGGAGGAGGAAGGGGAAAAGGTAGCCAGCAGTGCCCTCTTGTGCCTAGAAGTGGGAATTTCCATGTCAGTGAAAGCTGAAAAAGGGGCACATATCTCCCCTTTAAGACAGTCAGTGGCAGAGTAGTGGTTAGAGCAGCACTTCTGAAACTTGGGTCCCCAGCTGTTGCTGGACTACCACCCTCATCATCTCTAGCTAGCAGGACCAGTGGGCAGGGATGATGGGAGTTGTAGTCCAGCAACAGCTGGGGACTCAAAGTTTCAGAAGCAATGGGTTAAAGTGTCAAGAGTAGGGCCTGGGAGAGAGACCAGGGTTCAAATCCCCCACTTGACCCTGGGCGTAACCTTGGGCTGGTCACTGCCTCTTGGCCTACCGTACCTTACACGGTTGCTGTTGTGTGTGTAAATGAGAGGAGAGAACCCTGGAGGGAAAGGTGGAATAAAAAATGCAATAAATACATAAAAAGCACATGCATGCATGCCTGCTTGCCAGAATCCTTTTCTTCTGTGAAACGCAGAATTCAAATTGCCCAAAATGTGAGCCAGCACAGCGCAGGGGTTAAAACGTCAGATTAGGACCTGGGATACCCTGGCTCAGATCCCTGTTCAGCTGTGAAGGTCATTTGGGCGACCTTGGATCAAGTCCCCATCACTCAGCTTAGCCTTCCTCGCAGGGTTGAGGATAAAATAGGCAGGGGGAGAACCATGAATCCCACCTTGAGCTCCTTGGAGGAAAGGGCAGGATATGAAGGTAAAAAATAATAAGAATATCAATGACAAAATGAGAAGTTGTCTGGATACTGAATCCACTGATTTGGAAATCACACCCTCTTGATTCCCAAGGTGCAAAGGTAAGTTTCAGCCTGTACAACAGCAACACTTCCTTGACACATCCCAAAGCAGTAGAGTGGGGAAATGAAACCTTACTATTTCATCTGTTTGGAAAGAGAATGCATGGGTTTGGGGTCTGTAAGGGCCTTGGATTATTCAAGGCCTGAGCCTGTTTCTATCTTAAGGCCCCATCTCCCTTAGAATGGGGAAAAGAGAGTCAGCATGAAGGTAGGAGAAAAGGCGAAAAGGTGAAGGAAATATGAGACATTTGAGGTTTTTGACCAGCAATTCTGTTCCCCTGTTTCTCCTTCAAAGCTAGTTTCTTGCGGTCTCTTATTAACCAGTTTGTGATAAACTCTGCCACCTCCATAAAAGCTGTTAAGTTTGCTGTGTGTCAGAGCAGAAAACCCTATCAATCGGATCAGAAAAAGAGAGTCTGCCTGATGGGGGACTTCTCCAGCACTGACTGCAGCGGCGAAACTATATTTTCTTCCCCACCTGCTACTTTGTGAGAACGAGTCCTGGCCAAAGTAGAATCGTAGAGATGGACACTGAGCCCTGTTTTGTGGGTGTGAAGTGCTGATTTCTACCATAGCCGCTGAGGAAGACAAAACCTTGCTGGAAGGGGGGAAAGGATGGCTCTGTGGTATCCAAACCTGTTTTAGGTCTGTGTGCCACAGCTGCAGAGGCGGACAGACGTAGAGGCAAGTCCTTTGCAGCATTCTGTGCCAGGTTGAATACTGCCCCGTGCCACGCCAAAGGATCACAGGGTGGGAATTTGGGAAGGGAGTCAGGACAGGGCTAGGTGATGCTCAACTTGCCAGTGACCAAGTTGAGGATACTTCTCATTTATTTTAACTCCCGCTCTGGAACCCAACACCAACCTCGCTCGGTGCATGTGCCTAAACATCCCTTTAGAGAGCATGGTGCTCCTCCGAGCCCTCCCCCACCCAGTCCCAGAAGCCACCCCACTCAAGCCCGGCTCAGGTTTCCAAAGCGCAGACAGCCAGGATGTGATGAGAGGCACTGTCTTTATCTTTGGATTAACAGTTTGCACAGAGCGTGGGTCTCAAATGATACCAGGGAGGTGGACTTGCAAAAAGGGTGCAGCCTCTCTCGAAGGAGCTCTTGCAAACAGAAGAAGCAGAGCCCAGGTGGAATCTCATAAGAGCAGCCTGTGGAGGAGAAAAGGTGGTATTTCTCTCCCCACCACCACCTATATTTATTTGGGATAAATTCCAGACACCCCAGGGTGCGGGTGGCGCTGTGGGTTAAACCACAGAGCCTAGGGCTTGCCGATCAGAAGGTTGGTGGTTCGAATCCACGTGACAGGGTGAGCTCCCGTTGCTCGGTCCCTGCTCCTGCCAACCTAGCAGTTCGAAAGCACGTCAAAGTTCTCTGGCGGGAAGGTAAACAGTGTTTCCGTGCGCTGCTCTGGTTTCGCCAGAAGCGGCTTAGTCATGCTGGCCACCCTCGGCCAATAAAGCGAGATGAGCGCAGCAACCCCAGAGTCGGCCACGACTGGACCTAATGGTCAGGGGTCCCTTTACCTTTACCAGACACCCCACTCCACCTATGCAGCTGCCACCCTGCTCAGGAACATCTTTAAAGGTTCTTGGCCTCAAAAAAGAATTTCCAGCAAAAACAGAAATAAAGCAAATTCATTTGTGAGAAACAGTAAAACAACAACAGCAACACAGAAGTTCCCAGAGGACTGTCATTATACTTCCAATGAAAGCATAGCTTTCTACTGCAACAGAAGGCAATGCCAGGGCTCTAGAAGTCTTTGTGGCTGTTCCCTACTATGGGAACAGATTTTAGAGGGGCTCCTGGTTCTTTCACGGAGCAAGTAGAACTGTGGAATTTGCTGCTAGGCTATGTGGTGATGGCCACGAACTTTGATGGCCTTCAAAGGGGATCAGACAAAGGCGTATCTGCATATACTAGCCATGATAGTAATATGTCTCTGAGTACCAGCTGCTGATGAAGAGTGGTCTGGCACTCAGCTCCTGCTTGGGAGCTTCCCATTGGCTGCCTAGTGATGGAGTTCTTCTTAGCTCCTAAGTCGGGGTAGCCAATATGGTGCCTTCCTGATGTGGCTGAAGTACAACTGTCATCACCCCTGACCATGTTGGCTGGGGCTGATGGCAGCTGGAGTGCAGTTACATGGTTACAGTGTGGTGCCGGTCATGCCAAGGTTGCAGGTTCAATCCCTGTATGTGACAGCTGCATATCCCTGCATTAGAATCATGGAATCTAAGGATCTCCAAGGCTCATCTGGTCCAACATCCTCCAATGCGGCTAGATCACTTCCAACTCTACAATTCTACATCTGCCTTGCTATCTTTGGTCCAGGGTTTTATGGGCATCCAGAAAAGCTTAGAAACTGGCAATCAAGCAATACACTTGGGGGTTTCCCCCCTTCTACCCAAGATGACCCTTTGGGTCCCTTCCAAGTCTACAATTCAATGGAATCTAAGAAGGTGACTTTTTGTCCACCTGGTCTAGTATTGCCTGCTCTGATTGGCAAGGGCTCCCCATCGTCTTTGGAAGATGCTCTTCCTCATCTCCTTCTACGTGTTGTTTTTTTAAACTGGAAAAGGCAGCGGCTGGACCTGGCTCCCTTTTGCAGGCCAGGTGCATGCTCTCTCACTGAGCTACGCTCCCTTCTCCTCCAGACTGCGCAAATGTAACTGATAGTCACAAGCAAGATTCTCCAAAAATGGGATTAGTGCCTTTCCCCCACAGCCTGTCAGGAATGTTTATTCTTCCGGGAAGCCTATTTAAAGTGGCTAGTTCTCAAGAGCAGTCGCCTCGCAGGACTGCGGAGGCATTGTGCCAAGGGATGCGGCCGAGCCGTGCCCTCAGCTCCAAAGCCCTATCTCTGGCCTTCAAAGAGACCTGCCAATTGGTGTCGTGTTCCTCGCAGACTTACACATATCCCCACCCACGATCCCTCCTCCCTCTCCAAATCACGTCTCGGTCTGCTTTATCAATTGGGCTTCTGTGGGCTGCCCCTCGAGTTCCACAGGGCTGCGTTCTATGGGTCTGGATTCATCTGCATGAGAATCCACATAACACCTCAACGAAAGGTGGGGCAGCTCAGTTGGTAGAGCCTGAGATTCTTAATCTCATTGGGAAAAAGATTCCTGCATTGCAGGGAGTTTGGACTAGACGATCCTCTGCAACTCTGTGATTCTGTGCATCCCAACAGGTCTGCTTTGGCAGAAGCCAGGTGGGCCAAAAACATCATTTTGTCTCGGTGCTCAGCACCAACCGATGGGCTAGCATTACCTGTCCCTCTGACACACTAGCATCCAGTGCCAAAGAGGACAGCCTGAGGGCAGGGTACAGATGTCTCGCGCCGTATTTTTATCCCACCGCTGACTCACAGGATCAAAGAAAGGGATCAAGATAGCTGGGATGCTCACTGTCCTCTCACCTAATGACACCAAAAGCCATTAATAGCCAGGACACGCTGTTGCTCGTTCCTCCTTCGCAGGCAGCTCTCTCTCAAAGTCCTTGAATTTCAGTCCCCCGCCCTTCCCAAAACTATCAGTCCTTTTGCCAATGCAAAGAGAAGAATATCCTACAAAATTTTGTCAACCAGAGGGCCACATTCCTCTCAGGGCAATCTTCCGAGGGCCACTTACCGGTCGTGGATTGGGCCCAGAGGCAAAGGTGGCTGGGGCAATGGTGCCAATTCTACCTCTGTACAATAGTCACGTTTTTACAGACACTGCTACACGCCTCTCTACCTTCTATAATCCAGTGTTTTCCAATCTTGGGTCTCCAGCTGTTTTGGGACTACAGTTCCCATCATCCCTGACCACTGGTCCTGCTAGCTAGGGACGATGGGAGTTGCAGTCCAACAACAGCTGGAGACACAAGTTTGGGAAACATTGCTCTAATTCATAGAAGCAAGAAACCTTACTGGAGTCCAAGGACACATTCCAGGCAGGCAGAAACACTGAAGGGGGACCTGAAGCAGGGCCAAGCAAGGGAGAATCCAGAGGACCAGATAGGGAGGTTTGGGGGCACATTCAAACCCTGGGCCTGGAGGTTAAGGCTATTGATGGCTACTAGCCACAATGGCTATGCTCTGCCTCCCCAGTTGGAGGCAGTGATGCTTCTGGAAGCCGCAGGAGGAGAGACGGTTCTTGTGTTTGAATTCTGGTTGGGGGTTCCCCACAGGCATCTGGTCGGCTGCTGTGAAAGCAGGATGCTGGGCCACTGGTCTGATCCAGCAGCCAGGCTCCTTATGTTCCTATAGTCATGCTGGCTGGGACTGACGCATATTGGGAGTCCAAGCACATTTGGGGGGAATGCAATGCTGGCTGCCACTGGGAGCGTGTGCATCACATGCATTCCCAACACTGCATCCCAGTGCGGAACCCAGGGTAAAAAATATGCAGATTGAGGGGTGGGGCTATGCAGATGAGGGGACTGTGCCATGAAAAGAGGGCTTGCATCTTAACAGTCAGGATCATAGGATTGTAGAGTTGGATGGAACCCTGAGGATCATCTACTCTGGTGTTTTCCAAACTGCCACCACCAGTGTTCCCCAAACTTGAGTCTCCAGCTGTTTTGGGACTACAACTCCCATCCTCCCTAGCTCGCAGGACCAGCCATAAGGGATGATGGGAATTGTAGTTCAAAAACAGCTGGAGACCCAAGTTGGGGAAACACTGATCAAGTGCAACCTGTTGCAATGCAGGGATAAGCAGCTGCCCCATACAGGGATTGAACCTGCAGCCCTGGAGATATCAGCGCCACGCTCTAACCAACTGAGCTGTTCAGGAGGCTTAGCCCACTCACGCACCCCAATGGTGTCTTGCTAGCACATCCATAGCTGCCACTGACTTCCAGGAAGAAAGAAAAAGGGGCAAACTGTTGTGTGGGGAGGGGACCCCACAGGAGTTCTGAAGGTGCAATTCCTGCATTGCAAGGGGCTGCTCTAGATGACCCTCTGGGGTCCCTTCCCGCTTGACAATTCTCTGATTCCAAACCTGCTTTGCTCCCACCCCCCTCGGTTGCTCTTTTTACAGCAGATTCTTACACAAACATGCTTTGCTAGCCGTAGTACTCTAATGCCTGCATTGGTCCCAAAGGGATTTGTTTACGGGCTGAGTTTAAGAGACCACCCAAGCGGGGAATCTTTTCTTGGCTCCGGATGATCTCATCTCTTGGCCGACCCTCCCTCCCCCATCTCCCCGTCCAGCCACCAAAAAAAGGCTCGTTCCACCGTTGCATAATTGGATCGGCCTAACACACGCTTTGGGCAAGGGGGGTGGGGGCTGCTTGCCTTCCTGAGCAATACCTTTTTCGGGCATCTGGTTTTCTTCTCCCTTGGCCACTGCCACAAAACTAATCACCGGGAGAAATTTAGAAGGCAAGATTCCCTTCCCAACATTGGGAAGGAAGGCGAAAGTGAGAGGCGAGAGAGGTGGTGGTGCAGTGGGTTGAGGTGCCAGACTAGGACCTGGGTTCGAATCCCCCACTCGGCTGCGAAGCTCACTGTTGTGACCTGGGGGGCCAGTCGCTGCCTCCCAGCCTAGCCTACCTCACAGGAATGTTGTGGGGTTAAATGAGGACTAGGACCTGGGAGACTGGAATTCAAGTCCCCCACTCGGCCACAAAGCTCACTAGGCGTGACCTTGGGGGGCCAGTCGCTGCTTCCTGGCTTAGCCTACCTCACAGGGTTGTCATGGGAATTAAATAATGAGATGGGGAACCACGTACGCCGCCTTGAGTTCCTTGGAGGGGGGAAAAATGTAGGATAGAAAATGTTTCCTGCAGGGCAAGAGGGTGTCGTCATTCAATGCCAGGGCCTATCGTGGGTTTTTGCTTTGTTATTTCTTCATTTATATACAGTTCCGGAGCCCTGTTCGCATCCTGAATAGAACGTAAGATGCGACGGCACATCTGCGCGTGCACGGGTCGCGTTTTGCCACTTCCGCGCATGCGGGTGACATAATTTGAGCGTCTGCGCATGCACAAGCGGCGAAACCCGGAAGTAGCGCACTCCATTACTTCTGGGTTGCCGCGGAGTGCAACCTGAAAGCGCTCAACCTGAAGCACATTCAACTCGAGGTATGACTGTACTGTTGTATGAGGCAGCAGCCGCAGCTTTCAGGTATAGAGGTTATCGTCAAAGGCTTAAAAAAAAATTACAGCTCAGTTTGAAAGGTCTCCAAGTTGCTGCGAGTTCCTGAGAGAAGCCGCAGCAATCCTCCTGCCTTGACTCACGCGCAACACCCGCCAAGCTACCCTTCTCACCTGAGCCTGTTCTGAACATCTCTCTGCATCAAAGCCCCCTCCCAGCATCCTGCCACCTTCTTCTCTTCAGACTATGAACAGAGCATCTCACCTGTTCAAAACTTTATTGTGGACAGAGCCTGGAAGATTCTGAGGTGCTCTATAAGCAACAAGTGGCAACTGCGGCAAAATTCCATCCCTGCCGAATCTATTTAAAGACAATTATGAAAAATGTTGGACTGAAGTGAAAAAAGACTTAGAAATCTGGTCAAATTTAAAGCTTTCACTGCTAGGCCGTATTGCTGCTATAAAAATGAATGTATTGCCTAGAATGTTGTTTCTGTTTCAAACATTGCAAATTTTGGACAAAATGGACTGTTTCAAGAAGTGGCAGAGAGATATCTCTAGATTTGTCTGGCAGGGCAAGAAGCCTAGAATAAAATTTAAAATACTAACAGATGCAAAGGAAAGAGGTGGATTTGCCCTGCCAGATCTTAAACTTTATTAATTATGAATCAGCAGCTTTTTGCTGGTTGAAAGAATGGCTGCTTCTTGAAAACGCAGACATTTTGGATTTAGAAGGTTTTAATAATGTATTTGGATGGCATGCATACTTGTGGTATGACAAGGTCAAAGCACATAAAGCATTTAAAAACCATATTATCAGGAAAGCATTGTTTAATGTCTGGATAAGATATAAGGATTTATTGGAAAATAAAACCCCAAGGTGGCTGTCACCGATGGAAGCGAAGGCTCAGAAAAAGCTCAATATGGAGGTCAAATGGCAGGAAAAAAGGGAAATTTTGGAACAAGAGGGAGATAGACTGAAATTGCAGAGTTTTGAGAAATTAAAAAACAAAGTGCGAGACTGGCTTCATTATTATCAGATAATGGAGGCATACAATTTGGACAAGAAAATTGGCTTCCAGGTGGAAAAATCAAAATTAGAAACAGAACTGTTAGAACCCAAAACTAAGATTTTGTCAAAGATGTATAACTTGCTGTTGAAATGGAATACACAGGATGAAACGGTGAAATCTGCTATGATTAAATGGGCACAAGATGTTGGACATAACATAATGATGGCTGACTGGGAACAGTTATGGACCACAGGTATGAAGTTCACGGCATGTAATGCCTTAAGAGAGAATATTATGAAAATGATATACAGGTGGTACATGACACCAGTCAAGCTTGCAAAAATCTATCATTTGCCCGACAATAAATGTTGGAAATGTAAAGAAACTGAAGGTACATTCTTTCACCTTTGGTGGACGTGCCCAAGGATTAAGGCTTTCTGGGAGATGATTTATAATGAAATGAAAAGGGTATTTAAATATACCTTTCTGAAGAAACCAGAGGCCTTTCTCCTGGGCATGGTCGGCCAAATGGTGCCAAAGAAGGACAGAACTTTCTTTATGTATGCTACAACAGCAGCAAGAATACTTATTGCAAAGTATTGGAAGACACAAGATCTACCCACTCTGGAAGAATGGCAGATGAAGGTGATGGACTACATGGAATTGGCGGAAATGACTGGCAGAATCCGAGACCAGGGTGAAGAGTCGGTGGAAGAAGATTGGAAGAAATTTAAAGACTACTTACAGAATTTTATATTGTAAAATTTTATATTGTAAAATATTGTAAAATTAATGAATGTTAGAATGATGTCAGAATGAAGTTAAGTGGTTTTAGCAGCAATGTCATAAAGGTGTATGCAAAAATGGATGGTTAATAGGTGAGAATCTAAAGCTATAATATATTAAGTTAAAGGACTAAGATAAAAACAAAGAGGGAAAGGAATTGCTAAATTAACCAATGGAATTGGAAGACAAAAAAGGGAGGTGAGAGGAGGTCAGGGAAGCAAGGAAATGAAATGTAAGATACGGAAGGATTAATTTATCTTTAAGTGTTTCTTCTAATTTTTTTTCTATACTTTGTATTTTGTACGTTTTTTCTATTTTTTTCTGTATTTTTCCTTGTCTCTTTTATTTTTAACTACGTATTTTTTTGTTTCTGAAATTTTAATAAATATCATTTTTTTAAAAAAATCAATCCCTGCCTTTTCACACACACCCTTCCCTCTGCAACCCTCCTCTCATTCAAGTTCCATGTTGCAGGTGAAAAGCATGGGTGCTGGGGGGCACCCAATGCATGCTGCGAAAAAGCACCCAAGTTGAGCACCCAAACCATGCTGCGAAAAAGCACCACCCTGCTCCAGACCCGTGTCGCAGCTGCAGAAACCAAAGGCTGCTGGCTTTGCAGTTCCTCGCCTAATACGGCCTCGCAAGGGACATTTTCTCTGCTGAGCCCCCCTTGAGATTCCAAGCCAAGGCAGGAACTTAGCGTGTGACTCCTTCTCTCTTAAAAAATAAATAAATACCAAGTCCGCATGACCTGAGCCCCAGGCTACCAGGGCCCGGCGCATTAGCAGGCAATGACATTCCTCTCAAAGCCCTTGTGCCTCGTCTCTCTCCGGGTATCAGTTTCCAGCCTGGTCCATCTACTTTTAAGAAGCCCATTTAGGAGATGCGACTCACTCTTCCTGACCCAATTTTCTTTAAAAAGAAAACGGGCATTCCAGCACCTGTCAGCATCCCCTTGACCTCTGTGGTTCTTGGCAACCTACGCCTCAAAGGAGCTCAAATAAGCCAGACCGCTAACACGCTGTCCTTCGTCTACCCCAGACGGTTGTCCTCTGGGGCTGTCTGCTGCAGGAGGAGGGCTGGTGGGTCGCTGAGCACCAGAGATGGTCCAGCGCCCAAGGCCCAAACAGTAGGTGAATCAACTAAAGCTTGTGTTGATTGATCCAGTGAATGCACACTGGAAAATGCAGCTTATGTTCCTGCGCCAGACCATCGGTCTGTCCAGGTCAGTACTGCCGGCACCAGTGTTTCCCAAATGTGGGTCTCCAGCTGCTTTTGGACTACAACTCCCATCATCCCTAGCTAGGTCAGATACCTTAGGGCAGGGATGTTTCATCTGGGGAAAAGGCCTTCTCTGTAGGGTCTCTCACTTTGACGGAATTCTCTCCCAAGGGCCTCTAAACTCAGATCTTTTCAGCATCAGGAGAAGGCGTTGTTGGTTATAATCCAAGAACTTTAACAACCGAGAAAGGTTTTTCTTAAACATCAGTCTCTTTTATTATTCCTTACATTTTTATTTCTCCTTTCCTCTACAGAGCTCAAGGTGGCATATGTGCTTCTCTTCCCTGTCTATATTCTCACAACAACCCTGTGAAGTAGACCAGGCTGAAGTCTCTTTCATAAAGCTATGATTACTCCTGGATGGAGATTCATGGCTGGCTAACAGTGCGCATCTGACTCTTATCAGCAGGGATGGGCAACCTGTGGCCTTTCGGTTGATGCTGGGCTCTTGCCAGATCCAACTATCATGGCCAACAATCAGAGCTGTACTCCAGTAACACCTGGAAGAGCCTGGGTTCCATATGCCTGGTCGAAATAGCTGACTTTGTGGAGAGGACTCTACTATATAATGCAGAAACATGTAGGCAAGAACCTTCTGCCCCTCCAGATGTTGTTGGACTCCACGTCCCCATGTGTTCCAGCCATCAGGGATGATGGCAGCCCCACTCCTGTTCTACAGGCAAAGCCTACAGAGAGCTGAATGGCCTGACCACTCTCAGCACCGAGTTCAAATCCTCCTCCTCCAGTCGCATGACTTACCTCTGGACCAGGCTCCCAAAGAGCAGTTGCAGGACCTTCTGCATGTTCTCCGTGCACAGCCAGCTCCAGTGATCCACCATAACCAGGCGGAGGAGGTCCAAGGCAACATCCGCCAGTATTGTCTCCGACTCTGCCAAAGTCAAGGCGACACAAAGGTAAGGTAAGGAAACTGCCTTGCACCAGGTGAGGCTGTTTGTCCATCCATCCAGACTAGGGATGGGGAAACCTGTGGCCCTCCAGGTACTGCAGTGCTACAACTCCCATCATCCCCAACCAATGGCCAAGCCAGTGGGACTTATTGGGAGCTGGGAGTCCAACAACATCTAGAGGGCCATAGGTTCCCCATCCCTGTGCTAAACCACAGTTTACTGTGAAAAGAATCAGCTGCAGCAAGTGTCCAGCTTTAACACTCCTTTCCATCTGGAGAGCCAGTGTGGTGTAGTGGTTAAGAGCGGTAGTCTCGTAATCTGGGGAACCGGGTTCCCGTCTCCGCTCCTCCACATGCAGCTGCTGGGTGACCTTGGGCCAGTCACACTTCTTTGAAGTCTCTCAGCCCCACTCACCTCACAGAGTGTTTGTTGTGGGGGAGGAAGGAAAAGGAGAATGTTAGCCGCTTTGAGACTCCCTAGGGTAGTGATAAAGCGGGATATCAAATCCAAACTCTTCTTCCATCTACTGGGAGAACTTCATAAACTTCCAGTTTGAGTTAAGGCCAACTTTTGTGTTGTCCAAACCTGACTTAACAATGCCTGAAACAAGTCAACCTAGTTGATATGAACCTAGCTTGTTTCGACAAACCATAGTTAACGTTCAGTACCTTTTAGGATTTGAACAACGGAGTAAACCATGGCTAGCTGAAACTGCAAGCGAAAGCTTCCGAACCGCTTGCAGCTATGGCCATGGGAAGAATGCAGCTCACACCAACCTGCTCTCATCAAGCTAAATTATGCTTCAGTGCAGGAGTAGAGAAGCATTTTTTTATCGAGCCCAACCAAGGATATGCATCTTTGTGTTCTCCTTCTCACAGGCGAGGTCTCTCTCTCTCTCTCTCTGTGTGTGTGTGTGTGTGTACACCTCTTGGGGGCAACCTTCTGGGGGCTGCCAGCCAGGGTAGACAATATTGAGCTAGATGGACCAATGGCCTGACTCCAAGTAAGCCACCATCAGGACAGCTCTGTACCAGCTCTCAGGCTATTGTGAGTCACCTGTCAGCAGCGGGTGGACCCAGAAGCAAACCTGAGCGGCGCAACAGATCCAGCGCTTATCTATCCATTGCAACCAAGCAAATGAAATAAATTTCCCCTCTCCATCCATCCACTCCAGCAAGCAGCCCCATCACAGCTCAAGGGGACATTCCAGCCAGTCAGGAGGAGGATATGGAGCAGGGCCAATGAGGAGCATGACTGCAGCTCCCAGCATTTCTTGGAGGGACAGAGGGACCGGCTATCGAGCAGCCTTAAGTCAGCGTTCAAACTATGCCATTAATTTGCTATGGCTGCCTATTCCCCATTTCCTCTGTTCCTTTAATTCATGGTGGTCCGCTGCCACCTTGTGGTAGCATCCTGAGTCAGCTGCGGAGACCATCATCCACAGAGCAAACAGCCCTGTTTTAATGACTTTGTTGCTCATCACAGCATAAGACAATTTCAGGATGGGAAGGGTTTCAGGGGAAAGGGTTGAATGTTGGAGGAGCAGAAGGCCAGGCCTCCTGAGAAGCAGCGTCCAACTGGGATCCATCTCTACGTTTTGGCTTCAATTACCCAGCTTCTTCCCCGCCCACTAAGGTAAAGGGACCCCTGACCATTAGGTCCAGTTGTGGCCGACTCTGGAGTTGCGGCGCTCATCTCGCTTTACTGGCCGAGGGAGCCGGCGTACAGCTTCCGGGTCATGTGGCCAGCATGACTAAGCCACTTCTGGCGAACCAGAGTAGCGCACGGAAACGCCGTTTACCTTCCCGCCGGAGTGGTACCTATTTATCTACTTGCACTTTGACATGCTTTCGAACTGCTAGGTTGGCAGGAGCAGGGACCGAACAACAAGTCCTAGGCTCTGTGGTTTAACCCACAACGCCACTCGTGTCCCTCCCCGCCCACTAGGCCACTCCAAAAGGTCAGCAGAAGAGAACAGGTTCACATTCCGGACATCTCTGGAAAACCACATCCCAGGCATTTCTCCAGAAGAGCCTTCCCCTCCAGAATATTCTAACCCTGATGACCCGGTAAGAGCTGTTTGACAGGGGAACAGACTCCCTTGGAATGTTGTGGACTCTCCCTCCTCAGAGGTTTTTCAGCAGAGTTTGGATGGCTATGTGTCTCAGGTGCTTTAATTGAGATTCTTGCATTGTAAGGGGCTGGACTAGATGACTCTCAGCCTCCCTTCCAACTCTACAATTTTATGATTCTTACATGCTCCACAATTAACTCAGGAGAGCAGGGCCTTTAATGTGACTGCCCCTGTTCTGCGGAACAGCATCCCTGCTGAGATATACAACAGGTGCCTGCTCTCCGTTGCTTCTGCAAACAACTGAGGATATTTTTGTTCCGACAGGATTTCCCAGCCAGATGAATGGGTCTCTGCCATGGGTGTCCGCTTCGCATGGTTTTTAAATGTATCTGTTGTCATTTTCTGTGTTGTTTTTAACAGAGTTAAAGCTGTTGTTTTTTTTGTAATTTGTACATTGCCTGGAAAGCAATTCAGTAATAATAGTGTTCTAAGTTGGGGGGAGGGAGGAATCCTCTAAACCCTAGAAATTATTAAATGGTAGGATTTTGATTAATTGGAGTATTGAAGGGAAGATTACAGGCCAGTGGAAAAAGGCAGGCTAAGTTTCCGTTCCAAGCCTGGGCCTCACCTGGAATAGAGGCATTAAAATGACGAAAGGTGTTGATGACCCATCTGAGAGGAATTCTTGGGCCTGGGCAGACAGAAGGTTATCAGGGTAACTGGATGTGAAGTAACAGGAAAAGAGATTCTTTAGCAAGTTGTGCTGGGAAGAAGAGGGGAGAGGAAAAAAGACTGAGATCCATCTTGGGCAGGCTGGCTGGAGGCAGGTGGCTGAGATGCCTTGGACTCCCAGTCTATAGAATTAAACTAAATATCAAAAATCAAAAAGTTTAAGGAAAAATTAGCCTAGAATTGAACAAAGCCTTAACTGGATGCCGGCTACAAACCTCGTTTCACTGAACTATTCAGTTTCCTCAGAAGGAAATAGAGAAATCATAAACCTTAAATGATTTTAAGCAAACTCAAGAACAGGACTGAAACGCTTCCCTGAGTTTACAAAAAAGGTATGAAAACCTCAATAGCCCTATTTGAAGAAAGCCAAGCAGTAGTAATAAGGAGTTGAGGACTCGGCTGTGAAAACTCTAGTATTGCCTTTACAAAAAGGTTTTTAAAAAACTTACAAAGGAATATGAGATAAGCTGTTTTAGATTTTAAACAAACTCAGAAACAGGGCTGAAACGCTCCTAACTGCTGATGTTAAAGAAAGGGTGAAAGAATTTTTAAAGGGACAGGCCATCTAGTTCAAACAAAGGGTGGGATTTCTAAGGTTTGTAAAGAATAACAAGAGTAATATTAAATAGAGTTGTAAGAAATTATTATAAGAAGGAACTAAAGTCAATATAAGAATTGAGACCTGACGGAATTAAGGAACCAAATCTAAAAATCCAATACATTTCTTTCTGTAATAATTTCTAGTTGATTACTTCTCGTTTCAGGGATTTTCATGGCATTTCATTTGTTTTGTGCAATTTCTTGGTTCTGTGACTGTCTTTTTTCTATTGGACTCCCAGTCTAGCTGCACTGCCGTGGGGAACAAGCCCTGCTTGAGACGACCATGCTGCAAGATTTGAACACCCTCCATGCAGACTGAAGGTGTAAATAGGTGGATAAATCATATTTCTTAAAGCTACAACGGTCTTCACCGCAAAGCAGCACAGACCTTGGCGGAGGGTCAAGATGCCTGGAATGCCATGCATGGCTTGGCGGGGATTGGGGTGGCCAGTTAACAATAGTACGAGGCGAAACAGGAACAGAGCACAGGTTAGATTTTTTACCAGGATTGCTGCTGCCCTCTGCTGGCTGCTGTGGTGCCTTCATGGGCTTCCCGATGTCCAAACTGGATGCACATCTAAAGGCATTAGGATCTCTGTCTCCCTCGCCCTCTGGGCTCTCGTCAAACACGGCCTCCATCAGCTTCTCCTGCTTCTGGATGAAGGACTCCATCCTTGCCAGAGACAGGAACTCTGAGACCTGAGAGAAGAAGGAGCCGCTCACTGCCATAGTCGCTGCCTCTCTGCCTACCTCTCAGGGTTGATGTGAGGATAAACGCAGGAAGGAGTGAACCACATGCCCCACTTGGAGCTCCTTTGGGGGAAGGCAGGAGAGAAATGTAGCAAATCGTAACAACGGGGCTCCTTTGAGAGTCAGGGCAGGATAGAAATCGAATATGAAATGGCTGGAATGTGGATAACAACGGTGGGAAATATTTCACACAGAACTATGAAGACGAAAGTTTGAACAGACCAGTGGTTGTAAACATAAATGAAAATTAAGTGAAGGATTAACATCGGAATGGTTAATTGACTAATTAAGAAATGCAATGTGATATCAGATGATTAGCACTCCGCAAAATTCAGAGCATGGGAAGTCACCCAAAGATATATCATTTGGCAATATATTTGGCTTTTTTATTGTAATTTGGAATGTTTTAATGTGGTTATTATTGGATTATTAAAATGGAAAACTCAATAAATATTATTACCAAAAATTGAAATTGAATAAATAGAAATAAATTAAATGAAAAACAATGGCAACAATTCAGTCCTGCCCGCTGAAGCGACTCAGTGGGGTAGCTCCTGCGGGGAGCCCAGATTCATGGATAGCTCAGTTGGTTACAGCATGGTGTTGATAATGCCAAGGTAGCAGGTTCGATCTGCGTAAGGGACAACTGCGTATTCCTGCATTGCAAGGGGTTGAATTGGACGATCCCCAGGGTCCCTTCTAAACTCTACACTTCTATGATTCAGATTTCCTCGGGCATGTGTGCACACTTACAGCGGTGCCTTCCTTGAAAGAATATGCAATCTTCTCCTGCGCTCCAGGCACGTTCAGGACCGGAGCAATTTTGCTGGATGCAAATCTCAGCCTAGGCCTGCGAAAGAGAAAACCCCAGAATTGTTATTTACCTGTTATAACCCGTTTTGCTTCCAAAGAGCTCAAGGCTGGCTCACACAGGCAGGCTCCTTGACTTAACTATTGGTAGCTGAATGTGTGAACTCCACTGTACCCAAAGTTATTTTACATAACATCATAAAGGCAAGAGGAGTAAAAATAGAAGGTAATAATAATAAAGTTTTTAAAAAGAATGACTAGCATAAAATATATTCCAATGCACCTAGTCCCCTTTTCAAGTCATTTAACCCAGTGACCAACAACATTCACTCTCACACAAATATTTCCACATGCCCTGAGTGAAGGAGTGCTTTACCTGTCCTGAATCTCCTAGCAATTAATTTCATTGGGCAATCCCAAGTTCTAGTACGGCCTGGATAGTTTAGCTGGTTAGAGCGTGGTGCTGATAATGCCAAGGTTGCGGGTTCTATCCCCCTATGGGACAGCTGCGTATTCCTGCATTGCATGGGGGTGGACTAGACGATCCTTGGCATCCCTTCAAACTCTACAATTCTGTGATTTTATTATGTCTCCTAGATTGTAAGTCCAAAAACAAAGACTGATTTGGTTTCCTTAAAAAAAAATCTGTGTACAGTGCCTAAGGATTTTTATGCGTTTTATAAGGACACAACCGCAAGATTAGCAAATTGAGCAGTCATATGTGTGCACTTACATTGATGTGCTTTAGAGAAAAGGTACACACACCTCATTACTATTGAGTTGAACCTTCAAGAATCATAGAAAAATCCTGCTAACGAAATGTTACCGAGGCACCTGGACAAGGCAGCAACAGGAACAAGCCGGGGGTAGTGACCAAAGGCCAGAAAAATAGGGTCTATTCCCAATTGTGGCATCATGTAGGGTGGTCACCAAAACAAACAAACAAACAAGTATCACCAAAACAAACAAGCAATAGGACACTGATTGATATGTATAAAGGAAAACGTAGCTGAAATCTTTACTATAATTTAAATCAGTGGTTTTTCCAGGGCCCTTTGGTTCCGTAAACTCATTCCCAGTGCCCCCTACCCTACCTTATAAAAATCATTATTCAAAATGGTGTTTTGCATGACCCACAACCTGCTTGCTCAATCTGCTGTTCAGGTACTAGCACTCGATGAGCAAATTCCCAACTATGATAGATTTAATTTAGCAGACCCCAAAATAGCCCCAAGGTGACTTACAATAGTTTAAAAGATAGAAAACGGAACTCAGCACACTATCATAACCATTCTTGAAAACTCTCTGTTTTCAGGGTTATCTTTAAACTGGAAAGATTTTGAAACAGGTGCTGCCTTCAAACATAAGGCTTTTGTGTGGACCCAGAACCAGCCTAGCTAACACTGCAATCTGCAAGGAAGCAGTTTCAGCCCCCTGATATATTCATTTTGCATTTTCTGCACCTGTTTCCATCTGCGAAATATGCTTTCTGGTATGGGGGTGTCCAGAGCTTCATTCAAAATACAGCAGATATACAGCTGGGGGCTCCTTCCGAAGGACACTGAATAGTACACACCGCACAGCTTTTGGAAGGGCAATTTAAAAGCAGGATTTCCCAAACACCCAGACACACATCTGATAACTGCAAAATCCGCTGTCAAGTCTATGGCTGTGGGGAAATTTGATTTATTTGGAAGGGGTCTACTGGCTTCCTAGACAAAGCAAGAAGTCTGTTGATTGCTAAGGAATGTTCTTTCCTGCCAAGATTTCTCTAGTTTAGGAAGAATGCAATTCTCCCCGTTGGATTGCTTTCCTGAAGAGAAATCTCTTTCCAGGAAGAAGGAAAAATGCTACAGATACCAGCACAGGGATGACAACACTCCTAATTCCAGCAAAGACTCAGCGACGGCCTCAATCAACCTGCACGTGTTCAGTAACGGCAAACACTGACTGCCAACTAACCAGCTACTCCTCCAGATAAAGGAGCCGAGTGTCGGCTGGCTTTCACGACTGATTGCCTCCGAACAACATGTGGCGCTCAGTGGAAAACTCAGGATAGGATCCTTTTGTGCGGCCAAAAATATAACCTTGCACAGCTTGGTTTCTGCACTCAACAAGTGCCAGTTTAATCATTCAGCCAAGTCAAGTGCTAAAGACATTCCTGGATGCAGGGTGGTCCAACGCGTGGCCCAAGGACTATATGCGGCCCTCAGTGTCTTTCTGGTGGCCTTGGGCAACATTTGATGCGCCCCCCCCCCCCAGCCCTTCCACTGTTTTCCTAAAGCTGGTTTAAAGCGGTGCTTGGCTTTGGGAAGGAAGCATGAGGCCTCTAACAGTGTCCCAGAGTCCTCCAGCCTTCTTCCCAAGCCTAGTGAGCACTTTGGGACAGCTTTGGGACTGAGGGTGGGAGGGCTGTGGGGGTGGACATACTCTTTTCGGTACCTTATGGAACTAAGCTGCAAGTCCAGGTTAAGACAGCATGCTAGGCCAAGCTACGGTTTTCCTTGGGGTGGCAAAGCAGAACAATGGCCGCAGGGGAGCAAATTGGCTGTAATCCCATCCCAAGGGAGTCCACCCTAAATAATAATAATAATAATAATAATAATAATAATAATAATTTATACCCCGCCCATCTGGCTGAGTTTCCCCAGCCACTCTGGGTGGCTCCCAATTGAGTGTTAAAAACAATACAGCATTAAATATTTAAAACTTCCCTAAACAGGGCTGTCTTCAGTTGTCTTTTAAAGATAAGATAGCTACTTATTTCTTTCACATCTGAAGGGAGGGCGTTCCACAGGGAGGGTGCCACTACCGAGAAGGCCCTCTGTCTGGTTCCCTGTAACCTCACTTCTCGCAATGAGGGAACCGCCAGAAGGCCCTCGGCGCTGGATCTCATGGGGCAGTGAACGATGGGGGTGGAGACTCTCCTTCAGGTATACAGGACCGAGGCCATTTAGGGCTTTAAAGGTCAGCACCAACACTTTGAATTGTGCTCAGAAATGTACTGGGAGCCAATGCCGATCTCTCAGGACTGGTGTTATGTGGTCCCGGCGGCCACTCCGTGGTTTGGCTCAGTATGATGTGTGAACCAGGCCAAAAATTCTGGGTGCATCATCTCATCTCTGGGGCCTGCTTTCTCCTCGAGTTCCCATGCAGGCAATTCCACCCCATACCTCTGTAGTCTGAAGTGTTAAAACTAGTGAACTTGAAATGCTTAGCGGTTTTCTCACACAAACTCTCTTGGTCGTGCTTATATAGTGACATCTAAAGGAGTATCCACTCAGAACGAAGGTCAATGTTCAAAGCTGATGGGAGGATTGGCCCCCAGTGGCACCCTTACTTGCTAGCCTTCTTCCCTTCGTTCTGGGGCTTCCCGTCCACCTCTGCCTCACTGAGCTCTTCCGTTGGGCTCTGCGGCTCAGACCGGGGGAAGGCCGTTTTCAAAGTGTCCACAATGGCATTCATCACAATCTGCAAGAAGGATGGGGAAAAGAGGAGAGGGGCGTTCAGCTAAAAAAGGAATCACAGGAGACCTTCTGACATTGCCAGGGCCAAAGTTCTGCTCTCTCCATTTTCGCACAAAATGGTTTAAATCATAGGTTGGCAAACTAAGGCCCGGGGGCCGGATCCGGGCCAATCGCCTTCTAAATCTGGCCCGCGGACGGTCCAGGAATCAGCATGCTTTTACATCAGTAGAATGTGTCCTTTTATTTAAAATGTGTCTCTGGGTTATTTGTGGGGCCTGCCTAGTGTTTTTACATGAGTAGAATGTGTGCTTTTATTTAAAATGCATCTCTGGGTTATTTGTGGGGCATAGGAATTCATTCATATTTTTTTCAAAATATAGTCCCGCTCCCCACAAGGTCTGAGGGACAGTGGACTGGGCCCCTGCTGAAAAAGTTTGCTGACCCCTGGTTTAAATGTATGGAGCCAATCTTGGGTTATTTGAACGGGATTTATTGCTCTTTTTAATGTTTTGTATTTGTGCTTTGAGCACCCTTACCTTGTCAATCCTGGAGACCACAAAGGGCTTTTTAACGAAGGCGATCCTGGCGTCTGTGTTCAGGGCCAGGAATTCTTGCATTTCCTCGCTGTTGGCAATCTCAGGAATAGCGCACAGTTGCTGGAAGAAGAAGAAGAACGCTCTCACGGTCAGTTTAGAAGCACGCTTGGGCAGACTTTAACCAGGGTTAGCCATAGCCACAAACAGCGCTGGAAACAAGTAGAAGGTCCCTAAACACTGGTCTATTGTAAATGTAATGTAAAACAGCAAATGGTGCATCAGCCCTGCACTACCTGGTTTACATGTGGGAATATTGCACTAGCTTTCCTGACTGTAATGCTAGTGCGCTTTTACCTCGTTTCCTAATGCTCTTTCCATATAATTGTAGAGATGGAAGAGACCCCCAAAGGTCATCTAGTGCAACCCCCTGCAAATGCAGAAATCACGGCTGAAGAATCCCTGGCAGATGGCCATCCAACCTCTGTTTGAAAACATGCCACTGCAGGACCTGTTGCATCTTGGAATTGTGGCTTTTTCGCCGATACACTGGCACACTGTGCTAAATTTCATTTACACAGGCCACGTCCCTGGCCCCCTAACCCTTTCCACAAATACCTGCTTGTTTTTCCACCATGATGACCCCATGAAAACAACAGGGGAAAGCTGCATGCTGGTGTACAACCCCAAACTCTGACACTTTGCAGTGGTTTTCCAGGCTAAAGGGGCTGTGAACAGATTTTTTCTGGAATTCGACAACATGGAAATGAGCCATTAGCATGTGCTATGTTCCATTAGGTTTTTGTAAGTGGGTTTTACGCCGTGTGGATATACTATAATGCGGAAAGTTTGGGAAATGTTGGGCAAATTGAATAAACTGCCGTGTGAAAGCAGCCGCAGTCATAGGTCTCTCCTAGCCTTACAGGAGCTCACTCCACTCACCACCCTTGCTTGAATGATCTGATTTGCACAACACAGTAAGCCAAACCATAGTTTAGAACAAGCTCCCAGGGAGATCATGGCCACTTTGCTCCTCCTTAGTAGTTTTGCTGCTGTGCCAAACTGAGCTGAGCCAAGGTTTAGATCAGATACAAGCTTGTGGCTGAGTACTCTCCTCATTAACTATGAGATGGGGGAAGAGCAAGCCTTGGTTCCCCTCTGCGTGGCCCCCAGTAAACCATGGTTTGCCTTACTATGTTGTGGGAACCAAGCAACGGTCTGGAAACCCCACTGTTTAAAACAGGGGTAGGCAACCTAAGGCCCGTGGGCCGAATGTGGCCTAATAGCCTTCTCAATCCGGCCTGCGGACGGTCTGGGAATCAGCGTGTTTTACGTGAGTAGAATGTGTGCTTTTATTTAAAATGGGTTATTTGTGGGGCATAGGAATTTGTTCATTTCCCCCCCCCCCCAAAAAAAATATAGTCCGGCCCACCACATGGTCTGAGGGACATGAAAAAGGTTGCTGACCCCTGGTTCAAAATGACTGAACCGTGACCCTACCCAGTCTCCTTGGCAAAGTTTATTTAAAAAGTAAAATAAATCTGCTAAGAGAAATTACGTGGCAGGAGAGGAGAGAAGAGCCTTCACCTTCAAGAATGACTCCAAGAGGCTTTTCCTGGCTTCTACTTTATCTGTGTCCATGTTACCAAAAGGAAGGTCGGGAAAGATCTTCTTTGGACCTTTAATATCTGGAAGGTAGAAAAAAAAATGAAGAAGGGGAAAAAACACCTTACTGCAATGCAACATTAATCCTATTAGCTTATTTGTTGCATTTATTTATTTAAATATTGGTGTGCTGCTTTTCCAAGGAAAAGCAATTTACAACAACAAAAACGCAACTGAAGATTTTAAAGAACGTAACTCAAACACAACAGAGGAACAGCCACAAAAAAACCCAAAAAACGATACCAAAAGAAGTTTTATCAAGCAAAGGCCTTACAGCTCTGGTTACTAATAGTAAAGATAAATAAAGAAGCTGGTTATTTTCTTTTGGGGAGGGGGGAAACAGTGAGGAGAGGAAGAGAGGTGTGGCAGGCAAATGTTATGTGTGAGTTTTGCGGGCGAGAGTTCAAATTCCATCTTTGGTGGTTAATTAACATTATCCATCACTCTCAGTCCGTGACATGAGATTTTGCAGAAGTGCAGAATTTATTTTCTCCATTTGAACTAACATCCTGCCACATTTCAACACCTTGGGTGGATAACATGATGCTAATTGTACTACTTTATCCCTTGTTATCACAAGACAGCTTGATTATTATTTTTAGGTGCTATACCGCCTTCTGAAAGATACACAGAATCAGGCTCTGGAGAGTCTCCAGGAGAAGAGAATTGCAAAAGATTATTGAGCTAGATGGACTCAGCATAGGACAGTTTCCTAAGTAAAAGGATGGTCAGCAATAACACTTTGTGCATGCCTTTGAGTACCAGATTGGTACAGGAGTGGTGTACCAATCCCTGCTGGTCCCAAAGCACAAAGCAGAAATAAGAATGTTTCAGTGACCAGAAAAGGTTGGTGGGTCTTCATTAGGAGCTTGGGAGTCATTTTGGACTCACAGCTGTCCATGGAGGTGCAGGTCAAGGCCGCAACGTTATATGCACTCAACTGAAATTAAACAGGAGACTTGCCTAGGGCCACCCTATGAAAGAGCTCCTGCAGAAAGCAAGACTCAGCACTAACTTTTAATGAACTTCCGCAGGTCTGCCTTCTCTTCCAGCCTCGTTTGTAGGTTCAAGAACTCTCGATATCTCCGGTTCACGGTGTGGTAAGCTACCTGCTGGAGGCCACTGGCATTTTCACTGTCCAAAGTCGTCTCATACTGCGGGGGAAAGAGAAGACCACACGTCACCAAAGGAAACCACGCGTAGCCAAAGACTAGACGTAAGAATTTTCATGCCACTGGATACTTTCTACATGAAAACACAGGAGACATGAGGGTCCAGAAGGAAAGCATGGGTGGCGAGCTGGATCCAGACAACCCAATCTGTATTCCCCCCCAACTCCCCATCAGTGTTAGAAACTCAGATATGTAAGCTAGACCCCAAATGGCTCCTTAGAGGAGCAGCGAAGAACGCTATAATTATTGCAGCTTGTCTTCACTTACCGCACCCCACTGCCCCGCTCAGAGTTATGAATGGTCTGTGTCACCATTGAGAAAAAAGAGGTAGGAATAGGCCTACCAATGTCCCTGGATAAAGCAACTTTTCCTCTTTCAGAGCTCTCCAATCTTGGTTCCCCATATGTTCTTGGACTACGGCCTCCACTGTTCCCATGCGGCATGGACAATGGGAGCTATGAGCCCAACAACATCAGGGAACCCAAGGCCTGCTCTAGAGAACAGACCTTTCAAGACTTACAAAAACATTAGAAAAATGCTTGCGACCGACATGCAGGTGCAACATATTCTGCTTACTGGCTCTGTGGGACAGCTCAGTCAGTACACCATGAGACTCCTAAACTCAAGGTTGTGGGTTCCACACCCCCATGCTGGCCCAAAGATTCCTGCATTGCAGGGGGTTGGACTAGAGGACCCTCGTGGTCCCCTTCCAACTCTTAGGATTTTACGATACCACGAAGAGACGAGCAACTGAGTTACCTTCACAGTATACAAGGTGTAGGGGTGGAATCCTGTCCCGCTGTGCTCTCGGGTAGTGATGGTGCCAGTTATGCGCAGGTTTTGGATGACGACAGGCCCATCGGGGCTGCTGAGCGGCTCAAAGCTGAAGGTGCCCAAGGGGGCAGTGGGGGACGAAGACAGCAGCCCCGGCAGCTGGGCAAGGTCTTGAGGACTGTGGGCCAGGCTTTCAGAAGCCACCAGCTCCTTGTCCAGGTAGGACGGCCGCCTGAGGAAGGTCTTCTCCGAGTCCTCCAAAAGAGCCGTCAGCGAAGCCAAGGTCTCCTCCTTTTCCTCGGCAGCCTCGATCTGGATGTCGGGGCAGGGGCTCAAGGAGGGGATTCGGGGCCTCATTTCGGAGCTGGACCCGGCAGCATACTCTGAGTACCTGCCCTTGGCACCCAGGCCATCCTCTTGAAACAAGCTCTCGGGTCCCTCCAGGGCGGTGAGGGACTCCACAAGGAATTCCTCCCGGGGCATGAGCCCTGCAGAGTCCTTTCCTACTTCGGACACGGGAGACTCAACTTCCAGGTCTTCGCAGGGGAAGAAGGACTCCAGGGTATCAGGCTGGAGGCAGGGCACGGAAGAGGTGCTAACTCTCCTACTATCCAAGTCAGCACTCAGCTCTCTGCTGAAAGGCTCCCTCCACTCCAAGCCGTCAAGCGCGTCTCCGATCGACGGCTCAGAATTCGGGGAAACTGCCCTGTTCTCCGGGGCGGCTTCCGACAGAAAGGCCAGTGGCAATGAACTGGGTACCACAGGCTGGCTTGGAGAAAGGGCTTGCGCCGTCTCCGGCTTCTCATTCCCTCCGGCAGCTTTGATCTTGGAGAAAATCCCAATCAGCAGCAGGTTGAGCCAGTCTGGGTCCGCCATTTTGTTGATCATGGGCAGCAGCACGTTGCAAGTCACCAACTCCACCACCACAAAGCGTCCAGTCCTGGTCTCCAGGTGCGGCTCAGGCACCAGAACGCGCAGGAGCAAGTCCACAATGCGCCGAGCATAATCCACCTCGCTGGCGGGGCTCTGGACAGCCACGTGGGGGTCTGACAGTTCTGAGTACGCTCGCCATAGGTGATCAGCCCTCTGGGCAGGGTCTCCAGAGCTCTGCCCCATCTCCGCTTTCTCCCGGGCTTTCTTGTAAGTCTGAAGGTGGCAACCTCCAAGCAGGAGCAGCTTCTGGGTCAGAGCCTGTTTGTCTATCAAGGACATCCGCCTCTTGAGCTCCACAGCCAGGCCCATCATGGCCTTTTTCACCTCGTCCTCGAAGCCCCGCTCGCTGCTCACCGACCGATACCAGGAGGACACGAAATCCCGAACGATCTTCCCTATCATGCCCTCGATCTCCTTGTCCAGCTGCTGCTCCGCGTCGGGGTTTGGAGGGCTGCTCTCTAGGAGGAGGAACCTCTCCAGGTGGACTCTGCTGCTGGTCCCAATCACCGCCTGGGAGCCCAGCCAGCCACCCAGCACCGCCAGCAGCCCCGAGAGGATGCAAAGCAACCAGACGTTGACCAGCAAGTGGACAACCAGCAGCCATCCCAGCACGGCCCCCACGGCTAGCAGCTTCCGGCTGCCCATCATGTCGCCCAAGCCAGCACCCGGATCCCGGATCCTTAGCATTTTCTGTCTCACCCACCCAACTTCTTCCTATTTAATAAAATAGCATGGCTCTCTCTTGGCTAGCGAAGGTTTGGATTGAAATAGGCATGCTTATTATTTTCAACATTAGTGCTCACATATTTACAGCAGCGTGGATGCTGCGATTGCCAGAGCAAAGGCTTATTAGTTCAGCCACTTCTTTCCAGTTAATAAAGCATTGCTATCAAAGAAAGCTCACCCAAGCTGGATTTAAAGAAGCATTTCTTTCGATCATTATTATTGTTATATTCGCTAATAGATTTAAAGCAGCAGGGAGCCTGCAAGTACCATCTGGCTTCAGGGCAAAGCCTTATTTAAGCTGCCTGGAAAGGCTGACAAGCCAAGCGGAGCACGGGGGAAAGTTGCAAGGCAAAGAAAAAGGACAACAAGAAGAAGCACGCAAGCTGCAAATGCAAAGCGTCCTCTCTCGCGCTCGGTATTTGCGAGGTAGCAAACGGCTCTCGTAGAAAGAACTCCCCGAACTTCTTCCCCCCTTGAAGCAACCCCGGGGAAGGTGGCGATGGGAGGGCTGCTGGTTTTCGCGAAGACCGACGAGGCTGCCTTCCTGCGCAGCTAGACGTCCAACGCCGCCTCTCCCTCCCCGCTTCGCTTTGCAGCGCGCAGAGCCTGTCCCTGGCGCGCGGCAGGTCAGTCCCGGGGGCTCCCCAAAGCGCGCGCCCAGCTTCTCGCCGCGCCGGCCCGCCCGGGTCAAGGCGGCGCAGGAAGGCTCCGAGTCCCGGCCGGGCTTCCGGGAGCTTCCTGGGTCTCGCTGCTAAAGAGGCGTCCGGACAGCGAGGCGGAGCGGCAGAGCCACGGCGGAGGCGGCAGCAGTGCCATCTGGCGACCGACGCCCGACGCTGGGAAGGTCCGCTCCAAACCATACACATTTTTCATTCAAATACACGTGTGTGTGTGTGTGTGTGTGTGTGTGTGTGTGTGTTTGTTTATCCATATATATAGATGGTTTGGAGGGGACCTGTCCTTCGGCTTAAAATAGAATAGAAGAATTGTGTGTGTGTGAGAGAGAGTTGTAAAATTGTATATATATAATATGCATTTGATTTCATATCGGTAAGATGTCAAGAAAGAGCCTGCAAAAGTAGTCAGGCTCATCTCCTTGTTAAGTTAGTGTCTCCAGTCAAAGGTATGTTAAGCATCTCTTTGCAAGACTAAAGAGTGCAGGAGGTGACGGATTGCCCCAGAAAGTACTAGCTGCAGCCAGCTACCTTAGGCAAAAGGGGGCAGGTTTTATGCCCTCCCTTGACTGGAGGTGCGTGTAAACATGAGTGTAAAAGAGCAATAGAACAGGGGTCCTCTTAGCTGGGGCTGGGAAGAGGCAAAGAAGCTTGGCTTGTAAGGTAAGGTAAAAGGTAAAGGACCCCTGGATGGTTAAGTCCAGTCAAAGGCGACTATGGGGTTGCGGCACTTATCTTGCTTTTCAGGCCGAGGGAACCGGCGTTTGTCCACAGACAGCTTTCCGGGTCACGTGGACAGCTAAACGGCTAGAATTGTAGAGGGTCATCTAATTCACCCCTGCAGTGCATAAATCTTTCACCCCCCGGTGGGGCTCTAACCCGCAACCCTGAGATTAAGAATCTCATGCTCTACAGAGTGAGCTATCCCAGCTGGGATATGTGTGTAGGCAGGTGCTCCCCCCCCCCCCATCATGTAAATAAAAATACTTAACTAACTGACCAATTGTGTTGCAGATAACTCGGTTCTGCCTCCCCCTCAACATAATGCCTGCCCGCCCCCATAAATCCTGGCCTCACCCATGCATATATCACACTTTTCCCCTTGACAGACTCAATGCAGCTCACATATAAGGTAGAAACTTCTAAAAACATTGAGGTGTGTGTGTAATGTTTAAAAAACATTAATAGGAATTAAAGCAATGGGAGTGAGTGGGTGGGTGGGTGCGATCTATTAAAACACAGAGATCATTACAATAAAAGCACCACCTTTTACTGATTTGTAAACAAAGGAACAAAACGTGCAAACATAACAAAAACAAAGAATTAAAAAATTAAACCATACAGCATCACAGCCTGGAAGTATTTTATTTATTTGCTAACATCAGCAATAAAGTGCAAACGTAACAAAAGAAAGGAAACAACTAATAAAAAATGTAAAAAAGCGTAACAGCTTGGAAGGACAAAAGTACAAAGATACAGCACAGCTACAGAGAGATAATATAGTATTAATTCATACAAAGGTTCCCTTTACAAATAATAATGACTTTTTAAAAAAAGTATTCTCCAATCAATGAGTCCCATCATCAGTACAATGGTACCTCGGGTTAAGAACTTAATTCATTCTGGAGGTCCGTTCTTATCCTGAAACTGTTCTTAACCTGAAGCACCACTTTAGCTAATGGGGCCTCCCGCTGCTGCTGCGCCGCTGGAGCACGATTTCTGTTCTCATCCTGAAGCAAAGTTCTTAACCCGAGGTACTATTTCTGGGTTAGCAGAGTCTGTAACCTGAAGCGTCTGTAACCTGAAGCGTATGTAACCCGAGGTATCACTGTATTGGGAATAAAGATTCTATACAGTCTTAAATGAGCCAGACATGAAAAGCATCTGGAGGGAGGCCTGGCAGTGAATGGTGGTATGGCCAGGTCAGGGCAGCGAGGGGACCTTCCAAGCACCTGGCCAATGATGGATTTGGTGGTCTTCTGGTTGTCTCACTGCCCTTTGTCCTTGAACACAGCAGAGCTGATCTAAAGCAGACAGCCCTTGCCTTTAGCCCCTTAGAAAACCCAGGCCTTCCCACCATCTTATCTGGTCGTGTTCCAACCCATTTTGAGTTGCAGAGTCCTTATAAATGAGGAAGCGTTGATTTAAAAGGCACCCTTGAGCATGTACAGAGCACCTTCTCCAATAAGCAGCCACAGCCTTTGACTTATTGTGCCTTGGGACACGAGGACACAGCTTCCTGCCCAAATGTCGGCTTCTTTGCAAGTTGCAGATCCAGCAAGAGCGAATCTTGCTTGGCTGCGCATGAGAAGTTGCACCTGCTGCAAACTTCCTTAAGGCCCTTTAGTTATGCAGCTGGGGTGAGATTTGAGACTGGGGGGACTTCCAGACTTATCACTCCTGCTCCAAGCTGTTGCACAGACCGCTACTGCCTCTCCTTGGAGCTTGTTAAGATGATTATTTTATTTTATTTTTGGGTGGCCGGGGGTGGGGGCTAGCAAGAGCAATTCAGCTGAACGTGTTATACAACCTTGTGCGGAAACTCCCTGGAAAGTCAGTGCCAGAGCACATCAAGTGTGAAAATCCCCCAGCCTCACCCCCCCCCTCCCAGGGAGGCTATTCCTAGCCAGGAGGAAAAAAGCCCTTTCCTTTTGCTGGAAAACTACCTGTGAATTTTAGGAAAGAAGGCTGGAATTGGGGTGGGGTAGAGGGATGGAGTTAAATTGGGCACTTTTGCTACTCAGGGGCAAGAAGGGGATTTCCAGGGGATTTTTTTTTTAATGGTTTGCACCTATTAAAGCTGTCTCAGGGTTTCCACATCGCTGTATGCAGCGCACTGACAGGCAGTCCCAGGAAGGATTCTAAGCACCAAAAGAACATCAGGAAAACTCACCCCAGCACTATTAGACTGGGGACAGAAGAACCAGAACCTGTGGTGTTCTGCCTGGGAAAAGGTACTGTACATTTTCTTGGGAAAGGACCACAGCTTGGTGGGAGCGCATCAGCTTTGCATGCAGAAGGTTGCAGGTTCAGTCTTTGGCATTGAGGAAGCTAATGCGGTTCCAGAAACACAGGTCAGATGCCAACCCAGAACCAACATAAGCTTTCCACCATTGCAGCTTTCCAACTCTGCACAGAGTCAGGAGGTTCCTGGGGTAGCGCCGACCCTGCGAGGTAGGACAGCCGTTCCATCTTAAACTAGATTTAAGTATGTATTTGTAAATAAATTACCATTTAAAAACCCAGCCAGATGGGCAGGGTAGAAATAAATTCTTCTTCTTCTTCTTCTTCTTCTTCTTCTTCTTCTTCTTCTTCTTCGCCTGCCTGAACAAAGCTGCTGTATCTGTTACTCTTCCACAAGTATTCTGAGTGCGTAAATGCTATCTTTTTTACCTTTTACAAGACTGTTTTTGTGATTATGGTTTAAAGGGGGAAATAACAGGTGAATTCAGTCTGCCTTAAAGCATCCTGGATTACATAAAATAAAGGGCTAAAACCAGCCTGTCTAAGCTTCCCTTTTAAGCTGCAAAGGGATAGCACTCTGCTGAACTCACAAACGTGGGGAAGGAAGGCTAGTATGTAATAAAGATAGATATCCTCTCCTCTTTTCACATCCCAACAGGCATCTCCAGGTAGAGTTGATAATATCCATTGCCTGAAACCCTGGATTGCCATTGCTGCCAGTCCGTTCAGGCATTCCTGAGCTGGATGGAACAACAACTGGACTCAGCCTATGCAGCTTCCCCTGCAGTTAAAGAGAAGGAATTTGCCTTTCGAGCATAAGAACAAAGGCCTTATTCTAAATTAGACCACTACAGTGGTACCTTGGGTTACATACGCTTCAGATTACAGACTCCGCTAACCCAGAAATAGTATCTCGGGTTAAGAACTTTGCTTCAGGGTGAGAACAGAAATCGTGCTCCGGCAGCGCGGCAGCAGCAGCAGGCCCCATTAGCTAATGTGGTGCTTCAGGTTAAGAACAGTTTCAGGTTAAGAACGGACCTCCAGAAGGAATTAAGTACTTAACCCGAGGTACCACTGTAGTCCAAACAGCTTGGTATTGTTTGCACTTAGGGATGTGATTCAGTTCATGTCAAAAGGCAAACTGAACCTGATTTGCGCTTTCCAATGCAACTCGCAAACAAAACCGAAGCACAGTCGTCCTTTAGCATTTTGTACTTCTCCAGATGTTGCAAGGCGGTTCTGCAGCCAAGCTTATGTACGCATGAGGTTAAAGTGTGTCTATAAATGTATACCTATAAATTTATTAAAACAGCCTTTAAAATTACACCGTATATGGTGAAATGGCTTTGCAGAAATGGGTATATTAGGCAAAATTGCCCCCCCCCCCAAATCCGTGTAGTAGGAGAAATCTGTGCTGAAATGCTAAACAGTTTTCATGAGGTCTTTTAAAAATAAATCACTAACTGATGTGGAGAACTTAAGAAAATGTGGAGAACTGCACTTAAGATGTGTGTGGTGGGGGAGGACCAATACAATGAGGGAAACCCAGTGCTTTTTTCTGGGGGGGATTCAGGGGGACACATACCCCTAATCATTTTGTGAATCTTTGTACTTTTGTCCATTTACTGTATTTATTTTTCCCAATTTGAACTATGAAATGGTGGTTTTCTTGTGTCAAAATGAGAGTACCCCTAAACATTTTTTTAGGAAAAAAGCACTGGGGAAACCCAGATTTATCCATTTCTGTCAACACTGACTGACTCCAGGAATGTTTGCTGTGCCATCAAAATGAAGACGCAAAGTTGTTTCCCACTCTAAACCTCTGCGAGGCCCAAGGGAACAAAGAAGGGAAAGGTCCTCTCTTCTTTCCAAGAGGTGTTAATGCTACTTATGTTGGGAGTTTGAGATGTGATATAGCTCCTCTCCTGGTAGCATTTACACTTCCCGAAAGACAGCAGCTGCCCTTTGCTCTGAGCAAAGATGGCTTGGGAGAATCTCTACAAGGCAAGTACAAAATGCGTGGCACTTTCAAGCTTGTGTCCAGCGCAGAATTTTTCACCAAGTTTATTTATTACAGTTCTATTGCTACTTTCCTCCAAAGAGGTGCCATACATGGTTCTCCCCCCCCCCCCCGTTTTATCTGTACAACAACAAACCTGGTGGCCCAGTTTGCATAATATCTGCCCCACCAACAACCCATGAGTGGTTTTTTTAAAAATAACTTTTTATTCAAAATTAAAACAAAACATATTATCCATAAATATATCATCCTTTTTTTTAATGATATTTATTGAGAATTTTAAGATTACAAAGAAACAAAGAAAAAAAGAAGGAAAAAACAAGTAACAATTAAACAATACAAAAATCAAAGTCGAAAAGCAAAAGCAAAACACATAATACATCAAAATCAGAAAGCAAAAATAAACAAAAAATTTAAAAACAGATCCAATATTCCCAAATCCTTAACTGTCATTACCTTATTTCATCGACCTCCTCGCACCTCCCTTTTTTGTATTCTAGTTGTTACTTATCTCAGCAAATCCTTTCCATCTTTCATAATATTCTGTCATTAAATTACCTTAATCTATTTTAACCTTATCTTACCATAAAAAACCCTAAAACTTAAAACTTAAATCTTATTTATACCAATTTCTCATAACCCTAACATATTCTTACATAATTCTTTTTAACATTTCTGCTAAAGCCAAATAATTTCATTCCAACATTTTTCTAATACTCATTAATTTTACAAAACTTTCCTAAATAAATTTTTTAAAACTTTCTTCCAATCTTCATCCAACGTCTCTTCCTCCTGGTCTCGGGTTTTGTCAGTCCTTTCTATCCCATCCATCTAGTTCATCAACCTGGTAACCTTATGTCCAAGGCTCTTAAATCTCTTCCATGTCCCTTCCGCAGGTCTTCTTCATATTTATACCTGTACTTTACTTTGTCTTCTGCTCCTTTCACTCGT